TGAGGTTCATGTGTGTAGAGCCTTTTGTTTGTTCTCTCTGTCCTCTAAAATAAGGAGATTTTAGTATGGCTGAAAACACCTAGAATCACTTTGATTCTGAAATTAAGCCTGAAGTGTTCTGTAACTCTGTGCTATGGTGATACTCACTGCTACAGTCAGCTTGGTCATGCTGTTTTCTTCTGTCAGTGCCAAGACTCTCTGCAATTCTTTGAATTTTACTGCAGAAGTTCTCGTTTCAGATGCAGCATATCCTGCCTTCAGAAATGAGGCATGCTGGTTTTCTCCATCATCTTCAAGTGTTTTGCTACTTTCTCTGAAGAGAGTGAAATGAGTGAAGTACGGTGAAACATACAGTGATGGACACTGTGGTTTTCCATGGACAGTATAGTTGTTTGTGTATTCTCTGGCTGTGTGGGATCAGGTTCTAAAGGAGCATTCTCAGGTACAAGCGACTGTGACTCCCTTTCCTGACATGGGGCTGAGCAGTGGAACAGGCTGTCAAGTGCATGGGTCACACCTGGGCAGCACTGAGCCACTTTGCAGAGATGAGATGGTGTTTCTGCCCTGTGCAGTCTCTCTTCCAGTGTCCCTCTTTTTATCCCCAACTGGTGAAAAAACCCAATCAAGTCTTCAAACAGCAGAAACAAAAGTGCTGCTAGGCAGGAAAATAAGTTGTACTAATGATCGGCTTTGAGGTACTTCATTTGCCTTAGAGCCCTTTCTGACCTTTCTTTCATTATTTGTATGATAATGGAATATTCCTTTCTTTCCTTTTCCCTTTCTCCCTGTACTCAACAAAGGGAAGTTGCTGGTTTGTGTTGCCGAGGGGAGTTTCAGTTGCACAGCAGTCTTGACTGCCTTTGGGGGTTCCTGCTGAATTCTCCCCTGTGAAGTGCTAACAGCTCGGAGGAGCTGTGTTGCTGCTCAGCCAGTGCTGCAGCTGAGGTACTGTGTGAACTGTGCATGCTGTGTGTGGAGAGCTGGAAAAACACCACTCATTTTATCATTAGCCATTTTTCTACGGTGGCAAGACGTGGCATTTTCCTGTTTCTGTAATGAGATCTTGATCGTGGTCAGGTAAATGCTGGCTTGCTACAGTCTCTTGCTTTGACCTTTGAATGAAATTTAATTTCATTCAATTTTCATTTATTTTAAGAGAGGTGAAGGAGTCTGTCAACCTCCCTTAACAGGTGGTTATCAGTTTGCAAAATCAGACTGTTAATTTAAAACATTTTAGAATATTTATAGAATATTTATAGTGAATCCTAGAGGATAGAGGGACCAAATTTTATCCAGCCTCCTTGCAGCAGCATAATTGTTTAATCCAGATTCCATTAGTTCTCAAGGTTTTTGAGCTTTATTTTTATGCTAAAAACTATTGTGCTTGAAACTAAGCAGAAGTTATTGTGAACTAGGAGCTTAAGATGTGTGTCTGATGTCAGAAGTCTCACGCTATCCTGGTGCTTGTAGTCTTTTTGGTGCTATCCAGAATTACTTGAAACAATTATCATTACTTATTGCTGTGCTTGGTTTTGATCAAAGCCTGCCAGGACTACATATTTGAGCAGCTTCTCTGCTGCTTTTAGGAATATAAAGGATCTTTTGGGAAGATAACTAAAATTATTTGATGGTTCTGACTGAAACAGCAATGAGCTCTAGATCAAAATGCAACTTGATTCTTTTCTGTGGAATTAATGAGCTGAATTGTTGCGTGGTATAAACCAGTGTCATTTTATTGCCCTCTTGCTCTTCTTGCCAGTATATGAACTTAATGTGGTTTTACAGTTTCTATCATCTTCTGAGTTGTCTGAATCTCCCTGTGGAATTATTCCTTATCAAAATAACTAAGAAGTATAGTATAGTAAGAAGCAGATAAAATTGTTAGGTAATGGTGGCTACTGCCTTACTGAGGGCTGCTTGCACTTGCTGAAATTTGCATTAGAAGTGATGACTCAAAAGATTTGAATTACCAGTTGCATATCTTAAATCATTTTACTAAAATAATTTCAAGTCTCAACATTCTTCAGTTAAGTTGAAAGTATCCTTGAGGGAAAAAAAACCCCAAAAAACAACCCATACAAATTGTGTAATAGCTTTTCTAGGTATATCTTCCTTCTTTCTCTCTTTCCAGCTCCTGCCTAGTACCTTGTGTTTGAGCTTTACTTATTGAAGTAGTTTGAATAATCACTAATTACTTAATGTATAAGGAAACTTATACCTAATGTATAAGGAAACTTTGATGCTACAAAATAAGGATTGGGGTTTTAAGCTCATATCCTCTTTCTTCATTTTGTCACTGTTTTAGTAGGATCTAATTTTCTTCTCGTAAGACTTCATCTTGTAATAAGTAAAAAAATCTTAAACTCACTATTTAAAACACTTCAGTTTTAAATTTTTTTTTTTATTTGGCCTCTGTATGAAAAAAGGAATTGATGTGTGGATTTCTCTGTGGCCTTAGGCTGGCATGTACATTCAAATGATCTTTTTCACATGGATTTTCTGACCTTTAGAATTTTCTATTAAGAATAGAGAAGAAAAAATCTGAGTTGTGAAAATGTGGAAGACTGTAGTTGAGAAAATAGAAGAAAAGCTGTATTTAGAAGAAAACTGAGTATTAGGAATAAAATTTATCAAGGCAAAGTATTTGATGAAAATTGAGTCTGTAATTCTCCATACTGAAGTGTTATGAACTTGATTAATAACAAATAGGAGCTGGACTTGTTTGGTTTTGAGTGTGTTTTCAACCCATGTCTTGTTACTGAGACCTTGTGGAAAGATTTGCATGATTGTGAAGTTAACTTCATTGGGTTCACCATATTTCTAAGACATATTAGCCACTGCTAAGTCATTGATAGCTTGAAAGCAAACAATTATAAATGCTGATCCATTCATATCCTACCATAAAACACAAGATGAGTTATTCACTACTGTCTGACGCGTGCTCCCACTGCAACGGAGAACAAAAGGACTCCTTTTTAACCCATCTATATATAAACAGCAGAGGGACAATCTACAGTGGGGGATTTTATTCTGGGGAGGTACTTGGAAGATTTCCTGTTGCCAACACAAAACCATGAAATTTCAAAGAAATTGTTGTCTCTCGTTTTAATATTTGGAGTTACAACATTGGGAGTTTTGCATAGAGTAAAGCACATATTCTTGTTTTGATCAAGGATGAAAAATCAATTTGGGAAATATTTTTTTTTATTTGATAGGTATAATTGATCATGATTTGTTTGTATTAATTTAGGGAAAAACTTAATAGAAGCTGTTGTGTGGAAAATTCATATGGGAAATGAAGGGATGTAATAAGAAATACTAAGCCAAAGAAAGTTAAGATGATGATAAGGAATTAATTAATCAAGGGCCAGAGAGATATCAGAGATTCTGACTCATTTCGTGATGAGACTGATGGAATTGCTAGAGAAGGGTGGGCAAAGTGTTTGGTAAATGTATCTGTACTGTTTGGAGGGGATAGGACAGGAATTTTATACTTGAAATCTGATAGCCTTTAAGGCTGAAATTAAATAGCAGGAATTGGATTTATGTATTTTTATACAGCTAGTCCAGCTAACCAGGGAGCCTGAAAATAGCTAGTGGGTTCTCACAGGTTAATTCTCCATACAGCTGGAAATACAAGACAAATTTCCAGAGGTTGAAAGAAAATTCTTGTTGGTCCAGTATTTTAAAAGGAAGAGAGATTATCTGAATGATTATAGGTGCGTTAAACAGACAAAAGACAGAATGGCAGTTATTGGAGTGATACATAGTTAATGAAGAATAAATGGTATTTAGTCACTTAGTACGAGTTCATCAGAGGAAGGTCCTTTGATCTAACTCAATATCCTTTGATACCATCATGTCAATTGATGAAGATAACAGTAGCAATTATTGTTTGCCTCACAGGATTTCTGTAAGCCATTTTATTAATTGCATGAGAATGGCTTGATGAATTATCATAATTACAGCATATGGACACACCATCTCTGATTGGCAGGAAGATTTATTAAATGGTAGTCTTCAGGATGCATCTTGTGTGGGGAGATGGAGCAGATGGGAAAGACATCCATTCTCATTTCTGCCCTATTTAACACTTTTTAACAATGGTTTAGTGAAAACATATTATTGTTAACAAAGTTTGGCATGAAAATTGGAGGAATTTATAATGACATGACTCTAAGGCAGTGTGGATTACTTAGTGACTTTGGCTGAGGGATCTGGTAACTGCTTCAGTACAAAGAAACAACAGGTTCATGATTTGCTTACAGGGGGCTGGACTCTGTCCTGGTGCACCATAACAAAAAAAGCATTTTAAAGTTGGTTGAGAAGAATTAACTGGAGTGCGCACCATGGATGTGCAGGAGAGACAGCAGGAGTTGGCATTACCACTGTTTGGTTTTTGCCCTTGGAGGGTGGAACAAAATGAAGCCTACTGTTTTTTTATTAGCATCTTAGTTCGATTCTGTCCGTTGGCTCTGGCCTGTCCTGCCATAAACAAATCAAAGCAGACGTGTTCCACATGCCCTCCATTCAGCCATAAGCAAAGCTTGCCCACTTATCTGGTACAGCATATGCCTGAATAGCAGTGAAAACTGTCCTCAGAAAACTTCCCGTAGTCTGTATTTGCTTCCCTTGAGCCTCATTTGAGAACAACCATCCAGCTTGTGGAAATAAACATACCCTAACTCTTTTATCAGTATTCTTTTAAATAATGCACTGAATATTTAAAATAAACTGATGAAAAGACCCTTGGAAGAATATTATGAGTGATTAAATGAAGCAGCAAAGGGTACCTACAGATATAACATTCCTAATAAAATAGTCACAGTTTGTTTTCAGTGGATTTGAATTAGAGAGAAAAAATCCTCTGTAGAATTGTTGGATTGGTGAGTAATTTGTGTGAAGAACAATTGCCTAAATGTGCTGTTGTTTTGCTTTATTAAGAGTTTTGTTGTGTATTTCTGCTGTGATGCTGATCAGGTTTCCCGTTTCCTGCACAGATTACAGGACCGGCCCTTGCTTCACTTTGGTAACCAACCAGATGTGCCAGGGCCAGCTCAGTGGAATTGTCTGCACAAAAACCCTGTGCTGTGCAACTGTTGGGAGAGCGTGGGGCCATCCCTGTGAAATGTGTCCTGCCCAGCCGCATCCCTGCCGCCGAGGCTTCATTCCAAACATTCGAACGGGGGCCTGTCAAGGTAAGTTACCAGCAAAGCTTCCTCGGAAGCTGCTGAAATTGTTACTGGATTAATATTGAGTTACACTGCTGTGAATAACCTGTCCTAAGCCATTCTCAGCTATATGTGTGAAGAATGGAAAAACAGTGTCAGATGCATTACTTCATGATTCAGTGAGTGCCTGATGTTCAAGTGAGTACATTAGTAACTCAGGTCATGTGAGAGCAGCCAGCATCTTAATGAATTTCTCACTGCCAGCAGTGCTTTCCCTTTGTTCTGTAATGGTGTTTTTCTGAGTGTACCACTCGATCATTCTGTGGAGGAATTTGTTCTGTTTCAGAGAGCACTCAAAACATGCAAACATCAATCTGTGGCAATAATGCCTCAGTTACCTGGTGTGAGATTTTTTAGCTAAAAATTGTGTAACTTGGATTCACCTTGGATGTTGTATCTCTTGAGCTCCACTGCTTTGACCTGAAAAAAAGTGCCTGTCGTGCCATTTGTAATGCCTTATTATATATTTTATACAATTTTGGAAATGCTTTTGCATTTGTTTCAAATCATAAAATCCACCCAGATGTTGCTTACTTCTTTCAGAGCATGCATTACCATAGAAAGTCCTTACACTGCTTTTGGCTTTTATTCTAATACTTCCAGCTGTATAAATTCTTTTATTGTCTGGATGTCTGACAGGAAACAGGAGAAAGTTAACAGGGGCAACTGTGTATTAAACTGATGTGGATTATACATTCCCAGCACCATATCTTTGGGGCCGATTTATTTCAATCTGTCTAACGTTTTCTAATAAGTTACAATATTTTTGAAAATAGGGAAGATAAAGATTATAAATCTATGAGTAATTTTATATAATCATGAAATTCCTATTAAGGGACTTCAAGATATTTTGTTGTATTAAAAATGTAGACAGCCTCTGTCAAAGGCCAAGTCATGGCTGGTGCCTGCAGACAGACATGATGAACTCCAAGATAGACAACATGGTTGTGTGCACTGCGTCAAGTGCCCATATTTTGACCTCAGTGATTCTGCTCCCCCTCTCACTGTAAAAGTCAGAACTAAATTGTGCAGGAATCTGTGAACCAAGGTACTTTAGAAAGCTTATGTACATAAATATGTGGCCCACGCCCCTGAAGTTATGCCATACCTAGTTATATCCCTCTTGTTTGTGTCATGGGAAAGCTGCAGTGAACTCTCCAATGGGTTTGTGCAGTTTGGAATAAGGACACTTCTGCTTACTGCACATTTCTTAGCAAGCAGCTACATTGATGTTGATCTGTATGTGGTGCCAACACAGTTTTGGCCCAGTATGTTTGACTTGTATTTTCCAGTTTTCCCTTCTTAAGTATTGTGTTTGTAATTTCAACAGATCTTTTATGGAATCACATATTAGCTTTATTTTTCATACAATTGTACTAAATCCTTTTGAAATCAGATAACATCCATTCAGACTGAAGATATTTCAGGGATTTCACATCAGTATTCAATCTAAATAAAGGAAAACAGGTTAAATAAAATCCAGGTTCTCTGATGAGAAAAAGAAATTATTATTATTGTGTGGAGAAGTAAAAAAAAAAGAAATAGTGAGGGAGGGCAAGGTTATTTTCAAAAGTAAGTAGAATATCACTGCCCAAAGTTTGACTTTGGCTGAAACTTAAATTAATATCACAGCTGAGATTTTTAAAGATACAAAGAAGAAAAATAAAACCCAAAGGTGGGATTTTGAAACAGACATCATGACTCAGAGGCATGACTTCTGTTTCTTTAGTTTTTGAGGTTTTTAAAGTCAGTACAGTGCCATGAAGTCTGGCTGACTGCTGTTGCTAAAGCACAGCCCATTGCTGTAGCTCGAGCCCAGCAGCTCTGTGGCTGAGTCGAGGCTGCTGAGGCTGTGCTAGTTCTGTGACCTCCCAGCACAGCGGTTCCCTCAGGGACAGCTCTGCTCTGCTGCTGCCCCTCGGCCCTGGACTGCTTCACCCAGGGATCTTTACAGAACACTTTGCCATGTGGTGCAGATACGCTCCTTGGCATTCCTGAGACCTCTTACTTGTGGCTTCCAGGAAAATTGCCTCTTAGCCTTTTGTACAGACACAATACTTCGCTTTTCAGACTTCAAGACACATTGCAGCAGTCTGTCTGGGATTTACAGAGAGAGATTTGAAGGCATCCTCTCCTTCAGCTTGTGTCCCTGCATTGAAACCTGTGTTAGTGTGAAGCCAGTTTTTAGCAGCAGCAGCTGGTTCTCCTGAGGAGATGGGGGAATTGGAGAGTGGAGTGCTCTGTGCTCCTGAAGGAATTCCTGAGCAGCAGAGACAGGGCAGCCCCTGGGGACTGCGAGCCAGACTTCCCCAGTGTCCTATTGCAATGCCACTCCTCCGCCTCCTTTAGCCTCTTTTCTGTAGCTGTTATTAAGCCATAGCAACACTTCTGCAGCTAAGTGATGACACACATGTTGTGCTAAAATAATTACTAAAATAAAACTGGGGCCTCTTGAAAATGTTTGTCTTGAGCTTACTACCTAACCTGTGATATCATCTTTGTTGTTTCATTTTCCTTGGTGAAAAAATGAAAAGCAAAGAAAGAAAAATAATAGGAAAAAAACCCTCAAATTTATGTATGTCTAAGCAGGTCATTAATAATTCCTCCTGAGACATTAATTATGGATATGAAACTTTTTGAGTCAAATCCTAACCACAGTCTAATGTCATTGGTACTGATCTCGCTGGAGTGTAAAGGTAGTAATTTCCATCAGAAATTACTCTGCAGTTACTGTGCCTCTCCATGAGGCCCCCTCCATGCACACTGCAACTGCTCCTCTATGCTGGTGGCCTAAGCACTCTATGGAGTTGCCAAGATTTTCAAGGGGGCAAGTGATTTTGGGTGACCAGCTTTAGACACTTCAAAGAAATTTGAGTTCTGGCAGGCTGTGTTTTTGCACACCATTCCCCAGATGTTTTGGAAAAACAAAGCAATAGCAGTTAGATATTTAATGTCTGTAACAATAATAACCATGTGATTTCTTGCAGAAAATATTTAGAGTACTGTACTTAATCATACTTTGCATAGAGTAATTACAAAATTAGTGTCTGCCTTCCCAAGCAAGTATCATAATATTATGATGGGTGAATAATGGATTTAGGCATATTTCATTTCTGTGTAGACAAATTATTATGGCTGTTCTTGAAAAATGAAATAAAAGTAGCTGTTTTTTCCTTTTTTATATCGTAGATGTGGATGAATGCCAAGCCATCCCTGGGATCTGTCAAGGGGGAAATTGCATTAATACTGTTGGATCTTTTGAGTGCAAATGCCCAGCTGGACACAAGTTTAATGAAGTAACACAAAAATGTGATGGTAAGAACTTTGAGAACTTTATTCTGAAGGTAGAAGGGGGAGTGTCTTCTTTTGGGGGACCAACTTTGTTTAACAGTTTGTAACAAATTTACTGTCTATTTTGCCTTGAGCATGCAGGTGGCATTATTCACAACAAATATAAATAGGGGTGCTTTCTCCCAAACCAGAGAATGTTAAATATTGGCCTACAGCCCTTGTATTCATGTAACATTTCACACTTGAAGGTACATCTACCATTAAACATAAAAACATTAAAAATACTTTCTAACTGATATGTTACTTTAGAAATTCCTGAGGCACGTGTTTCTTTGTGGATCCTCTGACCAAAAAGTGTATATGACTGCAAGGTTCCATCCATTCCTACCTACTCAGGTGAAGTGTATTTAACATAAGTGAGAGTTTGACACAGCTGTGTGAAGACCGCTGGATTGTGTTCTAAACTCAGCCTTACAGTTGCATATGTTACAGAAGGACAAACATTTTATCTTCACTTGCTAGTCATCCTAACTTGGGGGTAGGTGTTGGATATTAGTGAGTAGCAGGTGCTAGGTATTGGTGTGGAAACTTGCAGTGTGTGAGTATGGAATCGTGCTATTTTTTTACTGTGATTTGATAAGATTTCTTTTCTTTCTAATATAATAATCAAGCATAGATGGCAGCTTTGCTTTAAGAGAATTTTGAGTGAAGTCTAGATAATGTTTAAATTCTTGCAACTGATTCTACTTTGAGTCATTAGGCTAAAATTAACTTGAGTGGACAAGTTTCATAAGTGGCTAGTGATTTTGGAATGCCAACTTTTTCAGTACAATAAAAGTATTTGTGAGAGAAAGGTGTGCATTCAACCATCCTTTCTTGCATCAAGTGCCCTTTAAGAGGCACTCAAAACTTTTTAGTCATTTTAGAAGAATTATGAATTACTCTTTCAAAAGAAAAATCTCTATTTTAGGCAAAACTTTATCATTTATTTGCAGGTTAGGGAGAGCAATTTCAGAAGAGCTTGTACACAGCATGGTTTACATATTGCCTGCCAATGGTTTTGGCAGAATGTAACCTACATTTAGAATAGAACAACATTGCACGTGTTTCCTTCTGTGGATGAAGTACCAAGAATGTGGTGAATAGGAGAGACTGAACATGTGCCTTGTTAAGTATTAGTACATGAAAAGCTGAGAGCTGTAGGCTGCATCTCATAAACATTTTGATGGTATTTTTCAGTTGCTGAATAATTTTAAAAACAAACCCCAACCAACAACCAAATAACAAAAAACCCCAAACAATGACCACCCTAAGAGCCTGAACTTGCTAGTCAAGGAACTAGTTTGATGTCTTCCCAAATCTTGCCACGAATTTACCGCCCCATTTGTGAAATCCCTTTTCAGTCATCACCTGGCTGCAAAGATCAGATGAATTTTTCCTTCTTCAAATTCATACCTATTTCATCCAAATATTTGGATCTCTGCAGACAGAGAGTTACTTTCAGTATATCTTCATACTGTATGTACCAAACAATTTTAGTTAAAGCTGCGTAGGTATTAATAGTATCAAAGAATGAAAAGTACCACGTTTATACCAGTGGCATGAAATAAGATAAAGTCACAACATTTAAAAGCATGATCATCCAACAGCAGCCTATCCACCCTGTTCTTTCTAAATTATCTTTTGAATTTTATAAGACAATATAAGACAAATTGTTTGGTTTACAGTAATTAACTATAATTAATTCTGATACATAATGAATAACATCTGCTGGTTTGCTTGGTTTAGCTTTGTATTCAGCAAGTAGGACTTCTAGCAGTTGTAAAATGTCCTTGGTCACTGATTTAGTTTAACTGGGACCTACCTGCTGAATTACAGTACTGTTTTTTTCAGGGGGTCTTCATTAAAGTAAGATCATAATAGCAATCATCAAGGACAGGTAAAGAATCAACAAAATGGGAAAAGAGGGGGGTTGGCCAAGGTTCTGTTTGTTAGCATAGCTTGTGGAAATCTGTATTTACATTATTTCACTGTTTGATATAACCATTTCTTTTCCATTTGCACTAATGCCGAGGTAAATTCTGTTTTTGTGGTGACTGGGAAAGTAATTTTTCCCGGAGTGACATTTAAGTCTGCAAGTACATCAAATATACTTACCTTTGTAAAACTCATGTACTTAACAATGGCAATGTTGCTTATATGGATGTCAACACTAATATAAATAGTGAAATACTGTTTAGGTTAGGCTCAACCCTAAAATAAAGAGTGATGATTTTGTTTTTAAAAAGGTCGGAGTCTATATAAACAGTGACAACGCTGACTTTAAGAGAAACGTTAGTGAATTTGAGTCAGAAAATGCTTGAATCAGATCCATTTACAATTGCATTTTTCTCTGTTAATTAAGGGCTTTATTCAGACCAAAATTCAATTTCCACATTTTTTGTCACTGAGACTTGTGGAACTCCTGCGGTGTCTAATCTCGCAGCAGAAGCCAGAAGTCTCTTAGCAGTGCTCCCAGGGCACTTGGACTTGAGTCTTTGGCAACATCCTCGAAGTAGCAGTGAAAAAAAGGTCACACCCCTCTCACACACCCAAGTGAGGAATGTGACCCACATCAGGACAACTAGCAAGATGCTGGGGAAGAATGTGTGCACAGGGGACCCAGGGCCCCACTCCACTTAGGATGGCTGAGTCTGCAAACTTGGGTTGTCTGTGTGCCTTCCCAGTCCCTCCACTACTTTCCAGCAAAGGCAAGGGGCCACAAAAATATTACGGTATCCCATGCTTTACCTAGGAGACCAGGAATTGTTAGTTTTTATATTACTGTCTTCATATAAGAAGTAGAACTGAGATCCTTTCTATTTGCTAAAATTCTCATTAATGGTCCTGTGGGACTTTGGGTGTTCCCCCATCTGTTGGGGCCAAATTCCAATTTAGGCGTTACATTAAACTCTTCCAGTCCTTCTTAATGTCTACGGTATTATTCACTCCTTACTTTGCTGTGTTGGGTGGTGTTGCAGTATTTCATCTCAGAAATTTTTGTGGTTGGTGAAATCATTATTACAGTCATGTGTCTGTGTTTTCGTAGATCTCTGGAGGAGAGGTTGGGTAGGGTCCTGTGATGCCATTATTTCTAGCTGGATGCTCCCTGTCAGGAGAGCGACTGGGTGATTGTAGATGGCTGTGACAAGCAGATGTCATTGATCAGTCTAGAGAATAACCTCCTTTTCTGCTCTGCTTGGCTGATTCCTCTTGTAGGTACCATGGGAAAGAATGAGCTGTTTTTAAGCTCAGCAGAACTCCAGGTTCCTAGGAGATGAGGGCAGTGCTAGTTAGATACAGCTGCATTGTTAAGACAGTCACTGGAAACCAAGGGGAAAGTAACTACACATCACAGGCAGGCTACTGGTGGTAATTAAGGAACACTTGGGGCTGACATAGGTCATTATTCATACAGATGTAGATTATATAAACTAGCTGTGGAAGAAACCCTTCAAGTTTCCTCTGTGCAGGTATGATGAGTTGTAAGAATTTGTTAGGTTTTTTTCGCTGAAGACTTTGAAAATTTTTCTACATCGTATCTATGATGATGATTTAGTATATGGATTAAGATTTGTTAGTGAAGACAATCATGATATGGAAACTTTATTTTAAAATCACTGACAAAATGTAAGGAGAATTATGGACACTGCCTGGCTTCTGCAGTAGATATTTTGGTTACGCTCTAGAAACCTGTTGAAACTTCTGAACATTGATTTAGTGGAGAAAGTCAGAGAAGATAATTTTTGTTGTCTGCAGTCATCCTGGCGTGAGCTGCAATCCTGTCAGATTGCATTAGCTGAACAGTACCTAGCTGCTCAGTGCTTTAGAGTGGGGTATTTCCAAGGCAAACCCGAGTGCAGTAAGGAGGACAGGCAGTTCAGTAGGTGGTACATGTCCCTGTGAGTCTGTACAGAACCAGTGTCTCAGTGTGGTACCAGGAGAGGCTGTGCTGCTGGAGATAATGGTTAAGCTCCTGATCACTGTGGTCATTACACAGTTTGCAGTCTGGTCCCAAAACAGTTTTCTTAATTCTAGTATGCAGAATTCAGACTGGATGAGTTACAGTTTCCATAGAGTTAGTAAATTTCTGCAGTTTTAAGATGTTCATCCATCCATATTAAGCAGTAAAACTTTTGCAGTTTAAAGATACTGTATTTTCAGTTTGCAGATGCAATATTTTTTTCGTTTCTGTTTCATTTCTGTTTATAAGATGCCTAATGAAAGATGCTAATTCAGAACTCCTGATTATACCTTGAATTTGATTATTATTACTAATTATAAAATACCTTTTCTTGTGCCAAAACTAATTTAGCTAACCTGCCTCTGCATCTCTTTTTGTCTTAAAGATATTGATGAATGTAGCACCATTCCTGGAATTTGTGATGGAGGGGAGTGTTCAAACACAGTTAGCAGTTACTTCTGCAAGTGTCCTCCAGGGTTTTATACTGCTCCTGATGGCTTAAAATGCATAGGTGAGTAGAATCCCGTGAAGAATAGGACAGTAGGTGTTATAAAAATTCATTATTATGAAGAATGGGTAACAATGTGTCAGAAACCTATTTCAACTTGTGAACTTGAAATCCTTCTTTTATGTAGAAGTATATCACATGCCTGTATGTGTATTCTGAAATGAGTTTTCCATTTCCTGGATAGTTCTTTTTTTGCACTTCTTCGAGACCTCTTTTATTTTTTTACTGTAGCTTTTCTGTTATGTCCTATTTGTTGCCTTAGAACTTATTTAAAGGCCTCCTTGGTATTGTTGCTGTCATGCTTGTCCTTGATTTAATCTGGTTTATATTCAGCAATCATTTGGAAAAGCAAATTTGCATTCCAACTCCATACAACCCTAATGTTGCATGCAACCCTAGGATTTGCATACAACCCTAATGCAGGCCTTTATCATTAGAGGAACTAATTTGATAAACCAAAAATGGGATATTTTTATGTGCTTTTATAACGTTGATGATTTGGCAGAGCTGTTCTCTCTGGCTTTCACTGTAGTAGAGCAGAGCCCATCTTGCAAAGGCTGGACTGAGAACCAGAGAGCTTTGTGAATGAAATGACTGCCATTGCAGTGCCAAAGGTCTGAAAGAACAGTGTTAACAGTTAATGCTTCTGGGAAGCATACAGCCTGCTCTGAGGCAGGTCTAATAGTTAATCAATTAGGTTTTTTTCTAATTTTTGTGCAGTAATTTATTTTTTCAGTGCCAGTGCTAAATTTTGAGCAAAAATAAAATGAAAGGTTTATGTCCTCAGTTTTAGCATATTTATTTAAAGGTTCTCACACAATGCCAGCACTAGGAACCAACTAAACATCCTGTTTAGTATCTTTGGTAGGAAATAATTTCAGAAAAAAAATTGGAATGAATCCCAAAGTTTGCAGAGATCAGTACCAAATAATAATAATAATTTTCCCAAGAGACCTGCAAGTAGTTTGGGTTATAGTTAATTTTGAATGGTGCCATTCAATTTCTGCAGGCTGTAAGAAAAAATAAAAATAAACTGCTATTCTTCCATCATCAAGAATAGCTTTTCTGTAGATTTGATCCATGCTGTACGCTTAAAATGCCAATGGGAGTTGCTTTTATTGCTTCAGATTAATAGCTTCTAAATTGCTATGGATCATCAAATCATTTATTGCTGCCTGTACTTAATATTTGTGAGCAAGATTGACCTTTCCGTAAAAAAAAATTTCTAGAGATGCACAACTTGCATTTGCTTTTTACTTTTTATAGTCACTGCTCTGTCAGGGCTGCCCAACTTTCACACCCATGTCATATTCCTGCAGTTTCTCAGCATTTTTACCCCCTGTATTTGTAGGCTGAAGTAATTCAGCTGAAGAATTGGAGTTTTAAATGATGACAAGGTATAATAAATAATATGTCAGACTATGAGCCATCATTGAAATTTTGGCTTTGTCTTCAAGGCAAAATGTGTTAAATGGGAAGCACTATCAATTGTCTGCAGATATTTTGGATTCTTGTCTAATTTGCAGACTCAAACTTGCCATATTCACAGGGACAGAGCCCAGATCTGTGTTAGTGCTGGGCAAAACATGTACTCTTGATTTAATTATAACATGCCTGTCTTAAGTGAAAAGTATTAGCTGGACGTGTCTGTTCTGTTAGAGAGGAGGAAATGCTTCTGAGAAATGTATCCCTTAGGGGACTCCAGCTCAGCAGCACTGGGGCCAGATATCCAAAGGATGCACCAGGAGCTCCATTATTACAAATCTTAAAAATAAGAATAGACAAAGCAAAGATATTATCTCCTAGAGCTGAAAAGCAGAAACAAGAGCAGGGCATCTCATCCCAAGTCCATGAAGAGTGCAGTGAAGAAAGTTGCTAGCCCATACTTCCATCTGACATAAATTTGTTTGGTCTGCGTTACTTTCTGATGGCCTCTTTTTACATTTTTTCTTTTTGAGAGACATGTTTTTATTGAAATTTATTCTTGTGGTGATTTTTTGCCATTTCAGAAGACTATGATTTTTAGTAAAAACAATAAATACTAAAAACTGAAACAGATAGAAGTTATTTCCTGCTGTTCTTGTCCTGGTTGGTGTGTTTTTACCATTTAGAACAGAAAAAGAAAGGCAGGGGGGAAAGTAAAAATAATACCTTCTGATTAGAAATATGGAAAGATTTGATATTTTTCTCATAAAATTACTGTCTTTTTTTTGAAAATGATGTGGCTTTTGGACACACTCTTATAATTGTAGATAAAGCTGTTCGCTCTGTGCTTATCTCTTCATGGCACATTGTGTACTTGCACAGATCCCATGTAAATTCATTTTCCACTTTCCATTACTGCTCTTAAATGTTTCAAAACTTGGTACTGACCAAAAATGGAGAAGGATGAATTACAAAAGATAATTATTAGGTCAGTTAGATTACTTCCTTCTTCCCATCCACCCCACCATCACACCAAACAATTGAATATCTCTCCAGGGGTGCTGGAGAACAGTTTCAACTCCAAGGAGTTCTATTTGATTTTTAAGAGGGTAGATGAAGGAGTAAATATGTGTAGCAGTTTAGCTGGGCACCAGGAGAAAATGGAGAGCCAGTATTAGAACTGAAACTTGATTTTTTTGTTCTGTTTCAGGTTTCCATCATATGATAGTATGAGTGATCTAAATAAAGTTTGTAAATAAAGGCCAACTGACTCTTTTAGCTGTATTGTCAGTAATATCCATGTTTAGATTTCCAGCTAATAAAAAGCAGAACTGTCACATATTCTCACAACATATCATTATATGTCAATTTCCTCAAAATAGTAAGAAACTCCTCTGCATTTTTTATATCCACTTGTGTAGCTAGTGAATTCTGGAAAGCACTTGTACTAGATAGATGAATCCACCATGCCCTGGATAACTGAGGTACTGCTTCTTTAGGGAATGATGTCTGCTGTTTTAAGACCAGATCTGCAACTTTTTCATCTACATATTGACAGCAACTATTTGTATATTTTAGAAACAAACTTGGTCTGGTTTATCATGCAGCGTCAAATCACATTACAGCTTATATTGCGTTTGGCATGATGTGACATATTGTGAAACAATTCCTCAGAGCTTTAGATGCTATCACAATATTATTTTTTATGATTTTTTTTTTTAGTCCCATCCACGTTTTCTTGTCCATCTCTAAGCTGAGCTATCTCTAACAACATTGCACAGAGCTGAGTATATAAAATCAGGGTACAGGACATTCTTTGTACAATACATGCTGATCCTTTTCAGACAGGAAGCCAACAGATCTCCATAAACAGTGTGATTGCATCAGTTAAAACTGTATTGCACTTTCTTGCCTGCAAGCCTATATCTTGTCAAATCACTACATACTTCAGCTGGGGAAGCCATGACTAATGAAAAATGAACTAATGCTTTGTGAATTGCAGTGCTGTGAATTTATTGCTGTGCATCAGTGCTTTCAAATCAAGACTTAATTGATCTGGTTCTATCTTTAATAAAAATGATGCTGCAATTTTTTTTAGGGCCATGGAAGCATATTTTGTTATATACTGAATGTATGTTTTTACTGCATTTTTGCATCTGTTAATGCATTGCCGCTCCATATTTCACTGCAGCTTTCTCACAGGTTACACTTGAGTCCAGAGCAGCCCAAATATTGTCCAGATTTTTTGTTTTCCTGATTCTTGTAATGTTGCAAGGGCTATGCCATTGATAATGCAAATCACTCCAGAAAAACGGGACCTTTCCCTTTTGTGACAGCCACGTTCCCCCTTGAACTGACGCTCACCCATCCGTTTCCTTCTCTTGGCAGACGTGCGCCCTGGATTCTGCTTCTCCACGCTGAGCAACGGGCGCTGCGGCAATCAGCTGCCGCAGCCCCTGTCCAAGATGCAGTGCTGCTGTGACAGCGGCCGCTGCTGGGCCTCTGCTCCCGCCACCGCTCCAGAAATGTGCCCCATCCGATCCACCGGTACGAACCCACCCGAGCTCTCGGCAGCGTGGCTGAACACTTGATTAGCACTGGTTTCTTGTTGTTTGGGTTTTATCTGTAGTGTTTTCATTAAAGAACTACACAGAATGGTTGAGGCTGAAGGGCACCTTGGCAGATTGTTTAGTCCAAGTGCCCTGCTCAAGAAAAGCCCACTGTATGGAAGAGTGCTCAGGACCTCCAGGAGGGCAAGCAGACAGAAAGAATTATTTGTTGCCAATTAGTGTTTTGTAGTCAAGTTATTCTGACCCTGTTTCAGATTTGTTTTCAACATCCTCCTCAAGATAAGTTAGTTCTTTTAGACCCTTCTAATATATCCCTATTCCCTCTGCATTTTCATTATCATTGGGAAACTGGGATTTCCTTCCTCATAACAAGCTTTCTGAGGTGCTATATATTTCCTGAAGTTTGACACAGAAGATGATTTCTCTCTGCTACCAAAATTCTTTATTGCCCCCTTGTGTACTGAGATCCTCAGATAATGTATCCATTGAACTGAGAGAAGATGGTGATGGCGAAGATTGTTAAACCAAGCATAAGGGACTGGAGGGAAGCTGATTTTGAGATTGTTAGGACTGGAAACCTAATAAAATCCTTTAGAAAAGGAGAATACAAGAAATTTAAGAATTCATGGGAGGAGGTTAAGGAAGGTGCAGAGTTGATGAAGGAATGGGATTGTAACACTATAGCAGTGTAACTCTGAAGAAATTGTCGGAGTTAATATATGGGAGTTTTTATTATTCTTGGTTTTAATCCTTTGAGTGAAACTGCATAATACTGGAGCAGAAATCTGCAATCAGAACTGTTGGAAGACTTTCTGTTTCTATCACTATCTCATTAATAAACAGGGTTTACTGTTGACACTATTTAAAGACTAAAAGGAATAATAGAGTGAAATACAGTGACACATGAAACAAACTGATCATCCAGCAGCATTAAATAAATGCAAACATCATTATCAGGAAAAGCAGAACTTTAGGCTATGATGTTTAACAAATCTTCTGTGATTCAGGAAGAGGTTCTAATGTGTTTTACAGGTGGAAACAAATATGATGAAAGTGTTGAAGGCTGAAATATACAGCTTAGTTCTCCCAACATTTACTTTCTTTTTCTCATTTTTCATATTGTTTCAGGAATTCATTAATCTCTAGATTTTTTTTCCCCATTATGTAATTCCTCTTTCCTGTTGTTCCACAGACTTTAAATGTTGAAGTTCAAAGATATTATCTGCACAAATGATTGCTTGTGTGCACACAAAATGTGAACATGAATTAGGTCAGCTGGAATGTGGTCTTTAATTGTGATACTCTGTGTGCACTTTTTGGATTGCAAGTTTGAAACCCAGACTTCCCAAACACAAAAGAGTCGTGGGCAAGAGGAAAAGTGGGGCAGTAGGGCAGATGCCACTAATAGAGCTAAAGAATAGGAGAATGCAACACACTCACCATAGACTGTGCTTAGAGCAAAATAGATAATTTTCCCATCACCTGGAAAAGGATGAATTTCTGTGGATCTGACTTGGTTTCTGTTTGGCTACACTACTTAGACTGCTAACTAAGTTAAACTGTTTGGTTTCTGCTTTTATTGGCAAACTTAATTTTCACAGGGAAATACTGTATTCATTCTCTAATTGGTTTTGCCTCATTGCTTATATTTATATTTCTTTGTTTTAGGAGGTTACCTTTTAAGAAACCCAGTTGAAACTGGGCTTTTTTCCTTGTTCAGTATTTTTCTAGCGCTGTGTCAAGCTTTCTATTAAATTAACTTGGGATCAAATCCAGAAGTCCTTCTTTAGGTAAACTTCACACTGAGTTCACCAAAGATTTTTGCTTGAAAGAAGACTAAGTAGATTAGGATCAGGTCCCTGCTTCACTGTTCAATTTCACGTCCAGAATGTCAGTTCTGTTACCTTTTTACTGGCAGTCTTCTGACAAGTAGTGTTGAGATTCTGTGGATTAATGACTCGATTCAGAGAGCAAAGCTTGGTGCTATGAAGAAAACATATAGGCTCACATTTTCCAGATTATTTAGGTTTTGTTCTTGCTAATCTGAAACACTGCAAAAAGGGAGAGTGTTGGATTAAATGGAGCAGGCTGCAAGAGTCTAAAACAGTGTTGATATTTTCTTGTTTCAGACGAGTATCGTAAATTGTGCACAGTAGCTGCTATGCTGCCAGCAAGACCTGACCTTCCACCAGCCCGTCCTGACATCATCCCTCCACCACACATTCCTGATGTTTACCCTCCTCCACACCCAGAAATCATCTATCCATCTCGGGCTCCACCAGTTCATCGTAAGAGAGAAAGAAATAACCTTTCCTTGCACCATGGCCATTTAGCTTCTTTAAAAGCATGCATTTCTCAGGAGCAGTGTGCTCCCTCCAGCTGTTGGTGTCTTTTACTTACTATATGTGGACATGAGGCTCTGGATACCCTTTTATTCAGAGCCTGTCTACCATGTGCCTTGTGGCAAGATACCTGTCTCATTAGTAGTGTTTTCCCTGATAAGACAGGTTTCAAAAATTACATTCTCATTGTCTGTACTGTGGCTCATGTATTGTAGTAGTTACATTACTGTTATTTTAAGGCTGTTGAGAACTTTGCTGCATGTCAGCACTGCAGAGTATGAATAGCTCTTTGACTAGGTTGTGAAAGATATTTACATTTAAGAGCTTGTTTGGGAGAAAGCAACTTCTTTCAGGTTGTTTTCCTCACTTGCACTTGGCCAGGTAGGAAATGTACTGATCAAAACTGCTGTACTCTGCTGGACACTGAGACTGACCCAGTGCACAGAAAGAACTATTTTAGTGATACACATGGATGGGTTAGTTTTCCCTAAGGTAAGAAGGAAGCCAGAGCAGACTACCAGTATAGAGTAACATACCAATATCATATAGTCCTTTTTCTGTCTTTGCTCAGAGAATTTACTACATGCCCATGTTGTCTGGAGTAGGCATGTGCCACTTGAAATCATCTGGCATAGCCACATACTCTTTTGCAAGTAAACATAAGCTTACTTTGCCCATGCTCTGTGCAGATGCAAGCAGTCTCTGCTTGTACTGGCACCAGCTGAAACTATTTAGTCTTGGTTCAGCACCAAGCTGAGCTAATAAGCCTAAGAGGCAAAGTATTTTAGCTCAGGCTGACACTGCACTGACGTAGCTGCACAGTTTCTGGTCAGCTGGTAGCAGGGACAGAGCCAGCTCACCCCTGCCTGCCAAAGACAGTGTAGGCATATTCCCAGGGTTATCCCTGCCCTCCTCACAGCTATCTGGGAAGGCAAAAATAATGAACCACTCTGCCTGCTCTTTGCTACTCCAGGTTTTTAGTAGAGTCCCTGCAGTGCCACACACCCACTGTACCTCTAGGTATGAGCAGACATGTTCGTTCCTTTTTGGCAGGACAAAAGATGAAAACACAACCAGATTTGCCTCAATGAAAATTTCTGTGGTTGTTAGCTGTTTTCAAACCAATCTCTAAGAGTCAAAGTACCATTTTCTCTCTCCCATTCCACTATGTAATTCACATTACAATGCTGATTTTTAATGGAAAATCCTGTTCAAGTTGTAGGTTATCAGAAGCTATTATGATGAACTATTATAATATTTTCCCAAATGTTGTTATTTCAGCGATCTTGCCGGTGAACTTAACTGACTATTGCCAAGCATTCCGACATCTCTGCCGAAATGGACGTTGTATTCCCACTCCTGGGAGCTACCGCTGCGAGTGCAACAAAGGATTCCAGCTGCATGGTAGAGAGGAATGCCTTGGTATGTGGTTTTCTGCTGTAAATCACATTTACATTTTAGAGAAATAATCATTCTTCTCCACACAATGTAATAACTGAGTTCTTAAATAAAAGAACCCCACCTCCAAAACAAAATCTAGTAAAGAGACTTTGACAAACTGATTGATTTCAATGGCAAACTTACTTTTACAACAATTTTGCCTTTAAAACAGGATTTAACAAATCCTGTACCAAAATTATACAGAAGCAAGGATTTCTTATTTTACTAACCCATGACCATAATGTGTTTATTAGTTATTGAAAATGATCTCTTTAAAATGCTACCAGCTTTTTTGAGTATGCAGTGACCTATTGTTAAAAAAATCATAAACTTAGGCTTAGTAAAATTTATAAGTATTTTTTATTTAAGCTTGTGAGTAGTATCTTGTTGGCCTCTTGAGACCTTTAATATTGGAACTCAGCAAAAGTTCAACGATAGAAGCAAAGATTAACTGTTATAGGCAAGATTTTGTTTCTGTCAAAATCATCAGTGGAGCTGGGCATGTGGAGATATAGGATTAAGGCCTCTACCTCTCATACATGCAGTATTTTACTGAAAATTCATTTTTCCCAGATACTGTTTATCTTAAAACATATGGGGTCTTTTTTTGGGATCTCAGTGATATCCCATTTTCTTAGGGATTGAAGGGCACTATTTCTCCAAGTACAAAATGACAAAATACCCCTGCAGGCAAAAATAACTGTCAGCCAGTGTGGTAATAAAATTGTATTGTCTACATTCCATAGATATTGATGAATGTGAAAGGAATCCATGCGTTGGTGGAGACTGTGTGAACACACAAGGATCCTACGTCTGCCAGTGTCGTGTTGGGTATCAGAGCACAGCCACCAGAACGGAGTGCCGAGGTAATGGGCATACAGCCACATCTGCTATTGTCTACTTATCAGGAGGGAAAATAGTTTTCAAGAAAAATTTAACAGATGGTTCAAATATGGGTGTTTAAAAAAAAATTCAGATATCACAGTAAAAATGACTGACCTGCTGGAGCTGACTGTTCACTGACTAGGTTATGAGAAAAGGCATTTTGTCTTGTGCTAAAAGGATCTTGGCACTATTTTTGGCTTTGAAATAGAAGATACATATTTTCTTGGTTTTTTGGTTTTTTTGTTTTTTTTTAATATTAAGACTATTTTGCTGCTTGAAGATCTCAAGGACAATTAAGCATCTCTTCACTGGAGAAACACTTCCTTTATGAAAGACTAAGGAAGCTGGGGGGAAAGATAAAACTTCCAGTGGGTAAATATAAGGTCACACTGCTAGTGTATTGTCTCTGCTCACTGCCAGGGAAACAGCTAAACATAAAGTACAGCATTGAAAACTTAGATATGGAAAAGTAGTGGGAAAAAAAAAAAAAAGTAGGGAAAGTCTAGATGGGGAAGCCTCAGAATCCTCATTATAGTTATTCTGAGGATCTGATTCGACTCTAGTCCTGATGGTCTTCATGCTGTTTTCTATGGGAGTGAACACATAGCTCCGCAGCTGTGGACCAACCATCTGTCAAAGTTTTGTAACTCCCAAACTGGGGTAGGGGTTCAACTGTAAAGGTAGATGGATGCAGTCCTTTATAATTAAGGCATGATGAGAGATTTCTGGCAGAAGAATAAATTACTGCTTTGATATTCCATAAGAAATGAAGCATCTAAATGAAACAGGATGTTTGAATGCTCAGAGTCACAGCTTGTCTTCATATTTTGCTTCCTGCACTGGGTGCAGGGTGCAGAGCATGCACTCAATCTGAAGGAGAAACTTTCTAAAAAGCCAGAAGAAAGTTACCTGTATTAGTGTGTGTTTCCTTCCTTTTGTGCATCAGAGATGTGTTTGTGGTACAGAAGCTTGCTCTCTGGTCCAGGAAGACATGCAGAGCCAGCAGCACTGCTGCCTGTTGCTGGGGAGTATTTGACCTAATTGCTGCCAAGCAGCCGTGTTGCGGAAGCATCTTCATGGTTCAGCTGACTGGTGGTGAGGGAGTGCTGAAGGGGAGTCTCAGCTGTGATGAATTTACTCATGAGTCATTTTTGTCACACGCTTTTAATTTGACTGATTCATTACACAAACACATGGTTGTCAGAAGCCCAGTAGCTTAATGGCATTTAAGTGTGGTCACTTAGCAGTTCTTGCAGTCTATGGGAGCTGTGCCTGCTTGACAGCCAGAGCAGAAAATGCTGCGATGTGCAGAATCTTGGTTTTCTAAAGGAATTTTTAGGGCCAGTATAGGGAAAAGAAAAAGGTTAATTGGGTGCATTTGGCAAAATGTACATATAGCACTGGTGCCTGCCAAATCAGCATTTACTGTAGAATTGGATGTTGAGATTTTTTTTTTTTTTGCATGCACAAATGTGTCTCTGCTGGTGTGCTTTTGGAAATGTGTTCCTTATGAAGTCTTTTAAGCTCTTGAAAAATGAGGTCTCCATAGTGACCAGATGTTTATCTATTCCTTGCTCCATGGTTCCATGGGAGGGTTTTTTGTGCCTGATGATTCTCACTGGTGACTAAACATTGCAGTCTGTATTGCAAGCTACTGATTCATCCATTCTTAGGATCCCTTATAAGTATAATATGAGCTTGGCTGAATTAATATCTTAATTGGAGACATAGGTGAATAAAGTCACATTATGATTAATGATTTGAACAAAAAATGCTTCTCAGTTGCAGAAGAGAGGATATGAAATGGACCTCAAAAAAAGGTGAAATTTTATGGTGATTAGCTATGAATGTGGGCTTTAACAGCTAAGTGCTTACTATAATCTGTTCAACATTTCTGATGAGAGGAAGTTAGGTCTTACAGGGAGATGACAGCAATTTTGGATATTTCATTGAGAGAGGGGACTTTGATGTTTTGCAAGTTTCTCTGAGAAAAAAAAATGGTGATGTTATTTCATTTGAAAATTAGAAATATGTTGGACTAGTAGTGGGATTCTGATCAGATGTGTGTATGTAAAGAACGAGGTTCAGTATTAATTTTCAACGCATTTAAATGGCATCAGATGCATAAAAATACAAAAACTAATAAGCTCTAAAAATTAAAAGGCCTTGAGATGCTGTAGCATTTCTGCCTGTCCTAAGGAAGAAAGCTGGTGGAGTAGCTGAAACCAGACACGGATGCAATCAAGGGTCAGAAAAATGGGGTGAAAAGGGACTGAGCAGAGAGGAAACTCACATTTATGCATTGCTGCTTGAGGATGCTTGTTTATCAAATGAGGTTTAGCAAACTTGTACACTTTTGGTGGACGGCTGCAAGCTGCTGCTGCAATGAGTGGTCAGTGAGCAGCTCGTGCCTCTGCTGGCATGGTTGCTTGCTTGCAAAACAGTGATTTTCAGGGATTTCTTAGACTCTTCACAGAGCTACCATGCTGCTAAGAAGGCAAGTATAGATTCACACTTTCAAGAGGTATCAGCTCCCCTGGCCTAAGTGTCCAGAGAGCAGGGGCATTTGGGAGGACACCCTGTGCTCCACTTCTTCCTGAAGTGCAGCAATGCTTTTCCACAGAGGGGGCTCGGGGAAGGGCTCCCCCAGGGTGTTTGGGAAGCGTGGGTGCGTAATAGACAGATCTGCATGGGCTGGTTGTGATCTCTGTGAGCAGAGTCCCCTGTGTGCAGGAATCTCTGGGAGATGGTCCAGGCCTTGATGGAGAATACTGAGCAATCTGAAAAATGTCTAGACAGTCTGTCTCAGCATCTCCTCTCCCCTCTGTTGGAGGAGAGGGAGAGCTGCCAGCCTCGTGTGATATCACTCTTCAGGTCCTCCAAAGCACTTGCCAAGCACCTCCTGCAGAGAGAGGGGAATGAGGATCTGATGTTTCAAATACAAAGTAAGCAGGAGAAATTCTTCTGAGGTGGGAAAGTCTTGAACTTTCCTGTTACCTTACAAAGCAGCAGCAAAAGACACACTTTCCCACATCTTTCCTTAATTAGTTAGGTACTGTTAAATTAAAGTTCAGTAAAAATATTTTGATGATGAGCAAAAAAAAAAAACAACAACTGCAGAAATTGTGAATCTGGTTTGAGGAAGCTGCAGGGTAGTGTTCACTGAAATTCTTTCACAGCAACTTGAAATTTCAAGCTGTCAAACATTTTCCACTCCCATAATGTTCAGTTATGGAAATCAAAATATCAATCATTTTTCAGGTAATACAATTTCCATGGAGGTTTAAAAACCTGGGGGAAGGGCAGATGGGAAAAATTCCTGTTGAGTAACAAAAAGGAGTCTCCCAAAATATTATTTTTCTTTCTGGTTGGCTTTCAGACATTGATGAATGCTTACAGAATGGTCGTATCTGTAATAACGGACGATGCATAAATACAGATGGCAGTTTTCACTGTGTGTGTAATGCTGGCTTTCAAGTGGCAGCTGATGGGAAAAACTGTGAAGGTAAGGCTTTTCTGAAGTTATTCCATATCAATAATTACAGTTGCAAGAGGTTATTCACATAAATGAAAAAGAAGAGGACCCCTGGTGGGGGGAAGGGAAGGAACAAGGAGTCAGATATTCAAATACCTTTTGCTGTATCTGGGAGGGCAAATAAAATGTCTTTTGCAGCCAGTTCTGGAGCCTTGGCTTGGCAATCCTCAACGGAATGTCTGTCCAGCAGGAGAAATAGCACATACCACTATCACAAAATGCAGTTTCTTTGATGGGAGTGGTACATTTTAAAACATAGCACAAGTCACATGCTGCCTGATTTTACTGTGTGCTTAACAGCATGCTTTATGGGATCTTACTGGGTGACAAGCTATGGGGTTTATGTAGATGCAGTCTGGTCTGACCTATAAAAATAGTTTTAACAAAAATTTGTAAACATAATTGATGTGTTCCTACCTCCCAGACCTTTAGTAAAGGGGAAAAAAGAAGAACGTTTTTTTATCATGCTTCCCAAGGTCTTGGGAGGGTTCCCAATGATCTATTCATACGTTAAAAGAATTTCAAGCACTGTTCTTAGAAACATTTTTGGCAGAATATTATCTCAGTGATTCAGCTCAAAGACTTAATGCCAAAATTCCTGGTTGGGATAGATACATGATTTTTTTTTTTTAATCATAAATTATTTTTGTCTGACTTAGCCTGTAAGTAAAAAGAAAACACACTATGTCTAGAAGTGTAATTTCTGTCCAAGACAGCTGCAATATTAAGGAAAATAGCATGATTCTGAATATATTGTAATGTCATTATGATCCAGTGATTTTATGTGCTAGTAGTGATTCTGTTAATCCTTGGTAGAGACAGACATTTTTAGATTCTATTTTTCCTGACTCTTTTTTCGATATAGTTTAGCACCATAAGCTGCTTTTAAAATATCTTATTATGGAAGTACATTGACTAAATATATTTGGAAATTAGACTATTCAGGAAAAAACTCTATTCTGATTTCTTCCTTTCCCACCAAATACCATGTGCTAATAGTAATAAAAACCAGGACATCGTCAGTCTGGTAAAACATTTTTAATTCCATTGCATGTGCTGCCAGAATGTCTGTTGCATCCACTTATGAAACAGTTTCATCTCTGGCATTGTAATGCATTGAGTTGTATGCACACACACTAATCAGTAAAGACCATGGCATTGTGCCATACCTTAATGTAACTGTGTGTAGTTCTTTAGATGAAACTGGTAAATACTACTGATTTTTTTTGGATGTAACATCCGAAACTGATTTCATCCGTGCCAGGACAAAGTAAAGACTGAGAGGATATAAAAGCTTACTCAAATCAAGAACAGAATTCTCTGTACTTGCCTTTTTTTTTTTTTTTTCCTTTCCCATTTTGTGAGTAACTGTGCAGAGTTCAAAATAACAGTGTCTGAGACCTCCACTTTTTACTATTTGAGTCCTCTGTGATATCCCATTAGCTCAGAGGATGAATAATGCTTTCATGAAGCTGTAATTAGGAAGTACCCTGCTGTATGGCCTGTCATGCTGAATGCAGGAAAGGGGCAGGTTTTAGCAGGTTTTATTTTAAATGCAAGTTGAGGATGTCAGTGCCCACAGAATATATGCTTAAGCACAATGCTGGGAATTCTCTCATACCATAAATTTTAGACTTGTCCAGTAGAGGTTATAAAAGTTTTCACTCCAAACCCAAATGTTCACTCCTCTCCCTTCAGGTCTTCTTAGTAACATAAAATTGTATTTACATTCCAAACAGGAGGCTGCTTCTAACCTAACTTCTATTTAGATTAAGATGTCAAACCCTCTTTAATTACATCCATTCTCACTTTTTGATGGCTTTTACCAATTGGAAGTTCTTAAGCTGTCCAGTTTCTCATCCATTTTTTGTTCTCTTTGCTTTTTTTGGGTTAATTCCTTTTTATGTTAATTCATTATGAAAAATGGAGTCATTGCTTTGACACATCCTCTAGGACAGTGCAGTATGTCCCTTCATATGTTTCTGATTATCATTGTAGCTCTGACAACTAAGAAGAAAATTAAGGTTTATCTTTTGGATATAACTAGTAACAGTTCTTATGCTTAAACATTATGAGCATTATACCTATCATGTACATTTTCAGATATGGATGAATGCAGCATCAGGAACATTTGCCTCAATGGGATGTGCATCAATGAAGATGGCAGTTTTAAATGCATTTGTAAACCAGGGTTCCAGTTAGCGTCTGATGGACGATATTGCACAGGTAAGCACAATAAATTATGGCTTCCCAAAAGGTATGAGTCCTGTCTCCCTAGGTAGCTTCAAGAATAACCTTATTTGTGATTCTTGGGAACAAGAGGTATGGGGCAGAGTTCTCAGCAGATATGCTTTTTTAATCAGCCAGAATTATTTGTCATTGTGCAAGACAGTACTCAGTCTTCTCCACATTGTTGAGCAACCATTCCAACCAGCCAGTGGGAAATATTGTGTGAACAAGGACTGCATAATCTGACCTAGTTAAACTCTGGGTTTTTTGCCTATGGTGTCTTCTGCATATTGGTTCCAATATATCTTGCATTTTGAGTTTGGCTTTTGGAAGTATTCTGTCTTTGGCCACCCAAACATCCTGGCTTATTGCCTTTTTTGGGCTTTTCCCCCATTCCTGTCTGGGTGCTCCTTATTGAGTCCTTTCTGTACATGGCAAATGTGCAAGGTAAATAACTTTTGTCCTACACAACTGCAAGTCTTTGAACACTGCATATCCCAAATTTGTTTGTCAAGTGCATACATTAAAATCTTACACAAGCTAAAACTCTGTGCAAGATAAGAAATCCTGTTCACTTCTGGTGAGCAACAGAAAACACTCTGGGAAATGTTCAGCTAATAGTGAGATAAAAACCAGCTCATATAACCAGAGAACAAATTGTATGACTGGTGTGTGGTCACCTGGTGCGTGAAGCAGTGATTGGTTGGCAAGATGCATGGACACCATGGGATCAGAGAGCTTGTTCAGTGCCTTTGCTGTCCAGATAAAATAATTTAGCTTGTAGTTGATAATGTCTCTTTCGGGTATCATGGATGGGAGTTGTAATTTGTGTTTGTCTGTGTGCCAAGCTGTTGTCTCTTGGGCAGAATTCAGATGCTTTTCACGCAGTGTTGGCAGATTTTGTGACAGATCTTTTTTCTTTTTGCCTTTGGACAAGTTGTTGCAGAGGTGTTTTTTGCTTGCCTTTAACACCAACAAACTGTTGTGTGCTGTAGCCTTATTTTGGTGCATGTAATGTTTTTACTTGATGGATTGTTCAGTGAAGGTGATTGTTGCATGGCAAGAGGATCATGGGTGGAAATAGGTGGCAGGATGATCATAGATGGATATATGCAATGAGTCAGACAGGTGGTTCCACTCAGGAGGGTGGACTTTGTGCAGCAGTGTTGGCTTTGGGGAGTTTTACACAAGAAACAGTTAATATGATTAGTGATTCCATATATCATAATGTTAATACATAGAGTTTTATAAAGGGATTTTGCTGTAAGATAATTATTAAATGTTACGCATATGCATTCCTTTGGTAGTTCATAGGTTGTTCATGTTACCATTAATTATTTAGCTGCTTGTCTGCAAGAAATGTATAATTTTAAGAAACTTTCCCAACTGATATAGATAGAGGTTTGCTTAAAGGATATTTTAGGGAAACCCTTCCTGTCAAGGTCTAGGCTATGGCCAAGCCCTGGTCCTGGCTGGTCAGGAAGTATGCCAACAGACCCAGGTGTTTCTGCACCAAAAATCTTATCAAGTCACTTTGACTTTTGATATGGTCTTAGAAAAGCTGGACCCCCTTTTCAAGGTAAACTTGGAAACCTTTACTGGACAAGGTCCTTCAGGTGCTCACTGTGAAATGGGGCTCCCCAGTGATTGCAGACCCTGGATGATGGTAAAGTATTTAGGCAGGTTATGATGTATTACCTTGTTTATTTTTGCTTGGTGTGCACTTATTGTTTTATTAGATGCATTGTTTTACTATTCATAGTCAGAGAAGTGCATGTTATCAAAAAATAAAAAAAGGGGAATATGGCTCCTCAAGAACATTTAGATAATACAATTTTACACTACTTCTTTTGAATGCCGATCATCAATTTTGACTCTGGCAGAGCGGTACTGGTCTGAAGATTTGTGTGTGTGGAACCAATTTCCAAAAGTTTTATTTGGAGATCCACAACTGTGTGTGCAATGGCAAGGCCCAGCTGATTTACTAACCTAGGGGAGAAGGTATGCTTGTGTTCTATCAGCAGCAGGTCCAAAGTGGTCACCTGCTCGTCTGGACAAACACTGATCGCCTCCGAGACAAATCCCAGTGAGAGGAAAAATGACCTAATTACCATCCAGCCCTTGTGGCCAAAGCAGGAGCAGGGTAGGGCTGCCAGCAACATGGCTGTGCCTGAAAGCTTGCAGAGGCAGCCTGCCAATGGAGGCCTTGTGTCTCACTGCACTCACCATCATATTGTTATGTTCCTGCTGAATTTCTTCAGTTATTCCCTGCTCCATGCTTCCAGAAATGTTAAAGTCAGCATTTCCTGCCAATGGACTCCCTCCTGCCTGAACAGCACAGCCCCTGAACCCAGGCCATGTGAACTTTGGAACAGTAGCCATTTATTTCCAAATGCAGAAAAAGCAACTCTCTTCCTGGGAATATTGGACACTGTCTTTTTGTTTTCCTATGCTGTGGGTCTCTTTGTCAGTGGCATAGTTGTTTTTGCTGTGTTTTTATTGATTGAACAAAGAAGGGGAAGATGTGGGAGATAAGAAATTCTTTTCACTTCTGGTGAGCAACAGAAAACACTCTGGGAAAGGTTCAGCTAAGAGCAAGGTAAAGAACATGTCATGTAACCAGAGAATGGGTTCCATGGCTGGTGTGTGGTCACCTTGTGCGTGGGGCAGTGGTTGGTTGGTGAGATGTGTGGACACCATGGGATCAGAGAGCTGGTTGGGTAAAGGACACATGAACAGTGGCAGGCAGCCAGCACGTGCCTGTTTGGATGAAGTTTAGAGCATAAAAAGGCTTGGTTTGTTGCAATAAGTAATGTTCTTTGGAGCAACAAGAAGGAGGTCTATGTATCTGTGTTCCCCATTGCTACAAAACTCTAAGGTTATGCTTGGATATGCAGGGAGTGTTTACACAAACGGACATTTCTGCAGCAAATTCGTTTCCTGCCTCAGCAGTTTTGATAGGGATTTACACGTGTGTTTTTGCAGAACTAGGGGATCGACAAAGGAATGGAAAAGTGCAACTCATTGCTTCTATAACTGTCTTGTTTGACATCCTCCAAGCTGAGTTTTCAGCTGTTAGGAAGGTCTTCTAACCCAAAGATGGGGCTAATGTAATTAACACTTAGTTCCATAAAACTGGAATTTAAGTATAAGTACAGGGTATATGCTTGGCTGTCTGGTAAAAAATTCCACTTAGACTTTCTGGAAGAACATGCCAAAAAATAATGTTACACCATAGTCTTGTATATTCCCTGAAATACAAGACATGCTAAATTTATTCACTATTAGCTTCTTTCAATGATGATTTGCTTGATTTTTCAGAAACACATCTCAGGCATGCAGAAATTTGAAGCATTATGTCTGTTCCATACATTCTTTCATCTTTAGATCAACAGGAATTCCCCAAATTAAAAGTCATTGCAAGGCAATTGAAAATGGTAGTTTAGTAGTCTGAGTAAATTTTTCCTGCTTAAAATTAGAGGACTTTGTCTACCCAGCTAGCACTATTAAGCAAGCTAAGTAAAAAAGGCAAAGCTCATTGAACATGGAGAATTAATCCATTAGTTGGTTTTCCAGAACCATTTTGAATATATTTTAAGTTGTCCAAATGGTGACTTTTACCACAGAAGACAGCGAAGCATTCTCAAGATGAGAAATTTGGACTTTATTCCTATGGGTGAAGTTGATTTACTCTGTGGAATCTCAGACCTGGTAAAAGCAGAGGCTTTTTACCCATCTTTACAGGAACCAGGTTTTCAGCTGACTTGAACCATTTTAAGTGACCCACTTTACCTTTAAAAATTCTATAGCGGTATTTCCAACACATTCGTAAATCAGTACAAAAGAAAATAGATGACACATTTCTCCCTTTACTAGGTTACAAAACCTTTTTTAAAAAATGAACTACAGGAAATGGGAAAGAAGTAATTTTGCCTTTCTGTTTCTAGAAATAACCTTTAAAAAGGAAAGCTTTTTTTTTTTTTTTTTTTGCTTGTAGGAGAATATGTTATAGGAGTTCAGTGTTGTTCACCAAAATAACAGTCTACACCATTAAATAGGATGGGCTCATTTTGAATCCCAACTCCATTTTTACTTGCACTGAGTAAGGACTAAATTTAAAGTGGGGAAAAACATCTAAGATTTATCTGAAACAGAACAAAAGATTGTAGGATGAAGTAAAAATTATTTGAGCCCATGTACTCAAATACAGCTTTTATTTTAAAATGCAGTTTGAAGAAGGAATCTTGGATCATACAAGCCATATTTTATGCCAAACAACACAAACGAAGTAAAACACAGAGGTGTTTCACTCTCAATTTGCCCTTTTAAGGTCAAAAAAAAGGAAATTGTCACACACACTGTCTCTTGTATATAGCATGGAGAATTGTTATGAAGTGATTATTTTATAAAGGTTATACATACTTCCAAACAATATTTATAACACTCCTTCTCTTTTATAATTTCTAAAATGATAGTATGCTCTCTGCTTCTAGAGATTGATCTTACTATTATCAGGATACACAACCTATATAGTTTTTGTACTAGTTTAACATCTCTGTGTGATAGTTTAATATTACAAATTTTCATTCTTGTGTTTCATTGCCATGGGCCTTATTGTCCAATGTGCCATTGTTGGGCAGAGTTGGTGGCTTGTGCCAGGCAATTGCTCAGGGCTCAAATCATTAATGAATTCCTTTCAGGGTTGGAATGCGCTCTGTTCATTAGAACGGGCTGTAAAGAGCATCCGATAGGAAAACCCAATTGTCATGCAGATCACCAGAGACACTGGGACTGCAGGCAGGGTCTGACTGGGGAGATTCAGATGTGCAGCAGGAGGAAAGGAAATTCTTTGGTGGACCTGTGAAGGCACCTTGTGGAGGGGTGAAAGATTCCATTTGCTATTTGGATTGATTTCTTACAGCATGAAATGTTAATACGGAAAGGGAATGTCTTGTTATATACTACACAAGTCCTTTGTCTTAGCAGCCACAGTTTCCTCCTTCCTCCAATTATGATTTTTCCTGAATGACCCTTAAATTGGAACATGTACCTCTTGGGAACAAGTTAGGAAAATACAGTCCCTTTTATTCTCCAAGAAGAGCAAAATAATTTTGTTCTGATTATTTTTCCTGAATTTAGCATTTTCTTATTCTATTTCAAAGAATGAATTCATCGATATTCCTAACAAAATCTTTACTTGAACTGCTTTCCATTTACCCTTGTTATTTTTCTATAGGATATATTGAAAATAAGCTGCACAAATGCAAGTTTCAGCCAGGCATTGAACACTATGTAGTTTAACTTCTAATAAAGCTCATTCTGTTCTCCAACAGACATCAATGAGTGTGAGACAGATGGAATATGCATGAATGGGCGCTGTGTGAACACTGATGGCTCTTTCAGATGTGAATGCTTCCCTGGCCTTGCAGTAGGACTGGATGGACGTGTCTGTGTTGGTAAGAAACTTAATGGCATCACAGTTAACCAAAGTTAAGATATTAGTGCTAGTCTGATGGACAAATCATGTTTGAATGTAGAATTTACCATTTTTTCATGGAATAGTAGGTGGTAGTTATAGTAGATAATAATAGCTCTGTAATGTTTACTGTAATAGCCCATTTTGCTCTGTTTTCATTTCCTTTTTATTTAAAAAGAAAAAAGTGTGGGTCAAATTACAAGGTCAGGTAGACTATAAAGAGTAGAAGTGTCTAGTGCTGCTAGTAGAAGTGACTAGTTCTGAATAGGTGAGAATTTGCCTGTTTCTGTCGATGTAAAATTCTTCATTTGTCACTAAGCTTAAATATGTAATTACTGTCATGTCTTTTTAACATGGGATGTACCCAATTTTTTGCCCATTTCTATACAAGCTCAGTGGTTGATTATAAAATACTAATATGTGTGAAAGCTATTTATGAGCCAGTTCTTAAAGAAAGAGAAAAATCACCCCTGGACCTGAAAACATAAACATATGAAGTCTTATGTACCAGAATAGCATTAATGACTTTTCCTTGGGCTTTTTACGAGCGAAGAAAGAGCAAAGACTTTGTCCATTTTCCCCACCGCTTCTCACTAGTTCAAGGTTAAGAACTGATTGTTTGCCTAGTAGTTCACCAATGCATGTTAAGTCATTACATACAATGACTAATTGTATGCCTTAATTCTTGGGAGCATGAGGAAGAAAAATTTCTTGTCCCTAGTAGGGGGGTATGTATAGGTGGCTGGAAAGCAGAGAGAAATAGTGAAAGAGACTTTGTTTTGACAGATATTTTATGGTGTTTATGACACCAGAGCTACATTTAATACTTGTTATAATTCATGGCAGGATAGTTGGCTATGGCAGGATTAAGAGAGATTTCTTCCCCCAGATACACATATGCGAAGCACATGCTATGGTGGCTACAAGAGAGGACAATGTGTGAGACCATTAACGGGTGCAGTTACAAAGTCAGAATGCTGCTGTGCCAGCACTGACTATGCCTTTGGAGAGCCTTGCCAGCCCTGCCCAGCACAAAACTCAGGTACGGCATTTTCACCGGTAAATCTTCTAATTTACGAATTCTGTTCATCCACTATTTTTAGAAAGGTAGAAGAAAGTTTTATATTAACATTGCAACTTGAGTCAGGAGATTACATTGTTGTATAATATATTACATATTTTGAGTAATCTTTTATTTTTATATGCTTTAAGACTACAGGAGATAAATTTTTAAAGCAACAGTAAATTACAATATCTGGCCCTAGATTTGTTATGCACATTAATAACAAACAGGGCATTTTCAGACAACAAACCATATTTTGGTAGATGTAGATAGCAAAAAATATAAATTTTGACGCAAGTTATTAATGGAAAAAATGTTGTTAATTCATAGATCCAAACCCATAAGGTACACCTGTCAGTCACATGTTTGCTGTATGACTCCTGTATCCTTCAAGTTATCTGAAGTAGCTTATTCAGTACCTTGGGTAGTCAATGCACAGACAAATGTCCAGTTCAGTTTCTTGCAAATACTTGAGTCTGTCACTGAAATCCCCACCAAGTGAAGTTGTCTGGGATATAACTTCTCTCTGGCAAGAAAGCAATCCTAACCATTTCAATGGGCAGAAGTGTTTTAGGAAAATTCTTCCAACAAGACTCTGCTGACACAGTCCTTGCTGTGAAGCCAGTAAATTAAAGAGACCTTGGTTTCAGGGAGGTGCCTGACTGCAGGGAGCTAGTTTGAAACCTCAATTTATTATGTGTTTCTTGTTATTTGGCAAATTTGTTGTTGCACATGACCAAAGTATACCATTTGATAAGATATCCTTGATCTACAGTGAACTCATGAAGACATTCCTGCTAAATGGAGTTAAATATGGGGCAGATTTATAGGAAAAAAATATTCTGTTTCCTGGTCTCTTTGAACATGCACCTTGGGCAAGGACTTGGGCATAAAGTTCTGGAGAATCTTGCTGTGATTATGTTATGGTTCGTTTGTGTAGGAGGACCAGCATGAAGTTTATGTCTACCCTTAAATGCCACAGTTCATCATGTGAAGTTTTTACTCATCCATCTTCATAAGCAGATTCAGACCTTGAATCTGCTAAAATGCTTTACAGGTTCAGAATACTGTGAGGTTATTAATGTTTTCAGAAAAATTGGAAAGCCTGTTAATTCTTTTGAATAATTAATTACCATACTGTAAATGGTGATGCTGAAAGCAATGAGCTGAGAAAAAGTATTCCAATAAGTTTTTAAATATTTTTTCCAGCTGAATATCAGGCTCTGTGTAGCAGTGGAACTGGCATGACTGCAGGAGGAAATGGTAAGATCACCTAATGTAATTCAAATTTATATATAGCACTTTTTGTCTGAAAGTGTTACCTTGATATCCTTAATTTGTTAGCTGTGCTGGTGGGGATGGTGACAGAAGAGAATGGGAGACAGGCTTAGGGTGAAATGAATGGAGCATGGAGTTTCAGGATCATGCCATTTCACCAGTGAGGCCTCTCTGGTTTACATCATGGAGTGTATGTAAGTGTCGTTATAAAATAATGACAAATTTATGAGAAGTGTCATTACCTACATGACTTTATATGTAACTCATATTTGCATATTTCAGGTGAAATAATCTTGAAGAATAAAGCCATATTGAACATTGAGCTTACTCATGTTTTCATCTGTCAAAATAGGCCAGGGTTTGTTTAACTGCAAAGAAGGAAATTATTACAATGAAAGCTTTGTAGTCATAGAACTGTGAAACTGCAAACTCTTAAATGAGCCAGTGCTCACTAGTAGACTTGCTGGCAGTAGATAGGGAAAAGCACTCAGAAAGGAGGGATATTAATGCTTTGGCAAGTGATGCCATCTGGAAATGCTGTGAATCAGGAGATATGGGGAGTATTAGTACATGGGCCTCTCTAAATATAATCTCTCATCCCCAGTTTAATATCCCAGTTCTTCCCCACAGTTGAAAGTTTCCTAAATGACCATGGGCTAGAGATAAATTAATGATAAAGAATTGCTTTTTTCTCTTGAGTGTAAATACTTAGGTGTGAATTTCCCAATCAGATCTACATAATTATAAATATGGAGTTGCCAATGTTAAATTATATTGAAACAGTCTTTTTCTAGTTTGGAGAATTAACCCCAACACACTCTCAACAACTGCTGCTCTGATGTTTGGGTTTTTTTACCTTTATGTAGATATTAATGAGTGCTTATTGGATCCTGATCTCTGTCCAAATGGAAGGTGCGAGAACCTGCATGGAACATACAAATGTTATTGTGACCCTGGATATGAAGTAGACTCAACTGGGAAAAACTGCATTGGTATGAAATGTCTTATCCTCAAAGTATTTATAAAGAATCATCATATCCTTTCTCAAACTCTGTCAGCTAAACTATCCAAATCTATACTTCCATTCTTTTCATAAAAATAGAGGCTGCAGCCCTCTCTTGAACATGACTAATCTGACCAGTGTATAGTGTTCTGATGAAGTCTGACTGGTGCCTTGTATAGTCGTGCCAGAAATTCTCCATTTCCCCTTGGAATATCCTGCCTGAACTGATTCTAGTGTGCATTAGTCTTTCCTCAAATACATGTTATACTGTGGGATCAAAGTCATCCTCTAATTGAGACTTACATCCAGAGTTTGCTCTTCAGCTTCAGCTGATGAGTTCTGGTTTCTAGCATGTTATTGTTACTGGTCCCTAATTGCAAAGTTTTGAATGTTGGTGATTATATTTCATCTTATTTTTCTTGTTCATGTTGTCAAGATTAATTTAGCCTTGTCTGATTCTCTGTATTGGTAATAGCTTCCAGCTTAGCGTTGTCCACAATTTTTGATTCAATTAATTTTTTACTTCTGCATTAAAATGAATATTCTATAGGATCAGTCGCAAGTCTGATCCCTGAAAGCATTTCTAATATCCTTGCTTCATTGTGATTATTCTCTTTTTTAATACATCCTACTGTAATCTCTCCTTCATCCAGCTCTGGAACCACCTTAAAATTCTTAAATTCCTTTCTATTATATCTAGCTTACATAATAATTTTATTTGGGTTCTATATTCTCTACTTAAACCTAAATAGCTTAAGTCATGGGTGTTATCCCAGTCTAAACTATCCGTTATCTAAAAAAAAAAAAAAAAAAAATTTAAAAAAAAAAAGAGTTGCTCTTTCTTAGATAAAAATCACACTTTAATTCATCCCATTTTCCCTTTTGCTTCTTTGGCTTTAATTATCTATGTCCTATTCCAGTGTTTGCTTGTAGCTGATGGCATCTCTTCTCCCAATCCGTCTGTGAGTTTTCCAGATGCTCCCCAGCCCACCCTGTTGTAGCCCACATCCATGCTCCATCACAGATGTTTCCCATTCTCCCGTAATGTTCCACCTGGCCCTCTCTCAATTTTTCTGAACTCCTGTGAAGCTTCCCACATGGTCTGTTTTATTCTGCAAGCCTCCCTTCTTCCCCTAGCACTTTTGCTGTTCCCAGCTGCTGCGCTGACCCTCTGAGTCTTCCCAACTTCTCTCAACACTTTCTAGGCCTCTCTGACATAGCCAGTTGTTCCTGTCTGCTCTTTGGGTCTCTCCTGGTCTTCACCTGCTATTCATGGCCCATTGCCACCTTCTTGCAACTTCTCCCTAATGACCGCAGTTCTTCCAAAGATTTCCTCAGGGTTCTTAAATTTAGCACTAGCAAGTCTATTTAAATTTTTCATCTCTGAAGCAAGTGTAGACTTACATTGGCCTTGTTAACTATAACATCAAAGTTCAGAGCCAGCTTGGAAAAAATGGTGATTTAAAGACCAAGATGCTCAGCAAACCTTTTCAAACCAATCCTCTCCTTTCTTTCTTGACTGTGGATGCTGCTGTGCAGTGACTCAGAGACTGCATAGACCTAATCCACAATAAACTCAGGATCAAAGTGTGAATCCCAGCTTTATTTTGAACTGTGGTGTGGCTGTCACATACCGTGAATATGTGAGGAAAGAAAGTACAAGCTCTTGTGCAAACCTCTTGTCTACAAAAAGAATTCAGTATTGATATTCCACATCCCCCTGCCCTATTTGTCTCCTCTGAAAAGTGGCTGTTGGGAGTGAAATTCTGACCTGACTTCTATTCCAGAAATGTTTTATTTCTTAAAAAGTTCTTTATCTTCATTGTAGATATTGATGAATGTGCGCTGAACATGCTGCTTTGTGACAATGGGCAATGTAGAAATACCCCTGGAAGTTTCACCTGCACCTGTCCAAAAGGATTTGTATACACTCCTGATCTAAAAACGTGTGAAGGTAATTGGTAACGTGCCATTTCATTCTAGTTTTATTCATATGGATCGTTCTCAGAAATTCAGTGGGAAACTAGGAGAATGAGGAGGGAGGGACAAGCCAAAACGAAATTATTAGGTAACCTCATGGAATAGCCTGCATTTACTCTCCCTGTTTACTACTACCAGTGAGCTCACACTATGCCAAGGCTGAGAAGAACCAAGCTTTACAAATCTATTGTGTGAGGAACAGAGCCAAAGGGCCCCTAGTTTGAACCCTTTTTGAGTCACAGACAGTTCTGATGTATGTCACATTAGTATGTCTTTGGGACATGTGCATTGCTAGTCTGTTGTGGGGGATTTCATAACAGAAGAGGGGGATATCAGCAAGATTGGCAATGAGGAAAGCTTCATCCCCTTTTTCCTAAACTGAAAAGAGCCATATGTATTTTTGTTAATGTTTTCTGGCACTAATAGCAGCATGTTTCTTTTCTAGATATTGATGAATGTGAATCTAACCCCTGTGTTAATGGAGTGTGCAAAAACACACCAGGTTCTTTTGTCTGTGAATGTTCTCCTGAAAGTACTTTGGATCCAACCAGAACCATCTGCATAGGTATTTATTTCTTTTATGTTTGCTGGTTAAAAATGTCCAGTGACATGCTAACATTGTACACCAGGTTAAGAAAATGCTTTAAAATAACTTGTGTAGATTAATTTAGTGGGAAACGTAATAGAAAAAATTTTTAAAAGTGCTTTTTTTCACCATTACTATGAGGGCATAAAGTGCACTTGGGAGCTTGCGTCCGTGTCAAGTTTGAAAGAGAGGTGAAAATTTTTTTAACCAACACAGAATTTCTATGACCAGTACTTCACGTCTGTGCTCAGCTCCTTAATTTCTCCTGTAATAAAGTGAACATGTTCTAATTAGGATCTGCTCTCTGGAAAGAATTTTGTATTTGAGATGGGGCATGAACAAGTTATGCACAGTCCAAACCAGCTCAAGGGCATCCATGGACAATGCTGTGACTCAGATACTCAGTGGGCTCGTAATTTCCTTTCTTGTCTGTTTTGTTGGGACATTAATTTATAGCTCTTTTCTAGTCAGTGAGGCAAACTGTAGGACTACAGCTGTCTGATCCTTAGCTATCTCCTGCCACTCCCCTATATAGGAAGATATCCAAACTGGGGGATCGAATAAAGTAATGGAAGATGTGGCAAGGGTTCATATCTACTCTGTTCTTCTGCATGTGCTCCTAATCTGTCATAATCAATACAGGGACTCAGATCTTGAATGGTATTGATATATTCCCTGTTAAGGACAGTAAGCATGAACAAGGATTTGCAAGAACTTTGTGCTGGGATGATTTCAGGCCATAGTCGGCATAGAGAAGGGTAAATTAAGAGATTTAGCTCTGATGTGCTAAATTATAATGAAAGGATGATTATTTTTCATGGTTAAATGCACATGTGTTTGTAAATACAGTAATGCATAATTCTAGAGAATCTGTATGAAAATATATGTTTTTTTTCCAAACAGAAACTGTGAAGGGTACCTGTTGGCAGAACATAGTCAATGGAAGGTGTGAAATAAATATCAATGGAGCAACTCTGAAGTCCCAGTGCTGTTCCTCACTAGGTGCTGCTTGGGGAAGTCCTTGTACACCATGTGAACGAGGTAATGCTGTTACTTTTCTTCTTCTGAGGTTGGTCAAGATTATTGTCCTAGAAGTTGGGCACAGACTAGACAAGTAACTTTACTTGTTCTGTTATCAAGTAGTCATTCCTTATTCAGTCCCAGAAAAGAGAAGTCTTAGTATTTGAGAGGCAGCATGCAGCTATAGTAGGTTCTAACTGGATTTTACAGTACATATTTTACAAGTTTAAGTGCAGAAGGGAAGGGACCACACCTACAGTCTGTAACTGGCAGCCTTACTTTAGCATGGTTTGTCATAATTAGTGATCTGGAGTTCCTAATGATGTAGCAATAAATACATGTTCCCCAGAGATCCCAAGGAAATGTTTGCAACAAATGGATCTTTGGTGTGGTAATGAAGGGAGGAGAGGGAGTAGCCCTTGTTATTATACTCTCTAGATTAACTGATGACCTGGAGAAGCATACAGTTGGTGAAAAAATGGGTTGAGGTGGCTGCATATTCATTTGATAATTTTACTGAACTGTGGGATGAGCTGGGAACCCAGGGATGAGCTGATGAATGCAGAAATGTGTGTGGGTTGTTATTTCTATATCCTGAAAGCTGTTAGTTTGCTCAAATCTTTGGTTAATTTCATTCTGTGTATCTTAACGGAATTCATCCTCATTCATCCATGATAAATAGGGTTGTAATGTGCTGTGATCGAGTGAAATGAATTAATTGGTTCAAATGAAACAGAAATCATAACCACTTTTAGGCTAGCTAGCTGAGACACATGGGAAGCAAAAGAGGATAAAGGCTGACACTCTATACAGTTTATGTAGTTGCCCCATCTTATCTCTTTATTATTTCAGAAAATACTGGGATACTGTCTAAGCACTCAGACTTCTCATAGCAGTAAACTAGATAATGTTTCACATGATCAGTTTTGCACAATAAATTAATGGGGAGTTTTGGACTGTAGTATTCTGAAACTTCACTTCTGTTTGTTTTACAGACCCAATATGTCAAAAGGGATATTCAAGAATAAGAGGAACATTGTGTGAAGGTATTTATTGTTGCCTTAACATAAATCAAAGCTTGAATTAAAAAATGCCAGTGTTTTGATTTAAGTGCTTAATTTATCATAGAGGAACATTATGCCAAATTCTTACCTTATGTTGTTCTATTAGCTTCATTAGAGTTATGTCAGGGATGAATTTGGTTTCAGTTTATTTAACATTCCTGCATACTCACACTTTATCTCAAACTACACGCTTGCAAATACAATGTCAAACAGGTTAAGGAGGTGGCTCTCTCTCTTCAAATGCTGTTAACTGAGTAACCTGTTTTTACAAATCATGTGTCTTATATATACTACAAAACATGGCATAAATACTACAGTGGTATGATAAGCCATTACCATGCTTTAGAAAAAGAATATTCAAAGACTGTAGTTCACATTAGTTTTCTTTTTCTTTTTTCCCAAACCTTGGCTTTCTCCCATATGACATTATATGAAATTCTAAACATTCCAAAACATATTTTTGCTGTCCTAAAATAAACAAACAAATAGCATCAGGACAGAGTTATACTTCGGTTAAAGAAAAGGTTAATATTTTAAATGTGTAGTTTTTTGCTTGGTATGAGATGACTCTATACTATTCTGTGAGAATTGAAGGTCCCACCCTATTTCATCTCTATTTGAATTGATTTGAATCCCTGGAAAACTACTGCATATTTACATAATACGCAGAAGCTCAGAGAGTCTCAAACTGCTGTGGGTCATCCTGACTGACAACATCTGACATGACACTGCAGTTAAAATATTTTTTAAAAATTACTCCCATATGTAGCTTCCATAAAGAAACATTGTTTTTTTTCTCTTGAAAAAAAAAAAAAAAAAAGAAAAGAGGAACACCCTCACACATACTCTTTGCTTTCCAAATGATGACTGAATGCCTTGGCACGTCTGTGCTGCAGACCCACTGTACATAACTTATCTGACCTCAGCAACACTTTGTGGTGTGTGTAAGTGAAAGAAAAGAAAAAAAAAAGTGGGCCCACCTATCTCTCTTCAGAAGGAAAGTTTTAGAACATTTTCAACGCTGCTGGGATGGAAAGTTTATCCTTCCAAGATATAGACATAACTGTTTTCAGCATTTCCTTTACCAGCGCATCGGATTACATTTATTACATGCTTTAATCTGTCTCGTTTCTATGGGACCTGGATAGCCCCAGGTTTTTCAGAGTATTTTTCCTTCCTTGTAACCTTACTGAAGCCTTACTTGGTTTTCAACCAATGTAAGCATTTTTCAAGACAGGGAAAGGTCTCTAGGAAATTTACTGGCAAGTTAGAGACAGGAGTAAGTTTAGTTCCCAAAAGGTGATAGTCAGTTCTCCCATACACAGCCTATGTAAAATGAGTAATAGATCTTGTGCAAGGAAATAAGCAAACTAAATTGGCAGCATTCCTCTCGTTTACGGGCGAGCCCTGGAGTTGTCAGCTGCGCTATTGCTCACAGGCTGTGAACAGTGTTTCAGTGGTTTCTAATAATCCCACTGGCTTTACTTCATACCTTCCAGTCAATTTACAGTATCTGTTCAAGGGCAGAGGCCACTGATTTGCCCCCCAGCATTTATCCTCTGTCGTGCTCCATGAGGTTTGAGAGATGCAGTCTCTGCACCAGGAGTTGTGTCTGGAGGACTAACCAGCCCAACCTTCCCACTTCTTGGTTACTCTATACATGAGTATTTATCTACAGATTGCCAGTCATTCTTTTTCGATTTCTTGTTCTTATCCTCTCCTGTCCTAAAAATTGTCATGCTTCATCTTGGAGCATGTTTAATGCTGGAAGCTTTTTCCCAAAGGCAGTTGTGAAGCATATGCTTTCCACTAAGGACATGGGTAAGGGGACCTCACACTTAGATTACTAAACATTTATTTAAGCTCAAGCCAAGCTAATGCATATAATCAAATTTTCCTTACCAAAAAGTGCTAAATTTGCCTTTTGATTATAGAAATACAGTTTTTACTTGATGATGTTAAACTCTGTGTGTAGTTGTAAGGAGATTATTTTAATATATATAAAGTTGTTAATTGCTGACAAGGCCATACAGCCGAATTTCTAATGGTGTTTAAGTTTCCAGATGTGCAGATAGAGAAAATATTCAAAAATCTTTAAAAAATACTGAATCTAGCTGGAATAATGCATAATGTAATTTTGCACTTATTTTGGTCTTTCTTTGTCCATTTGCTTCAAATATTTGGCCCACAGTGAGTATGAAAATGGATATAGTTTTTAAACACCCCTCCCTTTTCTGTTACTTTTGAATTTAATTTCAATATATGTAGGAATAGCTAATAGCAACATGTATTATTTCTGATCATCAGCAGTTTTCTGTAATTAATTGGATCTGGCTGAATTACTTAAGGAGTTGTAAATGTTCTGAAATTTTTCAGGCCATGTAGACTGCTGTAATTTTTTATTTTATCCTAAAAACATTACAATGTTATTATTTTTTATATTTTTGCTAATTTGTTCATGTTTAGCATGCTAGTGATTACTCTTACTCACTTCCTTTTCCTCTTTAATAGATGTTAATGAATGTGAGGTGTTTCCTGGAGTCTGTACAAATGGGCAGTGTGTCAATACCTTGGGATCATTTGTTTGCCAGTGCCCCAGTGGAATGACTTTAGATGCTTCTGGACGGACTTGTCTTGGTAGGTGTTAATTCCATGTACAGGTCTACTAGTGAAAAACAGATCTATGCAGTGCCCAGTGGTTGCACTGTGTGTTTTCTAACAAGAAAGGAAAATTATTTTTGCCCATTTTACAAATTGAATTAATCTGGGACATGAACTTAGTTTATAGGAACAGGTTCCAATGGTAGTAGCTAAAGCCCATCCCCATCTGATATCTAGTGAATAGCTGTGATTTATTTCCAGATTGTTCATCTGACAAATCCCTACAGATTATCCATGCTCTTAGCACTCTTCATCTGCCACCCCACTGAAAGCACTTTCCAACAAAGTCTGGAATATTGGAGGCTGCACCATTGTGGGCTGGGACTTGGCCACACCATGCACCTTGATGCAGTGCAACAGAATATCCAAGTTTTGTATGCTGTCCACCCAAAGCACCTTTGTCCATTTATGACAATAATGTCCAAGATTTGCCTCTGAACAAGGCATAGCTTGTATGTAATAAAAAGGCTTGTATATAGCTTGTAGTAATTAAAAGGCTTTATATAAGTATGGCAAGCTGGAATGTTTAAAATCCTTTTCTGATCCAAAATTTACTTCAAGTGCCGAGCACCATTTCTCAAAGTGGTGCTTTAAACTTATTTCAACTGTTAATTTCTGAGTTTAGCGTTAATATTTTGCTGTTAGGAATTATGCAGCAAGCTTGGTATGCTCCTCTGAGGCCACAAAAACGTGGAGCGAGCTGTCCTGTGAAGGGATTTTGGAAAAAAATTCCTCTGCAGTGAAGTAAATTTTCTCTTTCTTTCTTAACATGTTGTTAAATTGCCCAACAGACATTCGCTTGGAGAGTTGCTACCTGCAGCATGAGGACGAGCAGTGCACGTCCCAGATCCCAGGCCGGCACCGCATGGACGCCTGCTGCTGCTCCGTGGGGGCAGCCTGGGGCCACGAGTGCGAGGAGTGTCCTCTCAGGGGAACTCCTGAGTTTGAAGCTCTTTGCCCAAGGGGACCTGGCTTCTCTACGAAGATAGAAATAAGTGGGAAGCCTTTCTCTAAAGGTATGTGATCCATTTGTGGTTAATTGCCAGCAAATATACACTTATACTCTTCCATCAGACACCTCCTCTGGGTTTGAAAATTCCAGTGATAGGCACTTCACTCACCCTAAGACACATTTGAAAATCCAGTTAGATTTCATGGCAACTGAAGTCTAAATAAAATACAGGATAATTTAATTTGTGTTAGACACCATTAAATACCATATAATACTGCAGCTTCAGAACACAGTTTGTGTCACTAGAGAGGTTAAATTATGCCTGACTTTGCCTCCTGGCATCTCATAGTACAAGAACTGGAACGAACTGGGCAGTCAGCTTTGGATGTAATGAAAGAGCAATCCTTACTTGTAAAGGGTGTAATAACTTTAATTCTAATGTGAAGCAATGAAGAAATAGTGAATAATTTTGGGAATTTCTTGTGAAACTACTTGGAAAAATAGAGGAAATAGCTTCCAGGATGATGGCTCAAATCAGAAAATTTTATTTACAGTAAACCTAGTTGTGTTATGACTCTTGTTGGTAAACTTCCAGCGTTAAATGGGAATCACACAGTGACACCCCAGCATCAATGTGCTGAAAGCTGTCTTTCCAGGATTACCAGTGAGGTTAAGCTGGACAATGTCAGAAGTTACCCAAAAACTAAACATTATGAAGTCTGAAATGAGGGGAATATATATATATGAATGACAATTGTTGTTGTTAGTTTCAGCCTTGTTTTATAAACAGTTACTAAGCCATTAATTATCCATAAAGAAAGTGACATGTGCTTTTACTTATGCTCATTATTTTTTCTGTGACTCATGGAAGTCACATTTTTTTCTCAGAAAAAAGAAGACAGAGTGCTTCTTTTGAAAGCTGTCTTTGCCTTCATCCTCTGTCCGCTGAAATCGTCCTGAGCTGCAGGACAAAGGGGAGACTAATACTGTTCTGTAGCAGAAAGTGTTTTTGGAAATTCCAGCACAGAGTATCTGTCTACACTGTTGGTTAAGGGGAAGTCAGTATCAGTTTATGTAGTGTGGTCTAATTTCCCCACAAGGAGGGGTCCCTGCCATGAAAAAAGGATGAGCTCTGATGTCAGCATTGCTCTTTTGTGCACTGTTTTTGTATGCAAGGGTAACATCATATGTCCACACTATCTCATTTTCAGATATCAATGAATGCAAAATGTTCCCCAGCCTTTGTACCCATGGAAAATGCAGAAATACCATTGGCAGTTTTAAGTGTAGATGTGACAGTGGATTTGCCCTTGATTCTGAAGAGAGGAATTGCACAGGTAAACTGCATGGATGTCTCTCTCATAGCTGTGAATTGAAAAGGGAAAACTGAACTCCTTTGAAAACCCTGTGAATGTATTCTATCTTACAGATATCAATGAATGCCACATCTCTCCTGATCTTTGTGGCCAAGGCAGGTGTATCAATACTCCTGGAGACTTCAAGTGTGAATGTTTTGAAGGCTATGAAAGTGGATTTATGATGATGAAAAACTGCATGGGTATGTTTTTTTATAGACCTTAGATGTGCAATAGTATGTGATGTGCTAGTATGCTATGCATGATTTCCTTGGTTTTTTTTTTTAAGGTTTAATTGTGCTTGGCTTTAAGTCTCTCCTATTTTGTGAGCCTAACTAAAGCTAACTTGCTGCTTCTCCAAGTTGTCTAAGCATATATAAGCAAAGGACAGGATATTAGGATGCTAAATTTATCCCCACAATCCCCATCTTGCTAAGTGGGACACCATCCTGAACTTTAAAGTTAAGGTAAATTAAAATTTAGAAGAAGCCTTTTTGAGTTTATTTTCTTTTTCTAACCACATTATGGTGCAAGGGATGAGTGGCTCTAGGACAGGCTGCAGGGTTGATCAAGGCAGATAATGTTGTGATGGGTGAGAGGCTGTGGTGAAGGATGTGCTTGCCCTGCACTCATGTGCCTCCTTTCTCCCCACAGACATTGATGAGTGTCAGCGCAATCCCCTTCTCTGCCGAGGTGGCACCTGCATCAACACAGAGGGAAGTTTTCGGTGTGATTGCCCTCCAGGCCATCAGATATCACCAAATATCTCTGCATGTGTAGGTGAGACATGCAGGCAAAATCAAGATTGTGCACAGCATTTTGTACCTCTCTTGGGCTGTGCATTTACAGCGTTGGCTTTAGTACCATTTTCAGGATAAAAATGTATTCCTCTTTTTCTTTTGCAACAGACATTAATGAATGCGAGCTGAGCACCAACCTGTGCCGAAATGGCCGTTGTGTCAACCTTATTGGAAAGTATCAGTGTGCTTGCAACCCTGGGTATCAGTCCACACAAGACAAGCTATACTGTATTGGTAAGGACAAAACCTGCATGGGAGCTCTAGCAAACAGGAAAGATAAAACACACCAAGTTGGTTCAGTTTAGTAGATATTTAAATTAATTTTTAACCATGAATGAAAAAATCCATTACAGTTTGTCAAAATAGTATGCAAATTATCCAAAACATGCACATCTGTTTCTGAGAGAATTGAATGAAGTTACGGCAGTGCTACATTTAGCTGAGTAACAAATTATTTTCTCTAGTAAATCAGTCATGATGCATAAAATCACATACTATTTTAAATGCCTCGAGACTTCAGACTTCGATGGTTAAGAGGGAGTAACTTTTTAGATTAGTTATATATTTAATTAAAAATCATCATTTCTGCTGATGAAATAGAAATCAGAAATAGAAATTAAATAGACCATGAAATAGAATCATGGGGTTCATTTGCATACATGCCTTCTGCTGTGCCATGGATAAATCCACTGGCTTTAATTCTGCCAAGTAATTTTTTACCTTGAATCTTACAAAAACTTTGTTGCCCTCATGATCCTGTGGTAACTCAGTGCTATTTCTCTATGTAGAAGGAGAAGCACAGAAGTGTTTGTATATGCAGTCTTTCCATCCCTGGTTTGCCTGAATCCTTCCCAGTGCCTACCTTTGCAAACACTTGAATGTTAGTGTACAAACACAAAGTGTAGATTCTGGATTGATGGGGTACTGGAAAGCTGACTTTTAAGTGTGTCCTTGAAATGTCCTTTAAAGTAAAATGTATTGTGGATTTTAACTATAATTTTCTCCTTTTTAGATATTGATGAGTGCAAAATAATGAATGGTGGCTGTGAGGACTTCTGTACAAACTCAGAGGGCAGCTATGAATGTAGCTGTAAACAAGGCTTTGCACTCATGCCAGACCACAGGACATGCACTGGTAAGGGAGATTTTGGGAACTTTTCTGCTTAAAGGGCTTATTTCAATAGCTTAAAATGAACCTTCTTTTTAAGGTTAAACCTATTGTAACAAATACAGTATTTAAAAAAAGAAAATAAATGGAAAGTGAAGTTCTTTTTCTAAAAGAAAAAGTAGTACCTCCCGGTATCAGAATTGGGCAACTGCAGAAAGAAGTGCTTTGAAGGGAATTGGTTCTTGATAATTTCAGAAAGTGGAGAAGTTGATTGGAGGAGCGACAATAGGTAGGACGGTCGGGATGGATGGAGATGAGAGCAGTTGATTCTGGTTTTAATAACAAAAATCTCTACTTTTTGGAGTAGGAGATAAATTTTCCTCATTAAGGGAAGATCCAAATCCGAAACAGGTATAGTAGATCCAAATCCAAAACAGGTTTGAAGACCATTAAAAAATTATCACTAAGAGAAGCCAAGATGCTGTGCATATGTATTGTATGGTTATATTGGAGAGAGGATAGACTCAGAGATGCTAGAAAAGAAGCTGATTGCTCTGTTCTGTAATTTTGTTGTATCTTCTCTTAAGCAAGCAAGAAAATTCCTATTTTTAATTATTTGTTTATTCAAGTGCAAGTATGCTGCATTAATTCAGAACTGAATTACTTGCAGATAAAATGAAGTCTGAATAATATGAATCTTTCCTATGAAACAGGTTTTTTGCACTTTTAGAAGAGTTTGTGAGAAAATTTTTAGAGCTCTTTTATGGCTGGGTGTTCTCCTTTGGGAGTCTGGGAGTCATAATCCCAGGAACTGAATTGTACTTGGAGATTTCCACATAGGTTACTGGAAAGATGATTCTACCCTACTTTTCTCTTACTTCTTGCTTCACAGCCACTGGCCTGATGAAGCATGTGAATATTTGCCAGCTCTTTGCCAATTCCTTCCAAAAGCTCCTTGAAGAGCATGAGAGTTATAATAGCGATAATCCCTTGGAATAGAATTGCCTTTATAGTTGAACACATGGAGAGTTTTCTATACTGGATTATTAGAGTGCTCACATTTAGAATTTGTAAATATTTATAGACCTTGAACCAGGGTCTCAATTACCCTGGGGCCACTCACTACCATTCCAGAAGATAAAAGAGCCCTAAAGCACAGCAAAATGTAATTTTCCCCCACATTGTGGCTTGCTCTGTCAGAAAGATGTAAAGTCGCCAGCCTTCAGAAGTATCAGACCCTCATTCAAAGAAAGAATTCAACTAGAAAAAGTGCAGATTTGATTGACCTTGAAAACCTAAAATATTTAGATTAAAAGTAGTTTGCTTTAGCTCAAGTTTCTAGAAGAGGCAAGCTTTTACAAAAACTTACCCAAACATTGGTGTTTGGGGCACTTTTTTAATGCAAAAATAAAACTGGTTGATCTAAATTGTGCCTCAGCCAGAATCTAAACCCAGTGAGAGGATTAAAGTGACATGACAGGGAAGGGAGGAGCAGGGGGAGCAGAGTCTCTGAGCCACTTTTCTGTTTCCATCTTCTTTATTTGACTTGGACCAAATGACCCAAATGTGCACTTGGACAGTTTTTGAGATCTCAAGTCTGCTGGCTAGAACAGTTCTGTTTTCACTGCCCCATATCCTTTACCACCCAAACACATCTCTAAATCCAAAACTAGAACAGATCCTTTACAGCACCTTCCTGCATATTAAACGAAAAACCTTGGAATAGAAAACTATCATCTTTCTGTTCTCAAAGTCAAAATGCAAGCATCTGCCTTTGCGGTGGGGAGGGGATGGATTCTTTGTGGTTTGTCCACACATTAACCTGACCCTGAACATGTCCATAGAAGTTTGAGGTCAGATCTTACTTTTGTTGTGTATTTCTGCATACTCAGCCTTGACTCTGAAATATAGAATTTCCTTCACAGACGAGCTATAATAACTATTAGCTATTCATTTTCATACTCTCTTTTAATAAGGACATGAGTGCAATAGCCACACATAAAAAGGTTTAAAGAGCAGAAACACGAGACATCTTTGGATGTCAAGTCAAATCTAAGAAAATATCCAGAGATGTGAGGGGTCACCTTTACTACCCTGTTAATATTGAAAACACTGCTTCCTTCTCTTGAAAAGATATTATTTACATATGTAAATATCTGGTGAGTATTCAAAATCCACATACTAAAGTTTTGCCTCTGCTTAAACTAAGAAGAATAAAAATAATTAGTGACTTTGCTTTCATGGCGCCAAATATCTGGTTTTACACTGTTAGATGTTGGTGCATGGTACAAGATAAAATAGGACTGTGACCTTCCATTGCGAAACACCTATTTTACATTTTCAGTTTTCTCTGTGTGTGAACATGTCTTTTATCTTTAACAACACACAAAGCTGGAAGCTGTCACAGAATATATTTGCTGATAATTGACCTGGTAAGAATGCTCTGCAGTTCAGTAGTAGGTCATGTTTGAATTGGTGAGGCTATGCATAAATAATCAGCTCAATTAGGAGAAACAACAGGTTCTTTGTCAGCTGATTTTCCCCCAACTGTGAAATCAGTACAGTGGTGGGTTTGTAAATAAAGTTCTTTATTTCTGTCATTATTATTCCCATTTCTAGAGCTTAAATTTGCATGTTAATTCAAATTCCATTCCAAATTAACATTTTCAGGCTAATGTCCATGTCAACATTATTTGCTTGTTAAGATAAACAGGGACTGGTCAGCCTTCCTCCTTGCAGAAGTTGTGTATCCATACAAGCACTAACTGCTAGAAATACAGCAGAATAATGAACATAATATTTTAAATTAATGTGAGTTCATTTTCTGCAGCTGCATAATTACTGCAATCCACAATAGACTGCTCTGATAATGAGTTACACCCTTTTCTCTTGGAGAAGATTCCTGAATCTTGTCCTTTTTGTGCTGATTTTTTTCCCATGGTATCACAAGGCAGAGAGTCTGATTTTTGCTCTTGCTGGTCTGTGTTGGTGCTGACACAGGAAGATTCTAGGGATTTTTACAAGTAACACTAGCATAACCCCGGGGCTCTGAAAGATTCCAGAATTTAGCATGGTTGTCTTAATATTATAAAGTATCTGCTTCTGCAGCTTGGCTCCAGTCAGTGATGGCAATTTTATCAGTTATCAATTGATTAAATAACTTTTCATCCTAGAGGATGTAACTATATGGCTGGCCTGGCCAGGCAATTGAAATACTAAATAAGAACATAAAAATCTCGTAGTGAAATAAATGTATGTACTGTAATTATTCCTATCACGAGTTGAACTGTTTCCAGTTTGTCACCCCCCTTGAGATCTGTAGAGGTACTTTGCATGTATGCCTTTTGGCTTTTTTAAGATCTTTAAAGTTTGATATTTTTGTTACTGACTTTGACTTTAGAGCTTCCATTGATTTCAACAATGATGGATTGTATCCAAGAATGCCCAATTATATGCGGCCTTGTGGTGTGACAAAGGTTCTGTTGGAGCTCTTTTTTCTGAAGGAAAAGTTGGTTCCTGTTTCTCCCACTTGAGTCAGAAGGGAATGTTTTGCCACTGACTTTACCTGGAGACAAGAAGCTTACTCATCAGGACAATTTTGCAATGTACTGCTCAGTTACTTAACAAGGATTCAATCTTCACCATGTTTATCAGAGCATTAAAATGCTTACTTGCCATGATGATGGTTCAGTGCATTGGATAAAGGTAACATATTTTAATCTGATTTTCCCCTTTAGATATTGATGAGTGTGAAGACAATCCTAACATCTGTGATGGAGGCCAGTGTACAAACATCCCAGGAGAATACAGGTGTCTTTGCTATGATGGATTCATGGCATCTGAAGACATGAAGACTTGCATAGGTGAGTGAAAGTACATATATTCCAATCTGCATTAAACACTGAAAATAATATTTATTAAGGCACTCTTTCCAAGTAGACAGACAATGATACTTGAGGAGTATTGCTCTTATTTCCTAATATTGGTCACCTGACCATAGAACCAGCCCTATTGCACAAGTGCAAATGTAATCTTTATATCCTTGTAGATTGGGGTGCAAACATGATCTATAGCATTGCATCTTTGGATCCTCTTCCAGTGAAGTTTTTATGCAACTTAGATAAAAGAGTGCCTGCAGAAAGCCAGTGGGAAATTTCTAGCAAGATAAATTACCAGTGCTGATTTAAACTTGTCTCTGAAAAAAAATTATGTGAAAGAGTTGTACCTTGGTAGAACGGAGTTGTGAAACAGCATATCTCCAAAACCACATTTTCACATTATAATTTAAAATCTTGAGTATATTTTGAGAGAAGTGTCTGACAAAACTAGACAATGTATGCATGCAGATGTAAATGTATACAGACACATATATGTAGGAATTATCAATAATCATAGTCATTCTTTGGATAATGTACTGCACCTTAGTGTCTATGTTTAGGAACAGCTGGCATTAAAGATACGTTAATGCGGATATGGTAATATAACACTGTTACCCCAGAGCTCAAAATGTATGCTTGTTTGCTAGGTAAAAGGAATAACTACTATAAGCAGCTTTTTCTTTGCATATTTAGACATGTGTTTCTATCAGAATTCATATCTAAAGAGATTTTTCCAGTCACTTTCTAAGAATTATATTTAATAAATCTTAATTAATGGATTTTTTTAGATGTTAATGAGTGTGATCTGCATCCAAACATCTGTCTGAGTGGAACCTGTGAGAATACAAAAGGCTCATTTATCTGTCACTGTGATATGGGATATTCAGGCAAGAAAGGCACAACTGGTTGCACAGGTAAGTTTTAAAGCTTAATTATTAATTTTTACTTATACTCGTGAGTCTGCTTTTCTGGTGTTTAGAACCTCCTCTCACTGCTTCTTTTCACTTACTTGTGCTCTTATTTTACCTCTCATCCAAATTTGCTGAGCTTGTGTTCTGCTAAACTTAAGTGGTATAGCATTCAGCCTGATGCTGCTTCTGCTGAAATGAGTGAAGCAAAGCTTGGGATCAAAACTGGGCGTGTTACTGCACAGCTGTTCATCTAAGAGAACAGCAAATGCCATTCTCTGTAACTTGACAAACTCCTGAGGACCTCACTGCATTTGGATTAGTTAATTGTATATTATGCAAGCAAATAACATGTATCTGTTCAAAGTACTATTTGGCAAATACAGATAGCTTGAAATATGTGCTAAAATACATTTTCGGTTTTTGCAAAGTGTTGATGATACAGTTATACAACTACATTCTATCAGCTGAATCAGAATTTGCTTTATTTCATGTATTGCCAGCAAACAGAAATGAGATTCAAATATACAGGCTCTGAGGGCATGATATTAATAATTCAAGTGCTGGTGTCTCAAGCCAAGGTGTTGAGAGTCTTAGGCTTTGCCCAAATATGAATGCAAACATATGTTTAATATAATTTTTAATGTAGACTTAGGGTAAGCACATTTCTGGCAATGTTTTTGAGACACACTTTTATTCTTAGTCTGCCCTTATTGTACAGATTTAATAATATATTTTTTTAAGTGCCTCATATATATAAAGCTGGTTTTTTACAGCTCTCACAGAAAAGTCTGAGAGCTGGAGTTGTATTTTGCATATTGGGCTATAGATGAATAACTGTGCATTAGTAACAGCTGCCTTTGACGTATATATGAACTGATCTAAATCCAAGAAATCCCTAATTGTACTCTGTAGACCAACATTTCAGTGTTCTTTGTTTCTGTGCTAAAGCATATGAAGATTTTCAGAACTCTAGACCTGAAAACCCTCACACTGATCAGTTACACACAGTGTTGCTAGCAGTCCCAGCCTAAGGAGAGGCAGGGAAGATGAAGCAGTGAGTTGAAGGCAAAAGACAGAGAAAGGTCGTGGAGGCAGGGGAGGAATCTGAGGTATGGCTTCTGGAGAAGTGCCTGGAAATAGCCACCATTTTGGCATCACGTGATTCAAGGTAGTGGCAAATGTCCCAGGCAATTTTTTTTAGTTAAAGGAGACGCCAGGAAATCCCTCTGTCCTGGTCCCAGCCAAGCCTGACCTGTGGATGGACACTGTCTGTCATGAGGGCTCCTCCCACCTCCTTACACATTCTTAATTTTTCCTGCTGGTTTTGTCTGCATGCCAGTATTTCAGAGAGGCTGGCACTCACGAGGAAAAACACCAGAACACCTTGATTCCAACAGATACTATAGAAGAGCTCAATAATTTGAAAGAGTCCAGTGGTCTAAGATGAAAAGGTGAAGTATCAGTTATGCTGATACAGCTGCGATGGGATCATACTCAATTAAATTTTTTTTTTTTGAATAATTTTTTAAAAATTTAAATAAAGAAAAATTTAAATAAGTAAGTGGGAAGCAGAGCAGAAAAATTCTTGTTTGATTTCATAATGAAAAAGCTGTGGATAGAAATCCCATAGTGATTTCATTGTGCTGGTTCTCACATTCTGTTTTTTAAAATGTCTGATTTACTGCTGCAGAACTTTGAATTCCCCATTTCTTGTTTGCACAGTATTAGAGCAGAGTTGAAGTCCCCAGGCTCAGGTACTGAAGACCATGAGAGCATCCTTCAATATTTCTTCTGGAAGGACCTTGACTCCTGAATTCAGTTCTTTTCTTAGAGGCAGATCAAAAGCATCCACAGTTTTTAAGAATTGCCATGGAAAAAAAAGTTATGAAAACATGTACAGCACTTTGACTGGGAGATCCTCTGTTTTATGAGAACAACTAAATCATGTCCTTTGGGTTCCATTCTAGTTTTGTCTAAATATTTCAGCTCTCTTGTCATTACTGAGTGATTCCATTTTAACAAATAAACTTGTTTTTTTCTCCCCAATCATTTAACAGTGTTTAGAATCCACCCACTGACTTAACATTCCCATCCCACACAGATGTTAGTTGCCCTAGTTCTCCCCCTCCATAGTTCTCAGTAAGAATCTGGACAGAGTTTATTAACAAAAATATTATTTTTAAAATACTACGCAAGAATACAGGTTGTAGATGCAGCTTTCCAACATCAAATGCTGTGAATGGTTTAATTTCCATTCACAAGGCAACTGTGATAATGCAGGCTTAAAACAGTTCATTTTAGATTTTCCTAGGCAGGCAATGGTATGCAGCCACTGTGTTTTCCCCTATCCCAGTTCCAGATCACCCAGCTTTATGGCAAATACCTAGTCTCTCCTTTTTCTGTATATGTGTACTTGTGCAGAAATGAAATTGTGCTTTGGAACTTGTGTTTGTATTTTGTGATTCATCACCACTCTGAATTACTGCCTGTAGATCTGCAGTATTTCACTGTTGATGTAGAGCCTTAAACTTGATCGAATATTTTCACAGAGAAACAAATTCTTTTCTGACTCCTCCTATCCATCCTTGCAGATGTGCAAGCCACCCTGGTCGTTCTTGGTGGAGGGGGGCTTGCAAATGCTTAGGGTGCTCTTCACAGAGTCAAACTGAAAGGTGAACTTGGGCAGTAGTTTCCCAACATAGCTAACAGATCAAAAATAAGTATGTTACAAGTCAGCTGAATTTCTCCACAGTAGGCTCAGGGAGCTGGAAGGCTGAGAGCAGGCTCTGACTCTGCAAGGGCCATGCTGCTGCCATGTGGAGGAAGGTTAGTGGAAGGTATTTAGCTGCAGCCTTGGTGTGGGCTGTGAGCTTGGAGAGTTTGGTGTTGAATGTCTTCCAGCGATGACGGCATTAGTGGATACAGGAGGAGTGAGTGCACACTGCATACCTGCATGGCTGACAGGAACTTGGTTCTAGAGAGGTCAGACATCTGAGACAGGGAAAGGAAGAGGTGAGCCTGTCATTTGTCTCAGAAATAGAGCCATATTTCGTGGCTTCTATAATGTACTCTCCTCTCCATTATTAGTGGCTTCTGGCCATTAATAATAATTAATTAATGTGTTTCAGGCTTGATGGCACAAGGGAGTTCTGGTACCAGTGAAGCATATGTTTGCCATCATGAATTTGGGAGCAGGCTGTGTCAGGCCAAATACCAGAAGATGATAATGAAATCCTGCCCACCAAAGGGGGTATTACAGAAGGAGCATACTGGCAATAGGCATCTGTCCAGCAATAACATACTGTGCCTCAGTGTGCTGATGATGTAAGGATGGATAGCAGGCAAGAGCTGAACTGTCCCATGTGAAACTCCAAGAGTACAGTATGCTGAATAAAATCTGAGAGTGATTCTAAAATATAAAACAATTTTACATATAGGAAGATCAGAATCGGGGAATTTTTCCATATATTTTTCTACTAGTATGAGCACCAAGTTGAAATTCACAGTCTTTCCTTCAAAAAAGCCTTCATTTTTCCTACCTGAGTACATGGGCAGCAACCCAGGAGGAGGAAATGCCTTGTGACTTCCACCAGACGACTGGCCCTTGGGAAACTGGGCCCAGGCTTGAAATACCAGGGAAACATCAGTGCGATAAAATGCACAGATATGCAGAGACTGCCAAAAAAATGTAAAAGTCAGAAAATGCTTAAGGGATTTGCATAATTCCTGACAAACAATACTAATTTATAGGTGGAGTCTGAATTAAATTTACAGTTTGCTAAGGATTCTTATAGACCACTGAAGCCCAATGAAACCTATCAGAAAATGGTACACAGGGTACCTAGAGGATTTCATGCCCAGCAATGAACATGTGAATTTTCTTCAGTTACTGTGCAGTCTCATTCTGTTCAAATGCATAGGAATGTTTCTAGAGTGTAGGTGAGGAAACAGTGACTGATCCCTATGCTCCTTTCTGGCCAACTTCAATGATCCACTCATTGGCTAGATATTGGCTAGCAGTTTCCTTCCTGTGGTTGCCACATTTTGCAAGCATAGTGCAAAGGGTGACAGGGTACATATAATGTGTATTTTTGCTGTACATACATTGAGAGCCCTAAAAATTTGTGCCACTGTGATTAATGGAAGAGACACTTTATTAACTGCCAAAGGCTTGGGAGAAAAAATATTTGTCCAAAGAAGAGAACTGAAGGAGCCAACAAAATAGGGTGACTGACAGGTTTTTTTTCCCCTGAGTGCTTAGGATTGTTATGATGTCAGACCTGCATATTATTTATTGTGCGTATTCTCATCTGTTGTAGGCAGACAACTCTTAGTATAAATGGGAGTTGTGCAATTGCAAAGCTGAGAACATGTGTGCAGCAGCACTGGGGCACAGTGGGACCGGCTGAGGATGCAGTGTCAGTCTCCGACTGGAATGTCTTTATTTTCCTTGGCTTGTCACGGACTCATGCTGGAGGCAGAAGGAGAAGGTTGATATAAATCAGTGACTCACTCCTTTACTCTTTAGTGAAAATCCCCATGAAGTCAGTGGGAATAGGCCATCATTGTGTGAAGCCCTGACTTCAGTAGTGTCCTCGTGGGTGCTCTTTGGGTCTCGATATCTTTACTCAGACCGAGTAATGCCTTTGTTTTCAGACAATTAAGTGAAAATAGCTGTAGTAATTGAAGAGTATAGTACTGTTTGTACTGCCATGCAGACAGAACAGGCTGGACTCATGTTTTTATTAAAGATACTGAGTTATTTTTTCCCCTACAAAGCTCAACTTCTTTCTGTTTCATTCTGTAAAGCCCTAATTCAATACTTATGGCAACATAAAGCCATATTAAGCTCCAGTATAAGAAGGCATAAATTCTATTGATTTCAGTGCACCATTTACACAGAACCATGTTGGGTCTGAGATCTCTTTTGCCTTGGAAATAATTGCAATGTAATTGCAATTGTAGACTTACAACTCAGCTGTGTAATGAAAGGAGAGAACAGGGATTATAGCAAAACAACATCTGAATTAAACACCAGGGAAAATAAGTAAAATCTGGGTTGAAGCCAGTGATGGTATTATATATGCCTCAATCAGCTTTCATTTAAGTATCTGAAAAAACTTTCCATGAATCATGGATATAAGCACTGCAATATCCCTTTAAAGATGGTATTAGAGAATACCGTTTGCATTCCCTATTTGATCTTTACCCAGGCAAAAAAGTATTGAAATCAATTGAAAATTTTTACTGGAGAAAAGCTTTTTTTTTTTTATTCAAAGCAAGTGGAATGACATTTCAGTGGCTGATGCCTGAGAAAATTGATCCCATTATAAATACCCATATTTGGGTATAGATTTATACTTGCAGCTTTCATTCCAAAGAAGATTCTAAGGTTTTTAGAGTGTGTGTCAAACAGCTGATGGGCAACAAGTGTCCACTGCAAGGGCCTCAGTGTTGTGGTGCTGCTGTTCTGCTGGGAGGTGTTAGTGGGGGGGTTCTCAGGTACAGTGTGTCAGTGGGTCAGTGTGTGGTGGGATGGAGTCCACAGTCACTTTATGGAGAGTGGAAAATTTGGCTTGACTTTTCTTAAATTTGAGCCTGAGCATGACTTCATTGTGGTGTAGCTGTTGCATGCAAGTTTCTGTTTGTGTTTGTTGGTGGTTTAAAAAAAAATCTTGGCAGAAACTTCTCTACTGGTGATGGGGTTTTTTTGTATTTTGTTGTGCTCTGCAGGGTATGAGGAAACTTATGATTGTATGTTTCAAAGCATCAAATAATCAAATACAGTGGAGTCTTAATGTGAGCAGTAGTTTAACAGTTTGAGGTTTAAAATCATGTAAAGGTTAAAATATAGAGTGTTTGCCTCAGCTTTTTTATGTCAGTGTATACTGTAGCTGACCTCTCTAAATTCCTTCCAGTCTTTCCCCAAGCCAAAATGAGTTGCATTTTTTTCAGGCCACCCTTAAGATTTTTTGACAGACGCAAGTTTCCTGTTTAGGGTGATGTTATCTTCATGAGTTTCTGCACACGCTAAAGGCAAAACTGCTCTGAGATTATTCACTCCTGACCCTTTTTTTTAAGTTTTAAAAAGTAAGTGTCCATTTGCATGTTTTCAGGCCTGTTGGTGGAGTTAACATTCATTAATCGTAGATTCCAGCTGACAGATTTAGATTCATATCTAGATGTCAGCATTCAGATTATGGGAATTCTCATGTCTGGGGTTTTGAGTCGAAGCAATGCCTCGCTTAGAAAGAGACTCAGAAAAGTAAGATTGGATTAAATTCCACTTCAACAGACTAAAAAACTCCAAAACATTAAAACCAGTCCACCAAAAAAAAAACCAAAAAACCAACCAACCCCAAACAAACAAAACAAAAAACCCAAAAACCAAATCACAAAAAAAAAAAAAAAAACCAAAACCAAACCAAAATCTCAACAACAAAAAGCCCCATCAAACACAAAACTCACCAAACAAACACCCTGTCCCTCCCAGCCAGCAGTTGCTTTGGGTGTTTTCTGACCTTAAGTATTTAATTTTAGGATAATACACAGATGTTGTCTTCTTTTTGAAGTCATGTGTTGCCTTTGTGAAAAGGCAGTATATGTGTACAAGGCATAGTGAAAGGATGCGGCCTTTTGTCTAGAGAAGTGTGAACAGATAAACCTTAGAAAGTGTTGTAAAGGAAATGGTTAAGGTGGTACCTGGACACTTTCTGCATTAGCTCCACAACCTCACCTTCTTTAAAGAGCTAATTGTTTGCAGGTAAAATCATAGGGAAATTCAAGTCTGTGATTTTGGGGCTGGAAATCCCAAAGGTTGTTACATACTTGATGGCTGATGCCTTTTCTTAATCATCTCCTTGAGAAGGGTCTGAGCTGGGTTTTTGTCTGTGGAATCATGTAGAGTTGTGAGCTTGTTTTGCCTTTCCATCAGCTCTTTTACAGAGGGAGATGATTTGGCTTATAGCAACATCAAAGACACCTGGGAGGGCTAAAAAATAGGTATCAGTTTTAAGTGGTTTGATTTGATTTCTAGGTAGGTTACATCCTGCATGGAGGTAAAGTGCAGTTCAATAGCTCAGTTACAGAAAATACTGTAAAATCCAAAGCTCAGATAGGCAAGATAGGCAAGAAAATGCCTGCCAGTTTTGTTTCAGTTACCAGTAGTAATTTCTGGAAACTTTGCCTTTTTGTAATGTCCTGGGTTGACTATATGATGCTTTTATCCCAAATCATCTGTTCTGCTTATCCTGAATAATAAGTTTTGCACCTTTAAGACTTGTTCCAGGAGTGAAGTGGGGGAGAAGATTATACATTCTCCAACTACTTATATGGAGCGTTAATAATGTTTTGTGAGAAAGAAGAATGGAGTTCAATTTGGGTTTTGCAGTCTATACATTTTGACATTGCCAGAGAATGTCCAAAAATGAAAATAAGGTGAAAATAGCAAGTACTGAAATAGAATGTGCTGGCATGACCATGTATGTTGAAGACTGGATGACTTGCTGCCTGATGTCTCCAAGGATGCTGACTTCTTCCCACTGTGTTAGGTTTCCTGAGCTCCTAATAAACTGCCTGCCTGATGAGCTCCTCAGCTGTCTGGTAAATACAGTGGTACAGCCTGTCCCCCACCTTGCACACAGCCTCTGGCCAAGCAGAACCTGCTTCATTCCCTGCCTGGGGACAATCCTAAGGGCAGCCAGCTGGTGGTGCCTGGCTGCCGTTCATCAGCATCCCTGTGGATACATGGGGGCTGTGGGAGTGCTGCATTCCAATGGTCCCTGGGCAGCAGAGTTTCCTTTGACAGTTTTTAGCACTCTGCAATGTGGAGCCACCAGTGTAGTCCTTCTTGGCAGACTGTGCCCATGTCTGTAGGCTGGTATGTTGGAAAGGTACTGTCTTCCTTATCAAATATACTTCAGAGTGAGCTGCAGCAGCACTGCTTTATGTGCCTATCAGAAGAACAGGTAGTGGGGCAGCGTGTTTGAAATGTGCTACATGCTCCTTTGCTTTCCTTTGCTTTTCTTTGTTGTGATTTTGTCTTCACCTTTCTTTTTAAATGTCATGTTGTAAAGAATGCAGGCTTACTTTCACATTCACCTTGTCTTTCTTGAGAAATTCTAGTGTCAGTTATCTGGATCTGAGAAAGTGTGTTCCTTGAGCTCCTCAAACATCTCTGTTTACAGATATCAATGAGTGTGAAATTGGAGCCCATAACTGTGACAGGCACGCCATATGTACAAACACAGCAGGAAGCTTCAAATGTAGCTGCAGCCCTGGCTGGATTGGAGATGGTATCAAGTGCACAGGTGAGAGTCATGCATTTGTATTTATTTGTAAGGTCCGACCACAATGGGGTTCTGGCAATTCTGAAAAAGGTAATACCACACCTGTAAAATGAGAAGGCAAATGGTTATTGAACTTTTTCGTTTGGTTTGACATGATCTGTTGGAGGACAAGTTCTACACCATGGTATCTATGAAATCAGCATTATCTCATGTTTGGCTTGTGAAATGATGAGAACAGACTGTACCATGGAGAGAGATGATTTGTGCTTGAAAACAAGGTACAGGCCTTAGTACTGAGTGCCCTGGAACTTCCTCAGTCACAGTTACCTTGTTGAACTTCTTTGATGGTCTGCAAATAAGCTGTTCCCCACTTTTTCAGTCAGATGGCCACACATATATATGGGTTTTATTATGAAAAATTAGTTAAAGTAGAGCTTCTGTGTGCCATGCACTATTTAAACTTTGTAATAAAGTATGGGTTTTTAACTGATTTTTTCCCCCTTTTTTATTATTTTAAAGATCTGGATGAGTGCTCCAATGGAACCCACATGTGCAGCCCACATGCTGACTGCAAGAATACGATGGGCTCTTACCGCTGCCTGTGTAAAGAAGGTTACACTGGGGATGGTTTCACTTGTACAGGTGAGCTGTCTGAGAGAGAAAGGATGACCTCCAGTGGTACTGTGCAACCTAAGTTAGTCTATGATCCAATACACAAAAACAGCTTTTAAACATTTGAAATTTTCATTAATATGTCATCATTAATTGTCTTTTCCTTCACCTAGGTTGCCATAGCTTAAAAGAAATATATATTATACATAGTCTAACTCAATATCTTTTTTTCCCTTACTAAAATGCAATTTTTCATTGAGCTTTTCTTGTTAGTTTAAATGAGTGGCAAAATTATTAAAATAATGTTTGATTATGTAATATGGCTGGTTAGTAAACTAGTCTATTGGCTACTCACCTTAATACTTAAATAATAGGGCATATACATCAAAATTACTTCACCAAATTGCCTAAAAATGTTTGTCCTTTCCACAAGTGAGTGTGTGATATCTGTCTGATTTACTCCATCATCCTGAGAGCTGGTTTCAGGATGCAATGCTGGCAATGTAGAATGAAGAAAGTAGCTGCTTCTGAAACCTCATTTTATAAACTGTAAATGAGACCATAAACTTTGCTAGAGAGATGTTTCCCACCCACACTTCAGTCTTCGTCTTTGAAGACCAGATTAGCAGATATGTGCTTAGTCATATGAGGAGCCCTGCTCTTGCACTGAGGATTGCAGTGTGGCTGGGCATGCTCGCTGTTTGGGGCAGAGCCACTCGACAGAGCTGGTGGGCCAGGTTTTCAGCTGGTGCAAATCAGCAGCACTCTATCAACTGCAGCAGGTTTTTAGAGCATCTTAGAATCTGGGTCATCAGGTTTAAGGCTGGATTTGAGTAATTCCAAATTCTAATCAGGCCTTGGAATTCTGTTTAATTCTCTCAGTATCATTTCATCTTGAATCTGATTCAGCTTCCTCAGTGGCCTTCCTAACCCAGTACTCTTAGTTATTTTCCTGTATGATGATTTCCAGGAGTCTGTAAGCTACACCCTTCAGATGGAGTGCTTACAGAATTTCTGCATTCAGTAGAACTTTTTTTCTATTTGGATACTTTATTGTTTGTGAATTCAAGAGGTGTCTGGGACTCAGACTAGAGCACTCAGATGTTCTGTAAGCCCTCTGCCAAAGTGTGCAGTGTGCAGCATTCTCCCTGGTAGGTGATTTTTGATTTACCAGCCACGGACTTTTCAAAACTCATGCTGCCAGCCAGACTCTGTTGCAATAAGGAGGTGTTTTTGTGATGTGTAACATTTCAGCTCAAGAATAAGGGCCATGATATATCCAAAGGTGAGTGGAGTCCAGTTGGAAGGCTGTTTCTCTCATCAGCACTTAACCTACTGTGGCAGCACATTTTTCTCTCTCTCTGGATTTTTCATAGAGGTGCACAGAGAGACAGAAAAAGAAAACAATTTCTATTTCTGCTCCTTGTTTTTCTCATGTGGAATGTGTTAGGAGAATTGTTTACCTGGGGTGATTGCTTGATTGGATTCTGGTGAGGATTGTTTGAGCCTGATGGCCAATCCAACCCACCTGTCTGGACTCTCAGAGGAAGGTCACGAGTTGTGTGAGTCAGAGATGATAGAACAAGTAGGTTTTGTAGTTTTAGTATTTTCCTTTATATAGTATATTAATGTATTTTAGCATAATTATAATAAAGAAATCATTCAGCCTTCTGAACGGAGTCAGACATCATCATCTCTTCCCATTGGGTTTGCCTGCTTTTACAACAATCTACAGTTTAGTTTTGATGAAGTTCTTTTCAAGGCACTTTTTGTCATTGTTTTGATATTTGGCATGGAGAACTGCCTATTACCGTATGTTGGTTCACTGCATAGTAAACTTCTTTATTTTCCAATTACTGCCTCTAGGCTTCACTGTAATAGAAACAATAACTATAATAAAGTTCACGTGCTCATTCTGAGTCTAAATTTGACCCTGTAACTGCCTCCAGTTGTTAACTGGAGCTACTCTAGGAGTCTGCCTTTCTGCTTTTCCTTTTCCTGGTTAGAAATTGTATTTGCAATGTGTCAGGAATATACAGAGCCTGTTACATGTAGTAACTTCTGCACAGAACTAGTTTGCAAGTTCTTCTGCACATGTTCAGATAGAATAATTAAACTGCTTGGAACACTGAATGCTTCGGCTCAAATGTTGGTGAGGAGACCATCTTTACTGCTAACTTGCAATATCCCTTTCTTCTACAGATCTCGATGAATGCTCAGAAAACTTGAATCTCTGTGAAAATGGGCAGTGCCTCAATGCCCCTGGAGGGTATCGCTGTGAATGTGAAATGGGATTTTTGCCAAGTGTAGATGGGAAAGCATGTGAAGGTAATTCTTTGTAAGCTTTAAACAACACTCAACAGATTCTGCCATAATACTATTTTATGTTCCAATTTTTTACCATTATTTGCTGTTGTGGTTTTACTGAGAACTGCATGAATTTTTTTAATAGTATTTGCTTTTTTGCACTTCATACATTTATTATGGACCTCTAGATGTTCATCTACCTGCTGTGTATAAAGAGAACAGCTTTTCAAAGCCTTTCTTATGATATATTATTTTGGGGTCCGATTGGTGATCTAATGGCACTGATAGCTGTCATTGCTTCTTATGCTTCTGATGTCTAGTTCTTAATTTTATTCAAAACAATTAAACAGAAAAAGTTGTTACTTCACATTGGTATGTATGAAGCTGAAAAGCAGTGATTTGGTAGCCAATATAATGTATATGCTTTGAGGGCTTTGGTGAGGTGCAGAAGCAGTGTGAAGCCTTGCAGAAAAAATATATACTGTATGACTATTTGTTCAGTTTCAAAAGTGATCTGTCGGTTAACAGTTTACAACTCATTCATAAGAGCTTTGCATATGCAAAGATTCAAAACAATCAAATAACAAACATGTTACAAATGTGATTAAGGTCATATATTTGATTTGAACATTTGAAATCCTTATTTGTTATAACACTGATCAGTTAAGTCAGTCAAGAAGATGCAGCCCTATCATCTGACATAGTAATAACTCATGACAACTGGTATTTAATGGAGTTCATAAGTACATCACTTTAAAATAAATTTTTCCCCTTGAAAAGTGTTCTGTATGTTTTTTAGAAATTTACTGAGTGGAATACATTGAGAGTGAGTTTTTCTTTAAACGAAATCAATATTAGGTTTCATAATGTTTCATGAAACAATTTACTTTCAAACCTTTTAGCTGAGTTTAAGTATCGTTTTTAGAGGCTAGTTCCTGTTGCTAAAACAGACATGCCTTCATGTCTCAGATGTGTACACTAAGTGCAGTATTTTAAGGTCCTTTGTAAACACACACATTTTTATTGTATCAATCAGTTGTTCTTTGTGCAGTGCATGTGGCATTCAGTAAATACTGGTTCAGGCTCAGTGATGTGGAGAAAAGACACAAAAGTGTCTGCTTGCCAAACTTTAGATCTGTCAAATGCAGAAACCCAAAGATGAACATGAAGTTCACCTTTGAGCTCAGACTTTTCTCTTTCTGGTTGTCCAGTTTCCTGCGGATGACTGCTGATTTATAATAAACTTTATTTTATTAAGGCACATCTTCTGCTAGGTTTAATATTGCTACTTGTCAGATTAGCCCACTAATAAGCTAGGATAGTTTCTGGAATAGCTTCCAGAGATATTGGAAGGAGCCTTTTTCTCAAAACAATCATTATGGATTAGATTCCTTAGGCTCCATCATAAATCTTCCATGTTACTTTTTCTTGTCTTGCATGATGTGCAGAAGCTGTTGTCTTCCAGATTCATGCTACTGAAAATGTTTGCAGTTCTCTATGTCTCAAGAAGATCAGGAAACCTCATATTTTTCCCCTCCTGTTCCTTAATCAGATATTGATGAGTGCTCACTTCCTAACATCTGTGTCTACGGTACTTGTCATAACCTCCCTGGACTCTTCCGATGTGAGTGTGAGGTGGGCTACGAGTTGGACAGAAGTGGTGGCAACTGCACAGGTAAAACTTTGAACAACATGCCTTTTTATCTTCTGTCAATGCCATAGTCAGCTCCTTAGGAAATTCTTTCAAGAAGCTGTACAAATCAAACTGGATATAGGAAGATACAGACTTCCCTACTGTATAATACAGGATTCACCATACCTTTTTTATGCTCTTCTTTACTTTTTTTTGTCCACCTCTGATATCCCCTTAAGAAGGGGAAAAACAGATCAGAGAATCCCTCTGGCAGAGATGTATTGTGCCTCGTATACAGTACTGGTAAGGGCCTCATCTTGTATTTTTCCCTTAATTTTTTTTTTAGTACTTCATGTGAATCTTGTTCATAGATTGAGTTTTTTCAGGAAAAATGATTTTTTTCTTTTTGCTATGAAATGATGACTTCATCTCAGACTTCTGTTCTTCTAAAATGCCTGTTTATTTTTTAGAGCTTTCTGGAGACCACTATCTCCAAACTAATAGATTTGTGGCGATCAGCATATGGTACCTGATGTAGCAACAGTTTTGAGTGTCCTTGAGTATTTGCTTACCACGTGCTGTGTTTTTCTTGCAGATGTTAATGAATGTGCAGACCCTACAACCTGCATTAGTGGCACATGTATCAACACTGCTGGTAGTTACACCTGTGAGTGCCCTCCTGATTTCGAGCTGAATCCCACCCGCGTTGGATGCGTTGGTAAGGGACCACTCCCTGTGCTGTTCACAAGGGAAATTCCACAGAGGGGCTCCAAGCTGGCTGCTTAGGAATAAAGTCCCAGGTCATGGGAAAGGGCTTGATCAGGCCTTTCTAGTCCCATCTCACTGCCCCTGGCTTAGAAGCTGCAATAGGGCAGCAGGAGCATGTCCAGAGTTGATGCAGCATGCCAGCAGTGCCCTGCTGCCAGAACCAACCCCTTGGGGCTTATTAGAGCTGTCCACAATTTACAGCAAGCAGGAGACAATTTTAAAGTTCAACAAACTTAAGTCCACATCCAGCTGGCCCCAAGATGGCAGGCAAATGAAGCTGTGGCATGAAGCCACCCATGCTCTTGGAGCACTGAGGGCACTTGGCTGGGTGCAGCTTCATGACCAATGGGAGTGCTCTTGTATTAGGCTCCAACTGCTTAGTAATCCTAATAGTTTTTTGGTTTTGTTTGTTTAAGAGGGTGTAGGGATGCTTCTCAAATTTTAGTGTGTTTGAAATTCCTAACATTTAGTAAATGCTTTCCTGCTCGTAAACCTCGAGTAGAGGATAAAGTGGTGGATAGCTGGAACTGGAAAGATATACAAATGTGAGGGAAAATGTGAGTGAAAATGAGAAAAAGCCTGGCTGACATGCCCTTGGACTCAATAAGTAAATTTCCTACTTTGTGAAAAGTCCAAAAAAACCAAGGAATGGGGCACCAGCAACCTACCTGAGTGGGAGATGCTGGGTCCCCTGAGCAGCACAACTTACTTGGCTTTGGTGTCCTGCAAGAAATGGGAGCTGTCTGTAAGTGTCCCTCACCCTGAGAGGATGTGCTGTGTTTTGCTCTCTCCTAAGATGTGTTTGTCATTGTGTGCACTGTGATTAGATACACGATCTGGCAACTGTTACCTGGATATCAAAACTCGGGGAGATAACGGTGGCACCTTCTGCAGCAATGAGATTGGAGTGGGTGTTTCCAAGGCCTCCTGTTGCTGCTCCCTGGGCAAGGCCTGGGGAGTTCCCTGTGAGCACTGCCCACTGGTGAACACAAGTAAGTCTGCAGTTCCTGGCTTAAACACGGCGGTGTGTTTGGTGGGCTTTTTCCTGATTTAGCCAGATATCTGAAATACTGGTGTACATTTATTGTGGACATGCAAGGGACTGGCTTCCACTGGTCTTCACCAAAAACTTCACTAGTCCTTCAGAAAGATTATTTAGTCAGAATGTTACTATCTCTTCTGAGAAAGTTTGCTATTGCACTGAAAAGTACTGAACTATTTATGAAATGGAATAACAAATAATGTTACAGAGTAAAATCTAACATCTCTAGCAGGTTAGTTTGTAAACTTACATTTAAATTGTCTGTAATATTCTGATCCATTTTCAAAAAAAATTGTGCTGAAAATGTTTATACTATCATATGCTCATAAATCTATTTTGCTTTCAGCTGAATATAAAGTTCTTTGCCCTGGAGGGGAAGGATTCAGACCAAACCCTATTACAGTTATATTAGAAGGTAATGTTTGCGATTTCCTATATTTACATGTCTGAAATTGTGAAACTCTGTAGGGAGGGTCTTTTTTTTTTTACATCAAAAACATTAATAAAATGTTTGTGTGTTTGTTTGAACAGATATTGATGAATGTCAAGAACTGCCTGGCCTTTGCCAAGGAGGAAAATGTATTAATACATTTGGTAGCTTCCAGTGTCAGTGTCCTTCAGGGTACTACTTGAATGAAGAGACTCGAGTGTGTGATGGTATGGAGCTTTCACTTAACTAGTCTTCCGCTTTATTCTTTAGAAATAATGCCAGATCAATATGCAGTGAATTAATCTTACCTTGAAAAGGAGCATAACCAGACTAAGCAGTGTAAAGCTATAGGATGGGAAAATTCAACAAGTTGAAATCTTGCATTAAGAGTGTGAAAATTCCTTCTTGACCATGCTGAAATTATGCAATATAAAAAAAATTATCATAGTTTGATCAAAACCTGAAAACCCAGCAATTTTTTTTCTATAAGTTAGACATAACTTGGTAACTTGCTATAAAAAATAGCTGTTTGGTAATGGGCAATGAATAAACAGATAAAAGAACAAACTTTCCCCATGAATCTGGTGGACTGATGTGTCCATGTATATTTCCACTGCTTTTTTCACTCCTGCTGGTCCAGTCATCAACTGAAAATATTGGTTGTACTGCAAAACATTTTCCTTTCCACAGAACAATCAGAAGTATGTGTCACATTATGTGCCACTCTCAAGGTGTACTGGATATAAAATGTTAAGCAACCCATCAAGTTCTAAAATTTCCTGTTGTCTAGGTTGTCTTTGATCTTCCAGATTGTTAATAATGCTAATGTAGTGCCTATGAAGTGCAAAACACTGCAGAAATAAAAACCATTTGGGCCTTAAATTAAGGCTGAACCAAAGTGCTTCATCCACATTATGTTTATGTAGCTTGACAGGTACTGAGTGGTTTGTCAAAGATACTCTAAAATTTTAAGGCTAGGGAAATATTTTTGAACTTTTGGGAGCTGAGGTGTTTTGGAGATGGTGTTGTGTTTGGTTTTGGTTAGATTTTTTTAAACAAAACTTTGTCTCTTGATGAAGGAAATAGGACATCTTGTGTTGGGAAAGTGGCTCACTTTCCCTAGTCAGGCAATGCTCAGTCGGAACTCCACAGGGAACCACTTTGGTTATTTTCCAGATCTAAGAGTCCAGAATGGAGGAGATCCTCAAATACTCTTTTTGTGCAACAGATGCAAAAGCCAAATTGCTGTTTCTGAGCTTTCCAGACATATCAGAGTTCCCATCTTTGCATCGCAGCTGGGCTTTTCATGGCCACCTGTGCTGCCACCTCCTTTTCTGTGTGGCTTCACTCAACCATGACCTTCCTCAGAGCCCCTTCAGTTCTTCTCCACCAGTACCTTCCTACCTCAGACATTACTGAGACATTTTTGTTCTCAAAAGCACAAGAAGAAAGCTCCTGTGGCCACTCACTCACTGCCTGCTTGTTCTCTTCTAGATGTGAATGAGTGTGAGACACCTGGCATTTGTGGGCCTGGCACGTGTTACAATACTGTTGGGAACTACACCTGCATCTGCCCTCCTGATTACATGCAAGTCAATGGAGGAAACAACTGCATGGGTATGTGCTGGGGTTTCTCTAAAGCTTTGTCTTAGTGCATTGGGCCAGGGAGATCATCTTCCCTAAGAGTTGGTACTGCATTGGCCTGAGGTTTTCTTGATTTTCACAGATATGAGAAGAAGTCTGTGTTATAGAAATTACTATGCTGACAATCAAACCTGTGATGGTGAGCTGCTCTTCAATATGACCAAGAAAATGTGCTGCTGTTCCTACAACATTGGACGTGCATGGAATAAGCCTTGTGAACAGTGTCCTATCCCAAGCACAGGTACATTTTTGCATTGCAAAGCTATCTGAAAGCCTTGGTAACATCATAATTACTATTAGTGAGTGTAACACCATTAGAGATGCTATGTCTTTTTCTGCTCTTATGTGTCTAAAATGAAGGGATTAGTTGCCTCTTTGTCCTGGAGATGACCAGCCCTAGTCATGATGAATGCATATGTGGAGTGGTTTGTGTCCCTGCTGCTGGGTTGCGCCTACCTTGTGCCAGTTTCACTGTTTCAGAGACTTCATGCTCTGTATCAGTTAATCCATCTCTTTTCAAGTGCTTGTTGGTCCACTGTTGAGGCACTGACCAAGACTATTGGTATTGCTCCAACAAGTACGGGGTCTGGTCTGCTCTGCCTCGATTGTTGTTTGCTCTGAAGGGCCTTTGTGTAGGCCCGGGGCTTGCAGAGATACCTTGGTGAGCCTGAGAATGATCTGTGTTGAGCAGCCAAATGTGAGATGTAGAGTGTCTCTGCTAATTGCATGAGATTAAATACATAATAAATACATAAACATGTGACTCTTCCACACTGGGTAAAACTGCAGGACATCCCTCTCTGGTTTGAGGTGGTTTGAGCAACTTCCTAGACACTTGATTCTTCCAACTTGTAGTTCAGGTTTTTATGAGTCAGATCTGAAATTGTATGCACACACTGTAATGCATAGGGATAGACATAAGCAGAGCAAAATAAGCATGTGATCCCAGCTGAATGAGAACCCAAGGGAACTCATGTGGTGAATGTGGGAAAGGGGCTGCCTACCTCTGTGTGCCCTGCAGGTTCTGGAAGAGTAGAAGAACTTTCTAGGCCAGAGCATAAGATGAAATTTTGACTGTTGATTAATTCCAAATACTTTAATCACTGCTTTGCTTTCCTGTTGCAGATGAATTCTCCACACTCTGTGGAAGTCAAAGGCCTGGCTTCTTCATTGACATTTATACAGGATTACCAGTTGGTGAGCTATAATTTATGTTTTAAACTAAATTCCATGCTACCTCTGCCCAGGGAAGAGGGGAGGTTTGTTTTCCCAGTTATGGTCTTTTTTTTCATGTGAGGAATAACAATTAAACAGTGTAATGGAATTCAACCCTCTGTTTAATTCCAATTTAAGTGCAAACTGGCTACTCCTAGCTGGCAGCAGTGACAGTTACTGCTTGTAATCAAGGCAGCACAGAGCTCCAAAGAAACTGTAATCAGGGCTACATGAGCACGGCACAGATACTGGGAATGAGAGGTCTGGGAGTAAGGCCAACCAGCATTTGGTCTGGGAGGAACTGGGAGTCTTTCCTTCAAACTAAAGCAAGATTTAGTCTGACATTTCACATCAACCCCCCTGGGTATTGGTTTGACACAAAAATCCTTTTTTCTGCTCAGCTGGAATATTTCTCACATATGTTATTGTGTGTTACATTTGAATCGTGAGTAACAAATTGCAAAACAAAAAGAGGGAGAGGGGAGGAATTTTAGGACAAGAAATTGAGTAAATCCCTAATGGGACTCCCTTTTGTTTTCATTTACACTAAAATGCAAATGAAAAGCAGATAATATACCCCGTAACAAACAGAGATGACCTATAGGCAGTAATCAGATGCTTTAGCATGAAGCTGTTGCTGTGGTGCAGTGTTTAGCTAGTTAGATGAAAATATTTCTAGTAAAGTGGGGAATGTAATTTTTAAAGAGGTTACAGAAATGCGCAATATTTAGTATTTACAAGGTCATTTCTTGGAAGCAGTTTCCCCTTCTAGCTATTAGCATTAGTTCAGATTGTTGCAGAGCCTGCTCAGCTAATTGGGCCCTTCATCAGCATCAGCGGGGAGCCCCTGGATGTTGCTGACATGCACAGGTAGAAGCTGCAGTGTTTGACACGTGTGCAGGAGTGCTGCAGGCTGCTCTGTGTGTGCTGCCACAGCACAGAGCTGTGCAGTGCAGGAGCCAATGGAAACAGAAGGGCTGTCCCACAGAGCCCAGCAGCACAGCCAGTGCATGCAGCCTGTGCTGGGCCTGATGCACACACAGCTTCTCACAGCTGTGCGAATCACAGCTCTCCCTGCTGCTTTGGGATCAAGGCTGGGGCACTCAGCCTGCTGCTCTGCACAGGGGTTACTTGTGTCCCATACACCTGCAGGCACGGGATCAAGGAGAGCCCTCTGCAGGGGCAGTGCTCTTGTACCCTCTAATATTTGCCTGCAGTCCAGTGATGTTACCCTCTGTGTGGATAAAAGTTCTATACAGTTACTCCAGAAACATAAATAGTTCTGGTTTTAATCATCCTGTATATGAGAGGACTCAAAATTACAGAATCTAATGTAGGAAATTAGGGGTTGGATCCAGGAGCAAAACAAAACAAACCAAAAACCAAAACAAACAAAACCACATTATCTGATGGAAACTCCTATCAGCTGACTATTTCCCACTATATTCTATGACTGTGTACCTCAGGGCATATATCAATGTTTACTGAAGGCAGAGGCTTTGGAGGAATCTCTGAACACTCTCATGTCAGAATATTAAGATGTGTAAGGACCCAATAGGAAAGACATATAATTGTAATAACAGCTGGGTTTTCCTGCCAAAACCAGTTACTTTAGTGGGTTGTATGTAAAGCATTGGCAAGCCCTGGCTGCCTGGCTTTATCAATCGAATTAAAAGCATGTTGGCAGCACTTCAGATGTTACCTGTCATTGGCACTTTCAAACTCTTACATAAGACCCTGAAAGTCTTTTCAGATTAACTAGGGTAAAACAGTGCAAAACGAATTCTGATGTTTGCATTTGGTCATGCTCTCCTGTATTAAACCAAAGACAGTTCCATTGTCTCTCTGTTTGGCTCTTCCCAACAACCCCACTGTGGCACTTGGGAAGGTGATGAGGTTCATCAGGGCTGTGGGTGGGAGACATGAGGAAGGATGTGTCTTCCTCTGTACTCCTCTGTAGCAGAATATACTTTCAGTACAAAGAAGAGTAAGAACCTGAGAAAACAGGAAATACCTAAATTTCCACAGTTTGGAGTGACACACTCAATGTTCGGTTGGGAACATTCTGATCATTCTGATGCTTGCATTATATGCTTGATAATTATCTAAAAGGGAAAATGAATAAGGACATACTCTGTAGCAGAAGATTCCATGGAGTTGTCAGTACAAGTATTTAAAAAAAAAAATTATTCCTGCAGATATTGATGAATGCAGAGAGATTCCTGGAGTGTGTGAAAATGGGATCTGTATAAACATGGTTGGCAGCTTCCGATGCGAGTGTCCTGTGGGCTTCTTCTACAATGACAAGCTTCTGATCTGTGAAGGTAGAGTGCTCCTCTCATCCAGAGGAATGGTGTTTCAACAGCTGGCATCTCAGACGCTGCCAAATCAGAGCCTTGAAGGCATCCTTCATGAGGAGAAAATACTGCTGTCAGTGTAATAACTCTGTGTTAATTCAGACATTTTGAATTCTTTTGCATAGAAAACACCACATTTTCTGTCAGACATCTAAGGCCTTGAAGGGACATGAGTCAGCAGTCCTGGGAAGTAGGTTTGGTTTTTTTTCACATTTGATAGTAAAGCCAAGAACAAAATACCATCATGAGTCAGATCATGTGCACAATTTTTTTAAATTCCAAAATATTTTTTTTCAATGGAACAAATATTTTTGTAAAAAATAGAAACAGATGGTTGTTTATTTTTAGTTTAAACATTCCCTAACATTATATTAGTCAGTTTAATGAAGAAACTGAAGGTAACACATGAGTTGCTGTCATTCTCTGCTGTTTGTTACGACTGCTGACAATAGGTGCTGTAGGCAAGGCATTGAGAGCTTTAAGTAAAAGCTTCTTCTGTGTGCTTCTTCTAAATGAAAACCAATTACATTTCTGGGAAGATAAAATTCTCTTTTTGCAACACCTGAAGTAAGGAAAATTGCTCAAAATATTTTTTTGCTAAAGCTGTGTGATGGCGTTTACATTGAAAGCTATTAATTAATACCTGTATGCTAAAAAAAATATGGTTTGAGCATCTTTCCACTGCCAGCTTGTTATAAAACTCAAATTCTTCTTTGTCTTGTCAGATATTGATGAATGCCAGAACGGACCAGTTTGCCAGCAAAACGCAGAGTGTGTGAACACAGCTGGGAGCTACCGCTGCGACTGCAAACCTGGCTACAGGTTCACGTCCACTGGGCGCTGCGCTGGTGAGTGCCTGGGAGGGCTCCAGGCATGAGGGGGTTTTAAGGGCTTGAAAAAACATCTCTTCTCTCCAGAAAGTTGGTATTTCAGGAGATGATCTGAGCTTCAAGAACTCTTCTCTTAAAGTCTTTTAGGGCATCCCATAAACACTGAGGTAATTCCAGGCCCATTCCATGGATGTGTAAGTGGGAGTTAGGAACCTAAGTAGGTTTGTCTTTCACTTTATCTAACCAAGTACAAGCATTTTTCTTTAGCCCTTGTCACGTCTAGGAAGGGAAGACCATTTGATGCACTACCCTTCTGCATTTTCTGATTTTCATTATGATTTTCTATATGTGTTTTAGCAATTTATTTTCCACTTGTATTTTTACAATAATTCCCTGCTTGCTGCTGGAGCCTCTCTTGATAAGGTAGTCTTATCTGCTTGCCTGTATGCAATAACTAACTTGAAAAGCCTATTGTTGAATTTCCAAACTTTGATACAGATTTAAACAGGGCCCATAATATTATTTTTAAATATTCACTGAGAGGGACTGAAGTTTTCTAATCTATTTGCTTTTTCTTACAATATCTTAGTCCAGAGAGACATTCAAGTTATCTTACTTACTTGAAGAATTCCCGAGATTTTAAAGACTGCAGTGGGACAAGCTGCTGTAAATATTATATACTATATACATTTCTGAACAAAATAAGAATTACAGCGGAAGCTAGTAACATTATCATCAGGTTTTTGCTTCTCAGTACTTGAGTTTTAGGAAGTGCACTTTTCCCTGCAGTGCAGTTCTTCATTGTTTCATGTGACCCTTGTGGGAAAAGGGTGTAGGGGAAATCAGAACACTACTATGAGAACTAAAACTTTGCTTTGTTAAGCTATGCAGTGGCACATGTAAATATTCAATATGTTCCTAATGTAATTGTTGTTGTTAAGGGTTCATTACAGGAGTACAGGAAGAGCAAGGGAAGGTTCTGATATGGGTTACAATTCCAAAGATGAATTGGCACAAACAGTAATACTTCCCTGTATTTTGCTCTTATTTTATATGTGGTGAAAATAAAGTTGCACAATTAGAGTAAAAATAAAAGTAGTTGATAAAGTACGTGATCCAGCAAAGGAAGGAAATTCCCAATCACTCTGCTGGGAGCACCTTGCAGTATTGGATCAGCCATGCTACTGCATGGAAAACTATCACACCCCTGTAGTTTATGTGCTATTGGGTCAAACCCAATATATCACAGCCACTAGTACTAGGAGTACTGCATTTATCTTACCTTCAAGATAGCATTCTTCTGGTGCTCTCTGTTGTGGTAAACTAAATAGTTTTTCCTATAAATTAGTTTTTCACATGACTATTCATTGCCCACAAAGAACTGGGGTCATAGATTTTCTTTTGTCTCTGCTCTCCTGAGATGAAGATCAGGAGTTCTTAAGACAGCATTGTCTTTCCTTCTGCCTCCTTCAAACTGTAATTAGCAGTGCTAATTACATAATTATCAATAGCATTGGGAGAGCTCGGTCCTTAGTGCACACCCATCCAGAGTTACTCACAGCCCCAAGGGATATATACAGAGGTCCTGGGGATGGGGCTGTTGGGATTGTCCATGATTGTCCCTGTGCCAAGTACAGTGCAGAAGAGAGGCAGGAAATGAATTTTAGTACATTAAGTTCTTTGCAATTAGGAGCAGCTTGACTCTTGCAACAACCTGGGGATGGTTTGCTGAGAAACTGTGTCTGCTTGGCTTAGATTGCATAGAAAAGAAAATTACTGAGCACTAGAGCCTAATCAATTTTAATACAAGCTCATGGCAGCACCTCAGTTCTCATACTCTGGAACTGCAGCATGGGAAGGAAAGAAAGTATATTGAATCAAACTAGCTCTTGGTGGTGATGAGGTCAACAGAAACACCTCATTTGATGTTTCTGATTTGTCATAGAACAAACTATGCCAGAGAGCAAACATTTTGTTTGTTAACATTTAATTTCATTTATTATTGATAGAATCCTGGGATCTGCCTGAGAGCATTTGTAAACAAGAGTAGCAGGAAGCAGTGGGCTATTAAACAAGTATAAGAGATGCCCTACTTTTGTAAGGCAGCAATCACATGCTGGCAGGAGAGCTCTCCTCCTTCTCTGCAGAATGATACAAAATATCCCAGCTCCATATGGCAGTAACTCCTCTTGCTGTTTGAGCTGTGTCCAGTTTATAGGATCACCAGTTTATAGGATTTCATGCAACATGTGTATGTGTGCCTGTTTTCTCTCTGCATGATAAGTTGATAAATCATCTTTCCTTTTATCTCTCTCTAAGCCTAGGGAGACAAGTGTGGTGTTCATTCCCCTTTCTGTTCTGTTGATTTCCATGAGTTCGGTCATGCAATGTGTGCTACAATCAAATGTGGCTAAATGCAAGTAGCTGCTTTCATGAGAAGAATGCAAACTGTATTTTATATGCTTCTTTCATATCTCCTTCAGTCAGTATAGAGCCCTCAGACTCAGACCCTTTCTAGACTTGTGTCATTAATTCTGCTTTTCTAAGCCATGGTGATATGCTTTACCTCCAGCAAGAATTGAGGATTGCTAAATATAATTTTTACGCTAAATTTTTTTCAGGTCCACAAATACTGGAAGAGGTAATTTACATGCAAATAAGCCCCTTATCTGGGATTTACTTGGTAATGTTTTTGTCATTAATACATTAAAAATACTATTTTAAGTTAGGCCATGCACTGGATACTGTCTTGGTTGCTGCTAATGCATCTTTCCAGCCTTGTCCTTTAGAAGCCTGAACTTTCACTGCACCTCTTTGTTTTCAGATCGGAATGAATGCCAAGAAATTCCCAATATCTGCAGCCATGGGCAGTGTATTGACACCGTTGGAAGTTTCTACTGCATTTGTCACAATGGATTCAAAACCAATGATGACAGGACAATGTGTATAGGCAAGTATATCAAATTAAACTGAACTTAGGCTCCCATTAAAATAGTTACTAATTCTGTCCTCTCTGTAATAAGGAGTTGCATTACAATATCTGAGATTGTGAGCCATTTGCCACCAGACAAAGGTGTAAAACTGGCTATTAGAGATGATAAAAAGCTGATTCTGAATGAAAACCATCTAAATAGAGTGAACCTTCAAAATTACATGTCTTGTAATTTTGAACTGCTAATGCTTTCATTTTTGAAGATAATATTTCATTCACTTAGAATTTTCTGGAGCATCTTATCTCATTTATTCCTTTAGGCAAGAAATTTAATAAATTAATATTGCAATGCAGCAGTTATATATTACCTACTTGTTAATAGAGTGAATTAAGGGTAGGTTTCTTGCCAGAAAAAAAACCTTTTTCAGAAGCAGTCATTTCATTGACAAGGAGATTTTGTATTTAACCCATTCACAGCTGTCAGTTGTGTGTTGTATGAACAAACTGAGATTTCAGAATGCTTACAATTAAAGGTAGCTTACACTTACTTTGGGAAGGGTGATACAGGAGCCAAAGTAAAGTAAATGATTGTTGGACCCTTGGTTATTTTTGTAGATGTTAATATCAAGTGTGTAAATGTATGTCAAATCTTATTTTTGAGAGATATGCCAATCCTTTTCCCTTCTGTTCAGTGTGTTGGCAGTGGGTTATTTCTCTCTTGTTCCTTCGTAGATATTAATGAGTGCGAGAGAGATGCCTGCGGCAACGGAACCTGCCGGAACACCATTGGCTCCTTCAACTGCCGCTGCAACCTGGGCTTCATCCTCTCCCACAACAACGACTGCATAGGTGAGGAGTGCTGAGCACAGGCACGTGTTCCTGAGGCTTTCTACTTCTAATAAAAGTACCAGAAGTACCATTAAGTAACCCTATTTTGTCAGTCTCAAAAGCCTCTTTGATTATGCACTGCTCACTTTTCTAGAGCCACTTGAATGTTGGCCCAACATACAGGAACATTTGAGTTCTACTCCTGCTCTGACAATTTTACAATATAGTAATTTCCTCTCACTTGCTTTTGAAATGGGATCGTGTTATCAGTTACTTTGTTGTTACAGTGGAAACAGAAATATCACTTACCCAGTTTCCATTGTTGCTGATGATTCTGACTTCTCTCAATGTTATTTGTCCTAGATGTGGATGAGTGTGCAAGTGGAAATGGAATGCTCTGCAGAAATGGTCAGTGTGTGAACACCATTGGGTCCTTCCAGTGTCTCTGCAATGATGGCTATGAGGTGGCTGTGGATGGAAGGACTTGTGTTGGTGAGTGCTTTCTTTAAGGGTTGAAAAAAATGCAGCAAACCTTGAGCAGATATGCTTAGTGGAACAGTAGGGTCGGAGGGAACTGTCACACTGCCATCATTGTACCTAGCAGAAGGAAACAATGACAAGAGGACAAGAAGATGACTCCCACTACTGAAGAGTTCCACCTTCAGTTTGATGGAATCAAAAGTAAAGTGGCGTCAGTCAGAGATTTATTGAGATAACAGCAATTACCTTAAATAAATTGTCTTTCTTTTCTTCTAGATATCAATGAGTGTGCACTGGACCCTGGAAAATGCTCACCAGGCACATGCCAGAACTTGGATGGCTCATTCAGATGTATCTGTCCTCCTGGATACATCCTGCAGAATGACAAATGTGAAGGTGTGTACAGAACAATCCTTCTTTTGTCTCTTTCTTAGCTGCTCACAATTGTTACCTATCTCCTTTTCATTTAAATGTAAGTAATGTTTAGTCTTTTGTGGCAGTGTACAGATCTGAACTGTAGCCACTAGTAAGTCTCTCACTTCCTAGAAAAGGCCTCACCAACATTTGTTTGAACCAGAACTACTTGCTTGGAACCCTAGAAAAATGTAATCCCAGGCTATTTCCTTGGTGGTACGTTGCTGAAGTTTGCCCACTGCCGGAGGATTTGAAAACTAACTGTGGATTTTGCACTTGGGCTACTGCTTCCTCTCTCTGTTTTTTTTTTGGGGGGGCTTTTTTGTTTGTCAAATATGATAGATATCAGTGGTGATGTAAAATTGCCCTTTATGTAGTACAGCTGCCAGTGTAAGTATTATTATTTTTCATCTCTTTAATTACTTTTCTTACAGACATTGATGAGTGTGTGGAACAGCCAGAAATTTGTGCCCTGGGCACATGCAGCAACACTCCAGGCAGCTTCAAATGTCTGTGTCCAGAAGGCTTTGTATTGTCTTCCACAGGAAGGCGATGCCAAGGTAAGTTCATTCCTATTTTCTGGCATTTCAAAATTTGTTTGCTGTTTCATAAAAGCCTTTTTAGAGAGCTGTTTCTAATACAGCAAGAAAGCTCTGGACTCAAACAGTGTTTTTCATAGGGAAAACATGATAATTCTGTAGCTGGGGCCAGGTTCTGTCTTGCCCTAACATCTGTTTTTCATTAAACAGAGCACTGCAATAAAAGGGGTGAAGTTAATGTTAAATGCACCAGGTTAAGCAAAGAAATTATGTTGGCCTGAAATCTTTTCTTGCACCCTTGGAAGAAATGTTGGGGCTACCTGGACTCTTTGTAGACAGCAACATGACACAGAGATGGAGCATGAGACTCAAGAAAGCATTTCCAGTTTTAAGGCTCTCCTTAGCACTTCCCATATTGACTGTAACACTTGTTATCTGATGATGATCCTCTCTGCAAACGTGGGTGGAAAAAAAGATTGTTGGAAAAAATTTGCAAACAATGTTGTGTGGACAATAAGTACCCATCTGCTTAGGGAAATCTGAAGTGTCATTTGGCTTCCAGATTACTGCATACACAGTTCAGAGCCTAAACAGGGGCACTAACATATGAGATGCTCAAAGCTGAATATCTAGTAATTAAAAGCCACAGGTTAGTTTATTTTGTGTATAAAGAACCAGAACAGAAAATTAGGGAATGAGTTACTTTAAAGGCTTTGGAAATTATTAAATAGATACAACATTAAATATCTTGTACACTGCACAGTGGGAACCACTGAGGAGTAAGACCTTTATAAGGACCTCTGTAGTTTTGCTTGGCACAGAGCAGTGATGCTTGTTGACACCATAGCGAGTTCTTCCCTTCACAGTGGGCTAAATGAAATTGTGGTTTTGGTAAAAATGAATCCAACCTGCAGTAAACATTCATCCAAGTCTTCAAACCACCATGCAGTTTGGCACAGTTACTTCACTCAACATCAAGAAAGCATGTTTTAGCTGTGTTTATGTAGCTTGTATAAATGAAGTTTCTTCAGTCTGAGGGTTTTCTTTTCTTCAGGTAAGAAGAAAAAAATCACAACCCACCAAGAAACAAAATCATAAAAAAGAATGCAGCCCAATCTTCTACTTTAACATAGGCCACCGTTTCACACAATGTCAGAGGAAAGTGCACACTTGTGTATGCATTTCTAAAGGGCTTCTCTTTATGCCCTAGAGGACTGTTCTTTTTTCAAATATCTCAGGCCAAGCAAAGTTTTCTTTAAAACTTCCCATTACCTAGGACTTTGTTAAAACCTGGACATTGCCCAGCATTGATGCTGCAGCCGGAAGACTGGATGAGCAGCTGCTTCCAGAACTGCCCTGCTGCTGTCTCCCTGCCAGCACAGAGAGCTGCCAGCTCCCTGCCTGCTGGATGCTTGTGGTCTGTGATCTCAGTTCTGTCCAGCATCCTGGTTACCCAGCTTCAGGGAACAAAATGTGGTGCCACAGGGAGAGTTTGCTTTGTTTGTGTGTACCTCCGGAAGAGTGAGGAAGGAAAGGGCTGTTGAAAATTGCCTCTCATTTTAGCACTACACAATATTGTCATTGCAAGTTGATGAAAATCTCTTGACTTGAGTGATTCTTACCAGTAATAGAATATAAATTCGTGAGACAATATTCCATTTTTTCAAAGAGGAGTGAGGATAAGAGGACAGTACAGCCCTTCCATTTCTGCTGGACCAAAGAGAAAACCCTTGCTTTTCCATGACTGAAGTAGTAAAACTGTTCCATAGCTTTTCTTTACTGAGGTAGGGAGCTTCCCTCCTTATTCAAATCTTCCACAGTCAGAGACAATGATAGTCCCTATTAACAGAGCTAGATGGAGGTTGGGTGTTTTGGTGGTGTGTATCCTGTAATTTTGCAGTCAACACCTCTAAGTGAAAATTGTGCTGAGGTTACTCTTAACTGCTTATAACAATTTTTTTTCTCTATGCAGATCTGAGAGTGAGCTACTGCTTTACCAAGTTTGAAGATGGGAAGTGTTCTGTGCCGAAGTCCCGAAACCACTCCAAACAGGAATGTTGCTGTGCCTTGAAAGGGCAGGGATGGGGAGATCCCTGTGAGCTCTGCCCAGAGGAAGCAGATGGTGGGTTACTGACTAGCTTACCGTACTGCCTCTCTGAGCAGAAAGGAGATTGGGATTCTTATTAGAAGGAATTTTGAAAAATAGTTTTCTAAAAGTGTTTAACCCTAGTAAGTGTTATAGGTCTCTGTAAAGTAGATGGCATTGCAGTCTTAAAAACTACGTCCCTTGGATAGTCAGATATCAAGCATATTCCTTCTTTGCTTATAGATTTGTTACAGTGTTTAGCTGCTGGGTATTTTGCTATGGAGATATCACATACAGAAAGCACCAGTAGGTCCTTAATAGGCTCTGAGTAGCAATTCCTACAAGACAAAAATAGAATTCTTCTGATTGTAAGTAGTTATAGAAAGAGGTGCCATAAACTTGAAATTTAATTAAAATAAAACCCCAAACAGTTAAACTGGATCTGCATCTGAATTTTGTTATTAAAAAAATGTAAATTTGCAATCTTATCAAAAATAGCAGGGCATAAAAAAATACAGGCCTTGAGGAAGGAAAGCCTGCCCAGACCATTGCTAAAGAAACACTTTCCTTTGTTAGTATCCTTTTTAAGACTGAGTAACTCGACATCAAGCAACTCAACAGGCCTCTGTAACATCGTGGTGCAATTTGCTGAACGGACTGTAATTCGTGCTGACAAATGCGGTTAACAGCATTACTGGCTTCAGCAATACATGATTGCAGTTCATTTCATTCATTAGTCATGTAGATTTTTTGCAGAAAATCCTCACAAAAGCTGAGGTTAGAAAAGAGAATTAGAAGTGCTGGTTGCAATATTCCTCCTAGGCCTACTGCCTGTGCATGTTTCGTTCCATTGACACGGACCATGTGAACCAAAGTCAGTTGAAAGGCACAGCTTATGTTGCATTTCCTTGAAGTGTCAGCATATGTATTTTTGACAGTCCAAACTCTCCCAATGGATATCAAGGCCGCTTTTCTCATCTTTTAAAAAAGAAATAGCTTTAAGATAGCCGAGTCTGGATTAAATTATGCCTTCTTCAGAAAATAAAGGAAATTTTATTTGTACAGCAGAAAAAATGCAGTCACTACTACTGATAGTTCTAAAATAGAAATGACCTGAACATGAGGAGGATGAGCTGATGGCAGTGGTTGCAGGTAGTTTGTGCAGAATGCTGATTGCCAAGATAGAATTTAACATATGGTTTGATTTTTTTTTTTTTTTTCCAGAGGCATTCAGACAGATCTGTCCATTTGGAATTGGCATCCTTGTTGGACCTGGTGATGCAAGGCTGGGTAAGTGCCTGAGCTGCATGGTGCCACTTTTACATCAGTGTCCCTTTACCACCCATAAGCCATTCTCCATTTCAATTGAGAATAACACTTCTGCAACTATTTCCCAAAGCCATGAATTGTGGAAACTTCTAGGCTTTTTATCTTCCCCAATTTTTCATACTGATTTCAAATTCCAGCTTGGCTATCTCAAATATCAGAAATTAAACTTCTTTTCGAGCTAGGAAACTTACTAGGAAACTTAGAGAATGGATCTAGTGTCACGTAGCATACTTGTCTTTTCTTATACAATATGTGTAGCCTGTTTACAGTAAATGGTTTTAATCCTCCAGAAGTGCAAACCACGGTTTCCCAGATCCCTTCAGTACATTCTGTTCTCTCCCAAGACAAACAGCACTTCAGCCTTATTGGCAAAAGTTTGCATTTAAGGAGTACTGGATGACTACTGCTTTTCATATCTGCTGCTTTCCCTGTAGCCCCAGTCAGAGAGGTTTATACCTGACATTTAGAATCAGTTTCTTTTCTGCATTCTGAAAGCTGGCCTGCAAAACAAATCTGTGCCCTAATCCTAATATGTCAGAATTTAAATATTAGTATTTTTTGTGATCTCAGAAATATTTCTTGCCAGAACACTTGTTCTTTGACAGAAGTCTAAAAGAACATGAAGCCAGTTGCACTTACTGTGTTGTTTGTATTTCTGGTTAAGATGTGGATGAGTGCCTTGATCCTGATAACTGTAAATTTGGGCAGTGTATCAACACAGATGGGTCTTTCCGCTGTGAATGTCCATATGGTTACATCCTACAAGGAGCAGAATGTGTGGGTAAGTACAGCCATTCCAGCTTCCATTTTAAAGATCTCCTAAATTGCTAAGTATGGCATTAAGGAGCAGTGGGGTTGTTTTATTCTAACATTTTGGAGTCTTCATCTCTGCTTATGCTTAAAACCTGCCAGAGCAGGGCCTGAGCAATCTTCTTCAAGTTGGCCCTGCTCTGGCTGAGTGTTTAACCCAGGCAGCCTCTAGCAATCCCAAATTATTTTAGGAGTCTGTGGTTCTAATTCAGTACTTTAGTGAGTTCTTGCATTTTCTATTTTTCTGGTTGTACATCAACAACATGGATTTTTTATCATTTTGATGGAGTATAACCATGTAATCTTGCCTTGGTTTAACTACTTGCAGACACTGATGAATGTGCTGTTGGAAACCCATGTGGAAATGGAACTTGCAGGAATGTGATAGGAGGCTTTGAATGCACCTGTGTAGAAGGATTTGAGCCCGGGCCAATGATGACCTGTGAAGGTGAGACTCCTGTGTGCTAAGGACTGTTGTTGTAATTGTGTTCCCTGATTTTGAAAACAGCTGAGGGGAGTAAAGCAGCTTTAAAAATAAAATATGGACACTTGGGACAATACCTCTTTATCTGAAATGGGAAAATGGGCTCCTCCTTCCCATATCCACCTTGAACTGTAGTATGTTTTTCTGACTGGAGCTGGGGTGGACGGACTTTCAAGTGGTATCTACTAAGGGACTGCCCAGAGAGGAGCATGTTGGGGTGCAGTCTCTTCAGAACAGTTCCAGAAGTGCTGCTTACTGTGTGTATGGCTTTTGCCTGTCTCCTTGAGTGAAGAGACTCACTGTGCATGATGAAGATAGGAAATGGGCTGCTCGAATGAGTTAGGGAAGAAACAGGGAACAAACAAGAAAATACAAGTAAAGTACTCAGCAATTACCATGGTACCCCTAGGTTGAATATTTTTCCTGCTTTGGGGTCTCATTTCAAAAATTAAAATTTGAAAATGCATGAAGAGCAGTAAGGAAGATCAGAGGTATAGAAGAAAAATAAATTAGAATTTTACAGTGTGGAAAATGTGGTTGAAGAGATATATGATTTTATAAAGCCACAAGAGGTAAAGGTACCAAAAATAGAGGGACCATGTTAGACAAACCAAAGCAAATATTTTTATATGCATGGTACTTATTGGAAGTACCATGTGGAAGTAAGTTGTGGAATCCTTTGCTACAGAATATTAGCAAGTATAAATTGACCCAGAAAGAGATTATGCAAATTTGTGGGGGAATCCATCAGTGGAAATTAAGCTTGATAGTTTGGTTGTGGCTTCTGGCTGTGGAAGCCCTTAAACTCAGAGGCTGTATCAGGGGAAAGATCTCTGCATACATGGTATGAGGTTTTTAATATTCATCTCCTTCTGTTACAGCCAGGGAGAGGAGAATGTCCTAGGACGTTCTGACACTGTCCTCTGACTTGACACAGCTGTTTCTAAATTATCTGCCACAGTCTATTTCTTTGTGAGCCCATGCAAAAGAATGCTTCTATTTTTGCATCAGATTGCATTATTTTTACATTTAGTTAGAGCTTCATTTGCTTCTCTGTGGAATTCGGGTAAAAGCTCAAATTGCAGAGGAGGAGCTAGCTGAGTGCATAAACGTCATTATATAGCAGTAATTACTCAAGTAGTCCAGGCATTTTGTATGTAAATGCACTTCAGAATAATGTTTCTAGTTTCTAGTAAGGATATTGTTTTATGGAATTCAGTTTATGAAGAAGCTGAATTCCTGCATGTAGAATTTAAATAACCAATCAGAAAAAAATGAACCTAGGTGGGGAAAAGATCTAGTTTTAACTGAGAAAGTATTTTGGCAGCATGGATCTGGAAATTATTTCCATTGGCTGCTTGCTGTTGAATTTATTGAAACTTCAGGTAGCTGTGCAAACATCCTGGCGTGTCTGGTGCCTGCTTCTCTACAGAAATCCATGAAGAGTAGAACCAAGGGTCCCCAGCTATTAAAATCTAGTCCTCAGTAAACTGTGATATTGCCTGTACCTAAAGCCTGTGCACTCAAGTCTGCTGAGTTTTACACAAGTATTTCCTTCCCCCCATGCTCTTTGTCGCCCCAAATGCAGATGTGAATGAGTGCATTCAGAACCCTCTGCTCTGCGCTTTCCGCTGCGTGAACACTTTTGGATCCTACGAGTGCAAGTGCCCCGGGGGGTACGTTCTGCGGGAGGACCGGAGAATGTGCAGAGGTAAAGCTCCTACCAGGCTCTCACAGTTATGAGATAATGATTTCAGTTCCTGCAGGGGCAGGGCTCTGACTCACTGCACTATTGGGCCAGAGTTTTAATCCCAGGAAGTAACTGAGTCAGAATTTGGGATGAAATTCTATGGTTTGCATTATGCACTTGATTGTACTAGGCCTGTCCTGCCAGTAAATTTATACATCTGCCTAAAGTGAGGTCATATCAAATGATATGGTTTTGTCTTGCCCTAAAAATGGGCATTTGGGAGAAATCAATTTGCTCAAGGCTAGTATACTTTATGCTTGGTTTAGAACAATAAATGTATGTGTAGGGTTTGATTATGGTAGAGATTCCAAAGTCAGAATTTACTATTGTGAATTTCCAGGATCATGTCTGTATATAATAAAGTCTAAACCTTGTGTTTTAGATCAGAATGAGTGTGAAGAAGGAATTCATGACTGTGACTCAAAGCAGATGGAATGCAAAAACCTAATTGGCACCTATATGTGTATCTGTGGCCCTGGTTATCAGCGCAGACCAGATGGGGAAGGCTGTATAGGTAAGTGACACTGAAGTGTTGAAGCTCTTGAAATACACAGTTCCTCAGCAGGACTAAAAATTGTGGATTTAACAAAGTGTTAAGAAACTCAGGGGCAGAATTGCACAACTTTTTGTGTCATGGATCTATTGGTGCTGTACACACTTGGTTTTGCTGTTAAGATGTACACATCTGTGGGTAGTAAGTGAAGAATCTGGGTGTGGGTGTTTTTATAATCAGTTAGTACTGCTGCTGCTGAATGCTCTGAGAGAAGAAGGTGAGGATTTGGTTTGGTTGCTGTAGGCTTGTTTATCTCTGCTAGCATGAATGAGAGTAGATTGGGTTTTTTTAAACCTGGGATGGCATTCAGAACTGCAGCTGTAACTATGAAAAATTTTGAAAACCAGTGAGGAATGTACTGCAGATATATATAACTGTTGTGAGCTAGATGGCCATCTTTCCTCTGAAAATTGAAAAAAAGACACTTTAAAATATAAGAAAAAGAAAAAAATTGAAATTTAACCAGGCCGAATGCACAGCATAAGAGTTCTATACCAACCTCATACATACATTAATCTAATAATGGACTTGATTTTTGTAATAAAATTTCAAAAATGCAGATGAGAATGAATGTCAGACCAAACCTGGGCTCTGCGAGAACGGCCGTTGTTTGAACACACTGGGGAGTTACAGGTGTGAGTGCAACGAGGGATTCACGGTCAGCGACACCCAGGATGAGTGCCTTGGTAAGTCTCAATTTACACCTGAATGAGCTGTCACTTGCATAGCAGCAAGGAGGGCTGAAATTAAACTTAGAAATGTATGGTGAGAAAATGCACTCTTGAATTTACATGCCTTTAGGAAGGGGCCCTTGTATGTAGGTGTCCTCCTGCAAGTTCCTCCTTCCATGCTCCCCATATCCCCGCCTCAGTCAGTCCAGCTGGGGTGACTTGCTATGAAAGCTGACTGTTCCATGATTTCAGTCAGCCAGGAACTGCTCTTTGGACATTTCTTTGGTCCTGATTTTCAGCCAGTTCTCTAAGTTCAAACAGAAACATACATTTTTATAAGCATATTGTAGCTTCTTGTCTTCTGCCTTTTGCTAAATTTCTTGTCTTTGTTTCCCTTAGATATCATTCTCTCGTTCTTACTGCTGGTAGTCTTTCACTCTCAGTTCCACAGTCTCAGGGTGAAGTATGCCCTTACTGTTGTATTTCTGTCTAAATTCCCAGCATCTCATGACCCTCTGGAATTCACCATTAGGATTCTCTGTGATGCACAATTTGTCTTCCAGACAACAGGGAGGGCTACTGCTTCACTGAAGTCTTACAAAGTATGTGCCAAATCGGATCGAGCAACAGGAACGCTGTCACCAAGTCTGAATGCTGCTGTGACGGTGGCCGAGGCTGGGGGCAGAACTGTGAGGTCTGTCCCTTCCCAGGCACCGTGGCCTTCAAGAAGCTTTGCCCTCATGGCCGAGGATACACATCCAGTGGAGCAGGTACTTTTCATTAAATGATCTCATAAACAATGCCAAATTAGGTGATAAATTATAAACTCTCTTTTTTGCATATTTGAACACTATAATGTGCTATGTGTTTTGGATATCAGCTGAAATTTTCTGAGATTTTTCATGTTGACTGAGTAGAGTCCTTTGGGAAGAAGGTGCACAGCCAAAGGCCCTGGATGATGAGGCATCCATCCCATCTTGGCAGATATTTGCTTTATTTCCTGGTTGACTGATATGCACTCAAATGGGAATTTGCATCTCACATTTGAGTGTGTTGCAGGCACAGGTTGGGAGCTATTTGTGTACATGAAGGCAAAGGGATGTTTGATTTGTGAAGGCTCATACATGATCAGCTTTAGTTGTTCCCTTCCACTTACAGCTTGTTCATTGCATAAGAAAGATTAATCACAGAATCACAGAATAATGAGTTTGGAAGAGACCTCTTATATCATCAAGTCCAACCTATGCCCTAACACTTCAACTAGACTATAGCACCAAGTGCCATGTCCAGTCTTTTTTTTAAAAACATGCAGAGATGGTGATTCTACTACCTCCCTGGGAAGACAATTCCAGTACATTATTATTTTTTTGGTTAAAATCTTTTTCCTAATAGCCAACCTATACCTTCCCTGACATAGCTTGAGACTGTGTCCTCTTGTTTTGTCAGTTGCTGCCCGGTGAAAGAGACCAACCCCCATCTATCTACAGCCTCCCTTCAGGAAGTTGTAGAAAGCAATAAGGTCACCTCTAAACCTCCTCGTCTCCAGGCTAAACACCCCCAGTTCCCTCAAATGTTCCTCATAGGGCTTGTGTTCCGAGCACCTCACCAGCCTTGTTGCCCTCCTCTATGCTCCATTCTGTACTTTTCCACTTACTATTTATCCTTTAGTCTGTGCAATATTTCAGTATTTTATGTAATTATTTTATGTATGATGTGGATTTCTCTGTGTCAGGTCACAAGAATCTATTGAAGCTGTACAAAATCGGTTTTGTTCCATTGAGAACTAACCCTTGTTTAATTGCAGATATTGATGAGTGCAAGGTTATTCATGACGTCTGCCGCAACGGGGAGTGCATCAATGAGAGGGGAACTTACCACTGTCTTTGCAATCTGGGCTATACTACAGATGTCACCGGCACTCTTTGCATTGGTGGGTTTTACATTGTGGCGTTTGTATATGAAGTTTATTTCTAAGAGAGGACTTGAAGAAAGAAATATAAATATTTTGAAAAATGAGAAAATAAAATTTCACTTGTTAATGCTTGGGGGATTTGGATTTCTTTCTGATCTATCCTGAACATTTTGTAAAACATTATCACAAATCTTGATTATTGGCACTGAGGTATCTGGTTTTGCTTCTTGTAGATCTGAATGAATGCAATGAGTCTCCAAAACCTTGCAATTTCATCTGCAAAAACACAGAGGGGAGCTACCAGTGTTCATGTCCAAAAGGATACATCCTGCAAGAAGATGGGAGAAGCTGCAAAGGTAAAAATCAAGAATTTACTGCAGAAACTGTGTTTCACAGACAAAAATAATTACAAGGACATTTAAATGATGCAAATTTGTCTCCTTGATTCACGTGAGTATTTCCACTAAAGACAGTGGAAGTGGCCCTGCACAGGATGGAGCTGGTATTTCACTCAATTCCTTGTTAATTTGGATGAACAACAGATCATCAGGATTTTTTGCAGATTGATGGCAGCTGATCTTAAAAGATTTTGTAATTAATTATATATATGATTGTTCTTATTTTGGTAAGCTCGTTGAAGCCATATCATGGTTTAAGCCATATCATTCAGTATGGCTGGATGAATCTCATGGGATGCAGAGGTGACTGTGGTTTGCAGTGCATTCCCCAGCATCAACAGAATTTTTACCTACTGCTTTTGCAGAGTACTGGATAAGATACAGCAGTGCAGGAGAGATGTCTTGGTAAGATTTTGTTAAAACCACACAAATTAGAGCAGCAATTCCAAATTTGGCATGCAGAATGACAAAGTGTATTTTGTTGTTAGCATTTCAATATTTCTTCTGGAGTAATAGTGTAACAGTGCAAGGCCATTTTTCAGTCTGCCAGATCTCATGAAGATGGTGACTTCCCATTTATTGGCTGAACAGACATTTATCACATCACAGAAACTTTCAGACAAATGAGAGTGGTGTCTGCAATTCAGTGTTAGCATGGACACTCTGGAGCTCCAAAGTCCCATTCATTAAATATGGGGCTTGATGAAAGAGGAACTGGGAACCAGTATGTAAAGTGAGATGTAAATTCAAAAGGCTTTATTTGCTGTTATTTATTTGCAATCACTTATTTCTGAGTCCAGGGAATATAACTGAAAGATGCTTTCTTGATTTTTTTAGATCTTGATGAATGTGCAACAAAGCAGCACAACTGCCAGTTCCTTTGTGTCAACACTATTGGGGGATTCACTTGCAAATGTCCTCCTGGATTCACTCAGCACCATACAGCCTGTATTGGTAGGTGACATTGGAAAGGTAGACATGGATTTGAGAATTATTATTGACCCTTACTCCAGAAGCAAAGTAGCAAGAAGGTAAAATCATCTTCCTGAGGAACCAAATAGAAACAGGCTGGATTCTGATCCTAATCCCACCAGAGAGGGCTGCAAAGAGGCCCCTTCCTCCTACTTTCCCTTGCTTTCATAATCTGTCTTTGAGGTTTGCACTTTCAAGAACCAGCCAGTACAAACACCACTTTTTAATTCTTGCCTTTCCCTTTCTTCAGCATTGAGCAAAAAATAGTTATATTTTTATTTTTGTAGCTCACTGAGATAATGTCAAGGCTTCTTGAAACAGCTATGAAATATACATTTCTGCAGTTGTCCTCTGATCACATACTCATTGGGTACATGGAAACGTTAGACTAAACGGCTTCCTTCTGCAAAACACACTTTCTGCTCTGCAAGCTAAATTGTGTTTCTGTGTCAGTTTGATGATCCCATGGTATTGGTGTGAATTTGGAGGGGTTTGGAGACCAAAACATCAAACTTCATATTTTTGGTGAAGAAAAGAAAGTTTCCCTTCCTATTACTTTTGTGTTTCAAATTCAAAAAGCAGTGTAAACTGTCCTGTAATGCAAAGTGAGAACCTGGGAGAGCAGTGGGACACCTGTGTTACTGTTGTGCCTTTACCTCCTGCCACAACCCTTCCATCATTAGCATGGCCAGAACATCAGCTTTGAAATGATGACTACAAACTGATGCTGAGCTTTGCTTTCCCTCAGACAACAACGAGTGTGCTACTGAGATCAATCTTTGTGGGGCAAAGGGCATTTGCCAGAATACACCAGGAAGTTTTGTTTGTGAGTGTCAACGTGGCTTCTCACTTGATCAAACTGGGCAGAGCTGTGAAGGTGGGTAAAACACAGTGCATTTTACTTGGCCTTCTCTTGTTTCCTTAATCTTCTTTCATACTGTCACCCAAGGAAGGACCTGTAGAGTAAGCGCCAAAATGTGCAGAAGCAAGCATGTGTAGGTTGAAGTGATGGAGGAATACAGAAATTTAGCAACAAGGCAGTATTTGTCACCATGGGCCAGAAAAATATGGATATATTATGGGATTCTAAAGAGCTGGACAGGTATTTTCTGAGGAGACATAGCCTGGAACATTTTAGTTTATGTGTTGTAAGTTCAGTGAACCTCTTTTAAATCTCGCATGGATTTCTGAGGGATTCAGTGACAGGAACTCTTACCTCCCCAAGGTGCTAAAGAGAGAGTTCAAGGGCTGCAGACTTATTCCTCTGGGTCCTTAGAGCCTTCTCCTAGGACAGAGTTTGGGTTGTTTTGAAAAGAGGTATCCTGGGATTTTTGGGTTGGATGCCCGGGTAAAAGCAAGAGCCTGTCTGCTTGGAGCTGGGATCCTTAGGAAGGCATTAGAGATCCCATATACAAATGGCTTTCTCCTGTCTGCTCCACAGCAGAATGCAAAAACAAAATCCTTGCTGAATGTGAGAGCTTTCCATGGTTTTCAGCCCTATATTACTTGCTGTGGAGCCACAAATCCAAACCCAAAAGGCCCATAGTGATCAGATTTTTGGAAGATTCTGAAATATATTATATATATATGGTAAATGAATATGTATGATTATTTGTAACATGTTTTCCACATACACCATAATTTGAGCTTCTCTCCCAAAACTCAAGAGTGTGTTTCACCCTTTTAGATGTTGATGAATGTGATGGCAACCACCGGTGTCAGCATGGCTGCCAAAATATAATTGGAGGATACAGGTGCAGCTGCCCACAAGGATATCTCCAGCATTACCAGTGGAACCAATGTGTTGGCAAGTCACTTTTGTAAATCCATACATTAAAATGCATGTACTTTAGTTAGCAGCAAGAAGTGAAGGGCAGTGGTGCAGTTTGCCGTACTTTCTTTTCTGATTATAATTTCCTAAGTTCAGCAGAGTTTCATTAGAAGTGTGGTCTCCTGTGAAGGCAGAGTGGATATGAAACACAGAAACCCATGTGCTGGTTCAAGACTATTTAAGCACAAAGCTCTCCTTGATGGAGCTAGAGGTTGTATTGGCTTTGAGGAAACTTGTGTAGCTCGTGTATTTTGTGATTTTAACAAAGGAAATCTTACTCAGCTGTGCAATGGTCTCTGCTTGGACAAAGGTCCTGTCTAAGTGGATTGAGCCTGGCACTCTCAGAACTACAACTTTGGATTGTTAAATCATAAAATTCAACTTCTGGCTCCAACAATCTCAAATTCCATTGAAATACTACTTGATCTGTGCTTTTGTCATTCTTACAACAGCTACAGTAAGGCTGCTGTGTTTAAGCCCCTCCTCTTCTGTAATTGTTGCAGAATTAACAATTTGTAATATTTGAGCAAACCTGCAGCTGTCTATCTAGAGGTTCTTTCTTGAAGCTTTAGGATACACTTTAGAGTGCCCAAAGGACAATTCTGGTTATAATTAACAAATGCTAGTGCACATAAGTTTATGTTAATAAGTAAATACACTGGTGGATTAAATGCCTCTTTCTTCCCTATCTAAACTTCGTAGCTATACCAAGTCTCTGAGCCCTCATAGATGGGGCTGCCTGTGCAGCAGTCATGGGAACAGCCTCTGTTTCAGCAGTGTAGTATGCAGCATATTCAAACAAGAGAAACAGGAATAATTTTTCCTCTAGTGACAGTTATGTGCAGTTTCCATCACATTTAATGGGCTTCGTGCAAGCTGGTCTTGTGTGGATACCCAGAGATGTGTCTGATGACCTCTTTGAGAACAAAGAGCTTTATAACTTTTTGTTTGGCTTTCTTTGCTCTCAGAAAGATAGAAATGTCTTGCCTTGTTATCACTGTGGTGCTCCAGGGAGGTCTCTGCTTTTAACTGTGCTTACCAAACCTCCTGACATTATATGTAGTCCGTGCTGTGACGTTTGTTTTGCTCTAGCACTCTATGCCTGTAACATACAAGGAACAATGAGGGAACACAAACATATGGGGGTTTGAATGTTAATTCAATTGGCAGAGTTTAGGGTTAAATTCAAATTTAATCTGCAGGAGGATAAAACTCCCCCAAGAAACCAGCACTGTCATGTCTGGCTGCTGGAGAACACTGTGGAATTCTGAAAAAGTGCAGTGTTGTGTTTTGTGAAACATCTTGGCTGATTCCAGGTCTTCCTGGGTGAAAATATTTAACTAAGTATATTTCCAAACCAGGTGTACACTGATATTCCAGATTTTGAGGCCATTGACTACTGTTTTGATTTATACAGGGAATACCAGTTTCAAAATGCACAAGCACTGAGTATTTGCCCCACTGAAAGAAAGGTGCCAGCCTTGGCACCAAAAATACTGGTCCACTAGAAAATTCACCAGGGAAATTTCTTGAGGGCCACGCCTGGTGCAAGACTCAGCTAGTACTGAAATATCTCTCCGAGTCAGTGGCAAACCCTTATAGGCTCTGGGAACACAGGATTCAGCCCCAGATTTTAATACCTTGTGGTCTCCACATATTCACGTTGTACTGTCTATAACTGTATATTCTTAAGATACTTATCTGGATCTCCTGGGTGTACCACAGGGGAAGAATCCACGTACTGGGTTTTTCCATGACAATTCCTTCATATTCCTTGGCAATCCCAACTCTGCAAACAGTTTGTGTCTTTTTTAGCCTATTTAATGAATCGTTCAGGGATTTTTAATGTTGCTGCAACACATTTAGATAATCACTGAAGAATGCTTTGGTTCCTCCCATGTCTTGTGCTGTCTGTGACTGCATCCCCTGCCCAGGCACTTCCACAGTACACTACATCGTGAATCAGGCTGCAAGAAGAAAAGATATTGCTTTTAAACAAAGAACAAAGAGCCAAATTGTTTGGAAAAAGACAGTAATGCTCTGACTTATTGCTTATTCTCCTGTAACCTGGATGTTGAGGTCAGAAATGCTGCTCTGTACTTCCCAAATGGAGTTTATGTGTGCACACCCCCACAATGTACATATACATTTATCACAGATAATGGGGAACAATAACATTCAGAACTTTTTGAAGCAATTTGCCACATCAGACATCAAAAATCAGACCAGCTTAATTTCAAAAAGTAGCCATTTTCAGTAAATAAGCCTGAACTGACCTGAAACTCCTACAGTGCCACCCTTAGGAAGTTTGGAAAAGGACTGGTTCAGAATATAGCAGTCTTTTGTATCTGTAGCTGCTTTATTTTTACTTTACTACTTCCCATATTTTACCTATGTCTAATATTTAAATGTAAGTGTGTAGGGAGGTATTTCCAATGCCTGGTAAAAGTGTCAGAACTTGATTCCTTACTCTTTTTCCTTTAATGTTGAATAGCCCTATGAACAAGGGATTACTTGACCAGCCTGTACAATGTTTTATTCTTCTCAGTTATTTCTAGAAAAAAAGCTCTCTTCTCTGTTTTGCTGCTCTCCAGAGCATGACCTGACATGGCATGAAACATCTTCTGTAGAGTAGCCTCAGTGTTGCTGTTCTGTGGTTGTAGTCATCTCCCAAGGACCACTGCCTCAGGCAAGGGGGAGGACAAGCCCAGTTGTCTGTGTCCATCTGAGGTGGCAGCACATTCAGCCAAGCACGACCTGTACGAGGGGTAGGCTGGGCTGTACCTGGGTAAAAGTTAACATGGATATTCTGCTTCTTTTCCAGATGAAAATGAATGTCTCAGTGCACACATTTGTGGAGGAGCATCCTGCCACAATACTTTGGGAAGCTATAAATGTATGTGCCCTACTGGATTTCAGTATGAGCAGTTTAGTGGAGGTTGCCAAGATATCAATGAATGCGGTTCTGCACAAGCCCCGTGCAGTTATGGTTGTTCAAACACTGAAGGTGGCTACGTCTGTGGATGTCCACCTGGTTACTTCAGAATAGGACAAGGGTAAGGGATTCTCATTTTAAACTAACAGATACCAAGGGGACATAGTCCACTCCTTTCTTAGCAGTGTGGAGCAGCAGAAGCAGGGGGATTGTCAGCAATTAAAGAGGGATAGAGAGCTGGATGCACCTACTGATTTTGGAGATTGGAGGGGGGAAGGGAGGGTGGGGAAAGGTAACCATGGAAAGGGAGGGGTTTAATGCTTGGAATCGAAATTTGGTCAGGGCTACCAGGTTCAATCCTCTATTTTAAGCTACTGCTTTCACCTGTCCTGCACACCCCAGCAGTCTGCCAAGTCCTCTGAGCTTGGCACTTGGGAACTTGCACTCCTTGCTGTGACTTGTCTCCTTAAAGAGGAATAAAACAAACATTAATAATAACACCCCCTACCAGCTGCAAAAAAGAAACTACATTATACAAGAAATTTCACCTGCTGGTTGGAATAACAGCTCTGCATTCTCTTAGGTTTTTGTATGTTCCATATTCTTCTGTGTTTCAAATTAGTATTTTTTAAAATAAATGTATGTGTTACCAAGAAAACCAATTTTCCCTTTCTCCAGTGGGCATGCTAGGGCTGTACAACATATAGAACCAAATGGAAAGCAGGAAGATTGTGGTTTAAAGTTTGTAAGTGACTAAAAGCTTTGGGATGCATTATGAAAGACCTCACTCTCCAGATTTTTTAGCAGTTGTTGAAAATTGGTCTCTTTAAATGTGTTCCAGGCTGGATAACAGAAATTGCTAACAACAACTCGGAGCTTAAGCCTGTGTTTTTAAGACTGTTAAATATTGGCAGGTCTCTCTTGGGCAAAAACCCATGAAAGCAGATTCTTGAAATAAAGAGTGGCCTCATTGTAATTCAGTGAGAATTTTGTCTGTTGACTTTAGCAGAAAATTTTCTTAGGAAATGAATGCAACATAATTGCTTAATTATTTGCACTTACAGTCCCCCAAATGTAGCTTTTGATAAGGTCTTTGTCTCACTGGAGTTAATTTTGAATTTCTTCCTTCCTCAGACACTGTGTTTCTGGAGTGGGGCTAGGCAGAGGTCAAGGACAAGAGCTTTCACTCAGTGGAGAAGTAGATGACAATTCCCTCTCTCCAGAAGCTTGTTATGAATGTAAAATCAACGGCTATCCCAAGAGAGGAAGGAAGCGCAGGAGCACTAATGAAACTGCAAGTGAAGCAGAGGTAATTGACCCTTTCTGGGGGGAAATAGTTTGTGGCTGTCTTGTGAAAGCTGGACTCAGAAGGATGTGTGTCAGGAGACAATCCCTCAGGAAAAATCTACACCCTAAAGTAGACCAAAGCTGGTTTTGGATGTCAGGTGGTGTTTTTGTCTCAGAAGTGATGTAAAGCTTCCCTCGCTTTCCAAATGAAAATGTTACAGCTTGTGCTGCTGTCTGAAATGTTACCACCCAGTCAGAGGTGAAGGGTGATGCTGCTTTTCCAGCACTCTGCTGCACCTGCAGGCTGCCCTGGCTCCACACTTAACCCAAACAAATCTTGCAAAGCAGAAAATCCCCACTGAAATGCTGTGGCTCCCTCACAGACCCAGCTCTCCTTCATAGCTGTTCTCTCAGCCTGTGGCTCCCCTGGCAGAGAGGAGGAGAGTGCCTTGTTTGCCCTCTTTGCAGGAGGCTGGTCACGGCACCCAGTGTGGAGGGGCTTGACCTGTCAGGTAGCAAGGCGCGTGCACAGAAACTTCCAGCACGTGTCTCGGGCTCCTCTAACCCACACAGCAGTGGTTACAAGCTCTGCACTTCATCCTGAGGAGTCCTAGGCCCATAAGAGTGGATTTGACAGATGATGTTACAGAATCTCCTTTTTAAAATTGTCTAATTAGTAATGAATGACCTGGGCAAGGAACACACACAGGCACATGTGAAATGCTCTCTGACAAAGCCAGCTGACATCCTTTGTTCTTGTGCAGGATCAGCAAGAGTTGGAGCCGCCAATCAGTCTCGCCAGCTGGGATATTGAGAAAGCAGCGGTCTTCTCCATCAACATCTCGGATCTCAGTAACAAAGATCGCATCCTGGAACTGCTCCCTGCCCTCACAACACTGACAAACCATAACCGATATTTAATTGACTCCGGAAATGAAGATGGTTTCTTTAGAATCAATAAGAAGGACGGGATAAGTTACCTTCATTTCACAAAGAAGAAGCCAGTGCCTGGAAATTATTCATTACAAATCAGTAGTATTCCACTCTATAAAAAGAAGGAACTTAACCAGCTTGAAGCAAAACATGACAAAGACTACCTCAGTGGTGAGCTGGGAGATAACCTGAAAATGAAAATTCAGATATTGCTTCATTAATTCATCAACCAAAGACCAAATAATTAAACCAAAGATAGATAGGTAGGACTGAATATTCCTCCCAATCAGATTCTCCATATCATAGGTACAATCTTACAAGAGTACATTTGTATGAACAAGCACTATCTTATTATTACATAAACAAGGTACAGGATGAATACATGAGCTCAAAACTACCACTTTCTCAGGCTTTTACATGTAGCTGAGCTACCTTGATATGTTGAATCTTGAAAACTGGGACTTTTATCATTGGAAGTTGGCCACTGATGCTGAGACACGTCATCATTTCAGCAGAGGTACAAGAATGTGCTTTCAACTGATGGACAGCTCTATTTTTGTAATTCTTAAACTTTGCTTCTCCAACTACAACTTACTAGGTCAGCCATTTATGATATCCATTTGGTGCTAGTAAATTTTCAACCTAGATTTATAAATGCACTGTAATATTTACACAACTTAGAAGCCAAAATTGCCATTATTCAGTCTAAATACTTCAATCAACCAAAGTTAGCTCAGTAGTTTATCTCAGTTATGCCTATAATACATTACATGTAAATTAAGTGTGTGTATACTGTAATCATGCTATTTTTATCAATGAAGCATTTGTAAACTAGATTAATAATACCCTTAATGTGAGGGTTTGTAATGGTGCTTATAAGACCAACTACTTGTTAACTGTATACACAAACCTGATGATAAAGTTTCTGTGACTTGCCAAAATGCACTGAGGTCAGTAGGGACCATTAAACATTCTCAAAAGTCAGATGACAATCAGTGCCATCCTACACCATGACATATTGTAACATGTCAAGAGTACCCATAGTCATTCATATCAACAAGGGTTCAATGTCATAAATGTCACAATAAAACAGTTTTTTTTTTTTAGTTTATTCTGTGGCCTTGTGTTTTTGCTAAAAGTGTGATAAACTGCATTCTTATACTTCAGGAGTTGTCAGTAGGGTTGTCTTTGTATCTGTCTGTGTGTCCAGATGATTCCTCCTTGAGGGAGCTGCTGCTGTTCATTCTTCATGCAAAGAAAGAACAGAAGAAGTACAGAAACATTCACAAATCTTAATAGCAGTGGACCTCTCTCAAGTTACTGTGTGGTTCCAGAAAGGAAGTGAGAACATTTCCAATGACTTGACCTGAGTAGTCCGGTCAAAAAGTAATCTGGTAGCCAAAACATGCAGAAGTGGATGTTAAATCATTATACAGAAAACACAGTCAAGTGTGAAAAAAAACCACTATTGTTTGCTAAAACTGCCTTAAGATACTCCTTTCTTTTACCCCAACTTCAACAGTTACTGTCATATAACCCAAGACTGATAAATGAGGAATAATCCAATACCAGAAACCATCACGAGCTTTAGATGGGTTTAAATATCAAGAAAATTATTCAGTGATGTGGATGTTCTTGTATATGCAAATGCCATGGTGTATCTTTAGCAGCAGCAGCAGAACATTGTACTGAGGTGTGATGCTATAAAATCTGGGAGAAAGAAGTGCTGAAACTGCTGCTGGGACAGCACTGTAGTTGATAGAGGGAACATATATTGAGCTATAATAGCTTTGGAAGGGAAATGTACTCCTATAATTCACCCCAAATTGTATTATTGCTCTCTGTGATTTCTTCTGCATAACAAATATAACTATATAAAAAAGAAGCTTGTGCACAGGATTACTTTGATATTTTTAATAGACCATGTCTGGATTTTCTTTATTAGTGTGCCAAAATGTTGAACAGTGTATTTTTTCCATATGTTGTATAACTATGGTGAGATATATCAGAACTTTACAGTTGTAAATGGCACTCCTATATTAGCAGGTTGGGAATGAGTTTTAGTGCTAATGTGCACGATTGTATAATTTATAGGTAAGTGTACCACTTAAGTATTTTTTCTCAGCCCCTAAACACTGAGAGAAACTGAGGATAATTTCAGAAAGACCTGTCAGGAGTCTTTCCAGTAGAGTTGGTTTACATTTCAGCTCCATGTAACACCTTATGATGCCAAAGGTTCTTTGTGTTCCAGCAGCCCCAGTGTTGTCCACACCATTCTGCAAATTGCCTTTGCTATGCTTCAGAAACAAGAAATCTTGACAGTAGCTTTTTAGCAATTTTAAAATGTAAAACAAAGTTGTGCTGTACCAATCTGCACATAAAAATCCAATTTTTTGTACATTATTAATCTGTCTCTTTGCAGTAATGTCCTTGATATAACTGATATATAATTTTTGTTCCTTGGTTTTGCTTGCTGTATGTGTATGATTATTTCCATTAGTTTGAATTTCTGTAGCTTCCTTGGTGTCTCAGTGAAGCACAAAGGTTGCACAATAACATTGCATGCAACCTGCAATTAAAAAGTGGTTTGTAACTTGCAGTGTGATTTTGAAATAATCTGCTATATTTAATTTGATAGTGGGACCCCAGAATGACTCTAAGCACTACACAGACTGAAGTAGAGGTCTCTCTAAATGTGTATCCTTTAGCAATTAAAGGATATTTTTCAAATTCAAGGAAATAGTAAAATGCTTAATTATTGGAAATGTGTGGTTTCCCTCCAATGCAATTGTGCATATGACTCTCCACAGATGATTGCATGGATAATAAATATAATTTTTGGATAACAGATTTTAACAAAGATGGCTTGTTACTGTACACAGCAAATCATTCTCTTATTGTGTGTTGTAACCGTGTCTTGTAAACTTGTCAGCCCACGTGTATTTTGGCAGAACACCATTGTTTCCACTGTTCCACAGTCTCTTTTTAAGCTGACTTTCAAAGAACTGTAAGTATTTGCTTTCTTATGGCAGGTCTTGAAGGGTCATTCTCAGGTTTTCTCTAAGATAAATATTCTGTGCTGTGATTCAAGTTCAACTTTGTGCTTTGGAAGAGCTAATCAGGTCAAGACTCTCCGTACAGACAGGCCTGAGCTGTTTGGAGAGCAGGACACCACGGTTCATGTCCAGCAGCTGCCTGTACCTCCCTGGGCCCAGGTTTGGCACTGCCAGTCTCTGCCAGCAGCACCACAACAGGTAAGTGCATCACAAGGCACCAAACCTGCTGCTCTAGGCCAAGCTGGAGGCGGTGGCACTGGCACTGCAAAAGCTTTCTCACCACTTTTAAAAATGGATGTTGGCTGTAAAGGGATGCCCACTTGAACCATTAAAGCCTCACAGTACTCTTGTGGATCTGATGGTCTCTGCCCAGATTAGCGAGGTTGACAGCTTACATTGTGCCATTGTGCTGCTGCTTTCTGATTAGGCACCAGATGAAGAGGAGAGAGCTTCTCTTACTTCACTGTGATGAGAAAGTCTTGTCTTTTCAGTTACAGAAGGGAAGCCAGAGTTCAGCATTGGATGAGGCTGGAGCTGCAGGAGCTGTGCATCCCTCTCAGTGCCCCCCAGCTGCCTTGTGCCAGGTAGGACAGGAGCTAATGGGACACACCAGCTTCAAAAAACTGGGACATCTGAACCCAGGATCTTGTCTACTTCACTCTGTCTGTCTGCAGAGCAAATCTTGCAGCTTTTCTGCTTGCAGGAGTGGCCAGAAGCTAAGGCCAAGATATGATGTACACCAGATTAATCCAGTAAATCCAGGTTGGCAATGTCCTACCAGAGTAGTTGCCCAGAGTAAGCCCTCATGTTATCATAATCTTGGCAGACTAGCACTTGGCTAAAGCCCTTGTGTTCAGAAAATTTCTTGTTGCCTGTGGCCTGAGCATGTTGGATGCCTGCAGAGTCCTGTGCAGCCCCTGTGTGAGCTCCTGTGGTTACACAGAGCTGCCTGGAGGGCTCTGTGCAAACCCCATCAGCACCACAGGTGTGGGATGTCACATTAACCTGCAGGATCGTGCTGGTTCGGGATGCTGTGAAAACTTAAGACAGGGCAAGCAGACAGGTGTGATTTGGGGCAAAATATGCCATCATTTACACCTATGAAAATATGAATGATTGTAGAGGTTGCAGTAGGAACAAGAGGGAAAGAAATAGGGAGAGGGCAGAATGCTGCAGTAATTCAGTGGCCCAAAGCACTCCAATGCATGTTCTGCTTCACTCACATGTGCTGGTCCTGCACAAGCCCTGGTGCTTTGTGCTTCTGAGTTGTCCCTTGCAGGTCCCCAGGCAGGTGCTGCAAGGACCGGCCGCTGTCCCCACAGAGCAGGACATGCCGAGGCTGCTCTCAGAGCAGGCAGAGGCACTGCTGGTGCCAGGCTGGTGGAGGTGGTCAGCAGCAGGGTTCTGCTTGCAGCCCTATTCAGTGAGCACTTCACCAAGGCTGGTGCTGCTCTTGGAGACTTTGAAATCCAATCCCTCTGGAGCGGGCTGTGTGCTCTGGTTTGCCTGAAGAGAAGACCCTCTTTCTGTGCAGCAAAAATGTTGAAGATGTCAATGACTTCAGCTCTGACAAATTCCAACAATCTACTTCTGTTGTCCTTAAGACTTGCCAAATATTTCACACCCTCCTAACAAATGCTTTTGAGGAATATCACACCCAAGCCAATTTCTCAGTTACAAACTTCACTTGAGTTCAGGAGAGGAACCTTGGTGCCAGAGAGGGCAACAAAGTGTTTATTTTTGTATTTTGGGCTCTCCATTCTATTTCTACTGTGCCATGTGACAGGAAGTGTCTGGGGAGGCCCAGGCTGCCTGACCAGTGGGATTGTGCTGGCAAAGCTGGGCTGCAGCCCTGTGCTGGTGCCAGCCAGTCCAGCGTGCCATTGCTGCTTGTTGGTGTATAGCCGAGCCCTCAGCCAGCTTAGACACGTGCCCATATGTGCACATAGAAATGTAGGGTGTTTTTGTCTGAAGATTCTGGATAGAGACTGTATCTCGGTGCTTCCAGGCCAAAGCCACCCTGTGATAAATCCTTGTTAAGTATGAGGAAGGGATTTTCCCCTTTTTTGGGCTGGACCTTTCCCTTGCACGTGGCAGCAGCACTGGCCCAGCCTCTCCCTGGCTTGGCTCTCACATCTGCAGGTTTGTTTGTTTATGAGCTTCTCTATGGCTCCCAGGGCTGTAGGATGTTCCTTGCTACACCCTTGTGAGGTTGGGATGTGTTTGTCATCCTTGTTTTACAGGACAGGAACTGAGAACCAGATGTTTTGGTTTGGGAGGCCATTCTGCCGGGAGTAACTCCAAAGTACTGAGGTGTCCCTGGAGAGGAGGACAAGAAGCCACTGGGCTCATCAGCCATGACAGCCCCAGCTGGCATAAAGCTATGGGAACTGCCCCTCTTCACTAAAATGCATCTCAGATGGAGCCTGCTGGAGCCCTGCGCATTCCCCACACTCTTAGAAAGCCAGGAGCATGACCCCGTGCCCTAGCACAGAGCCCCTGGAGAGTCTCTTCCCATCGGTTCCCCACCCAGGATTCTGCCACTGCAGGTGCAGCTGCACCAGTTTAAAAAAACCAATCAAAGCCAGTGTCAGTTCTTGGTAATTTACTGCAAAAAAGATTCTGGGTAAGGCCAGCAGGCTGCATGGAGATAATCAAAAGTGACACTGCTGGCGAGCAGGACCTGGCCTCTGCCAGCCTGTCTGGTGTATCTCTCAGGCTGCTTGATGAAGCAGCCCAGAAAACAGGGCTACTGCCTAGTTTTTTGGGGATGTTGATTCTTTATCCCTGTAATTTCTGTGTGAAGTGCTTCAGGGTGATTTTTTTTTTTTTTTTGTTTTTTGTTTTGGTCTTTGACAACCCAGGAGAAATTATTTTTTTAATCAGCTCATCTGGGGCTGAGTTTGACTGTAGCTCCAGTTCAGCACATGATTGAGGTGGTGAGCTTGGACAGGTAGGAAAGCTGTCGGGACTTCTCTGTGTGCTTGCAGCTCTGTATAAATGTGTTGTTATTATAATCATAATAAATACTAGAGCCATGAGAAATGTCTATAAC